CTTATGTGGACGCTCTGAGAGGCTTAGAGCATCTCCAACCCCATGCTAAATATGACATATATGCTATTTTGCCATAATTTTTGCTCCAACCCAATTGCATATGCTATTGCAAAATAGCATCATGCTATTTTTGCTTCTATATTTGGCATGAGATTATGCAATATGCTATTTTGCCATTGAACTTTTTTATTTATAAAATAGTCCTTCAATTTGTAATTACTTTTAATTTAACAGTTTAATTATATTGATTATGATTTATTTAAATAAATAAACAATACTCATAACTTTTTCAAAATATAAATAATATTTATTTCATAGAAATATAAAAACATAACCATAATAAACTTAAAATTTTATTTTTAAAAATACTGAAATTCAAAAAACATAAAACAATAGGTTAAAATCTTTGTTTTCTATAATTTTTATGTAATATGATGTATTTTGTTTTAATATTATAATAAAAAAAATATAATTCTGGTTGTTTTTGCAAAAAAGAAAAACAAATGATTCACATATGGCATGAGGGGTTGGAGAAAAACCCAATGCTATTGCTATAATTTTACCATTTGCAATAACATATGGCATGAGGGGTTGGAGATGGTCTTATAGCCTCAACTTTTATATAGTATAGATTTTAGTTAGGTATTAAGGCCTTTTGAAATAAAATTAAGGCTTTTTGCAATTGTTCTTTGTTATATGGTCTATACTTTTATTGGGCCAGTGCCTCGACCCGAGGACCCAAACCGAACCCGACCCAAAATAGATGGATCCAAAAGCAAATGAGAACCGAACCGAGCCCTTGAATATCCAAAATATTCCAAATATAATTATATACCTAAAATAGTCAGTTATATTTAAATTTTAAATAACCAAAATATCTAAAATTACAATTGTAAACTTAATATAACAATTATATTTAGAACAAAATAATTAAAATATTGAAGACATACAAAAATCTTTAGTTATATTTATTAATATTTAATATATTTTTTTGCAAAAATTAACTAAATTTCATTTAAATTAAACATTTTTTAAATTTTATCTTATTTTTTGTAGACTTGTGTATCTGGAAACGACCCGAATCGGGCAGAACCAAACCAGACGCGACCGAAAATAAAAAATATCTTAATATTCCCTCTGTTTCAATATATAAGGGGTTTTAGAGTTTTGTTTTTGTTTCAAAATATAAGGGGCTGTGCAAAAGTAAATGTATTTTTATTACTTTTAATTATTTATATTCTGTAGATTTCTTTTTCATTGGTTGAAATGTTTTGGAATTGATGATAAAATATATTCCCTCCGTTTCAAATTAGTTGTCGTTTTGGCAAAATGTATCTGCAAATATTTGGACGTATCTGGACGTATTTTGCATTGCAGATACATTTTCCCAAAATGACAACTAATTTGAAACGGAGAGAGTATTTTATTTTAAAAAATACAAAAATTATATGAGTTCTTAATCTGTATGCCAAAACTTTAAATCCCATATATATTGAAACAGAGGGAGTAGTTCTTAAAGGAACCGACCCGTACCAACCTAAAAAACTGAATGCCCATAACAATTTCCTTTATTTTTTCAGGGAGTTACAGACCAATATGTTTGAAATATTTCTGGTATATCGATCGTCGTTACGTTCGACAGACCACATCATCCCTTGTCCTCATAAGAACAAGGAAAATACAACTTTTATATAATAGGACGAATACCAATAAACAAATACTCCAAAAGCCTAGCTGTACCCAGCTTGTGGGTGGTGCACAAATAGATCCCTAAATTATATTCACCAAAAAGCCAAAGAGCAATAAGTGAGCAAACATAATTCGATTTGGGACCCGACAAATATAGTGTGCAACAAAACCAATTTAATAACCATTCAATGATACCATCACGTTTGGTATGTGAACTATGGTTTTTGTGTGTCGCTACTCGTCAAGTACGCTTCGACCGACGCATCACGCAATCCCTTTTTTGGTATTTGAAAGATATTTCCATTAATAGTTTCCACTACATAGTGAAAAATGAAATATATGTTAGACCAGAATATCGCTTAAGGAAATAAATGATATTCCCTCTGTGATTTCAATGCATTTTTTATTTATTAATATTAATGAATAGTATATTTCAAGAAAAAATAATTAGATTTGTTAAATTATCATTGGTTAAAATTTGTAGATTACTGTAAATCACAAAATGATACATTTATAGTTATGTAATGAATTATCATTGGTTAAAATTAGATTTATAGATTTGTTGAATTATCATTAGGTAAAATAAAAATTGATGCATTTTTTTTTAAAGGGTTTTCATGCATTTATAGATTTATAGTTACATTATTTATTACTTAATAATAATGAACTGTAGATTTCAAGAAAAAAAATAATTATATTTGTTGAGTTATCATTGGTTAAAATTTATAGATTACTGTAATTTATGTGAAAATTCAAAAAAAAAATCTTCTTTCAAAAACAGAGGGAGTATATGGTTGTTGGGTATGGGAAACAAAAAATATTATCGTCTTTACTTAGTTCGGTATAAGAAGCAATATTTAAACAAACTAGTCTATAGTTCTTTAACAATAACCTAGAGTCTAGAGTATATTTATGAGGTATTTTTATTTTTGAAAAAAAATATCATGGTATATTGTGGTTTTATTTTTTGATAAAGGGTCTATTGCGGTGGTTTTAGACATATTGAGTCTAGGTTCATGTTCATTGTCTGTATCAACCAATAGCCAGCATACGGTTGTTCATTGTCTGATTAATACTCCTCCTTCCTCCTGTGGACCATACAGTAGATTTGTCTTTTATTTTTAGGTGTTTTCCTTATGGACAAAACCCTTTCACGGCAGTAAGAGTCACTTGAAGCTCCGGAGCCGGAAATTCTAGAACACATATTTCCTATCTATATTTAGTTACCCCAACAGGGTTTTAGGACCCAAATAGACTCATATTACTGAGCTTTACGGCGATGAAACAAAATAGACATTTCTAGAGATTTTTGCTTCTTTGAGCTGGTAGAGCTAATTCGTGATATCTCAGTAACCGGATAGTGACGGGAATCAACGTTCTTAAAACGCGAACTCCTTACTCAATTACAGAGAAGATTCTCAGCTAGGGTTGAGTTACTTGTGAAGAAAGCTAATAAAAGAACGAGTTCTGTAAATTACTGAATGTATTGATAATGAAACTTACAGTCCTTTAAATAATAAAACCAACACCGACTTATAGTCTAAATAAGGAAAACCAAAACTTAAATCAAAACCAAAACCAAAACCGACTTTGAAATATGTAAATTATCTATATCAAATCTCCCCCATTTGAAAAACCTTGACCTCAAGGTTGAAAGGAAGGATATTTCTTATGCAGATCGACAACATAATTTGCCTAAATTTGTCGTTTGCCTTGTTATTGTTAAACCAATAAAATTTTAATATTATAGATTACAATAGCCTTTAACTTTGCTTAAAGAATAACCTATTCAATTACTTTGTATATTGTTATTTATGATCAAGAAAAATTTAACATTTAAACTCCCTAGCAGCATCACTCTTTATAAAATAACCATCTTTGTCTCTCTTTATAATCACTTTTTCATTTTCTGTTTCCAAAGAAAAAGAAAATATCTTTTTTAAGCTTCTAATAATTCAGAAACATAATTAATGAGTAATAGTAACGTACCATTTTTTTTTGTAGATGCTCTTTTTGATAGTAGAATAGCTTTGCGCATTGCCCTTGCATTTTTTTCCCTACTGTGTTTTGGAAAACATATAACATATTAGATTTGATCAAGTAGTGTTAAAAAATTTGAAGCAAACAGAGTTATATGCAAGAGATCAACATAAACTCAACACAAACTCAACCAACTGTCTTTCATGTTTTTTGTTTACCATGTTTGAAGCAAAGACCACATCAACAGTTATAGTAGACCACTCTATCCCAAACAGCCTCGGGAATTTTGCTTCTTCTTTCACATTGAGAAACCATAACGGAAGATTGAAACCTTTATGTGGATGTTTTTGTTTTTCAAAGAAAGACTTGAAAACTTCCTGTTGATTTAGTTGTAATGAATTATGGGAACGACTGAGAGGTTATAAATAACCAAAATTTAGGCCTTGATGTTTTGTTTGTCCTTTTTCAAGGATCACTTAATTTACCTTTTCAACAAATGTTTCCTTTTCGACAACTCTTTGCTTTTAGGATTCTGATGAATTGTTAATATTTCCTTTTTTAATTTTTGAATGAAAAGTAAGGGTTCAAATAACACAAAACAGAAGTGCCGAGTAAATTTCAATGATTTCCGGAGATTTATCTTGAATTACACCTTCATCTCTTCCTACAACAACCCAGTAAAAAAACAGCTCATCTTCTTCAGATTGAAAGAATTTAACTAAACTCGTATTTATTTTTTGAAGCATCAAATTACGAAAATCATTTAAATATTTGGTTTATAATTGTTCGTCAATTGTTAGTGTCACCACCACTGATAAAGTTATATGCAACCGTATACGTTTAGCAAATGAGATTAAGAAGATAGTAATTATTATTATAAAGAAAATGAAAAATCTATAATATATATGTAAGAACTTTTAAAATATAAAAACCTGATGAATTTCACCAGAGAGAATTCTAGATCTCTTCTTCTCATTTTTTACAACCAATTTTTCTTCGTCTCCGGTGGCGAATAGCAAAATCCTCTCCGACAATATAATGTTGGTAATATTAAAACCTGACGAATTTCTTACGCTCAACGCTGTTTCTCTTCTTTTCGTTTCCCTATTTTCATCATTGCCTTGCTCCTATTTTGGCGGATCCAAATCTATAATATATAGTTAAGAACTTTTAAAATATTAAAACCTGATGAATTTCCTTAGAGAGAATTCTAGATCTCTTCTTCTCCTTTTTTACAACCAATTTTTCTTTGTCTCCGGTGGCGAATAGCGAATCCTCTTCTCCGATGATATAATGTTGGTAATATTAAAACCTGACGAATTTCTTACGCTCTACGCTGAAATTAAGGGCAACTCCTTGAAGGCTGAAGAGAGGTTAAGGGCAACTCCTTGAAGGCTGAAGAGTTCACGCCAGAAGTCACTAAGAAAGATAGCATCACGATCACTAACAATAGATTGTGGAAAGCCATGAAGCTTAAACACATTATCCAAGAAGACTTGAGCGATGGAGGAAGCGGTATAAGGATGTGAAAGGGCCATAAAATGAGCTGCCTTACTAAGCCGATCGACCACAACGAAAATAACCGTCTTCCCATAAGAAGAAGGCAAGCCATCAATGAAATCCATAGAGATATCAGTCCAGATTGTCTCAGGGATTGGTAAAGGTTGAATCAGCCCTGGTGATGCTGCTGGATCATACTTACACTGCTGACACACATTGCATCCACGGATATAAGATTGAATGTCTTTCGACATCCCTTTCCAATAAAAGAGGCCTTTCACACGTTGATGTGTTGCGTCTCTCCCTGAGTGGCCACCACTTCCAGAACAATGTAACCATTCCAAAACTTTATTTCGAAGAAGCACGTTATCGGGGACCACAATCTTGCTCTTTCTCCGTAAGATGCCTTGTGTCCAAGAAAAATGTTTTTTGGCTAATGGTTTCTGTTGTAACTCTGCTATCAAATCCCTCACTGTTGGATCAGTATCGTAACCAGCCTGAATCTGCTGTAGTAAATCGCATTGTAAAACAGACATGGCCATGTGTAAAACCTCGGCTCCTTCGACTCTAGACAATGCATCAGCAACCAAATTCTCTTTCCCCTGTTTGTATTGGATCTCGTAATCAAACTCGAGTAATTTAGGTAGCCACTGCTGCTGTATCGGAGTGTTGAGTCTCTGCTCAAGTAAATACTTGAGACTCCTTTGATCCGTCTTGATCACAAAGTGACCATTGAGCAAGTAATGGCGCCATTTTGTTACAGCAAAGACCACAGCTAACAATTCTTTCTCATAGATAGAGAGGTGAAGTTGCTTACCCTTTAAATGACGACTTATGTAAGCTAATGGATGGCCATTCTGCATAAGTACAGCTCCTATTCCCTGGCTACAAGCATCAGTCTCGACCACAAAAGGTGTATCAAATAATGGTAGGGCCAACACCGGAGCTTCACACAATGCTCGTTTCAAATCTTTAAACGAGTGAAGGGCTTCTTCTGACCATTCAAAACTATCCTTCTTCGTTAAGGCAGTCAAGGGGCGAGCTATTGTTCCAAAATTCTTGACGAAACGTCGGTAATAACCAGCTAACCCTAAGAACCCTCGGAGTTGTTTAAGGTTCACCGGAATAGGCCAGTCTGCGACAGCCTTAACCTTGCTTGGATCCGTTGAAATACCTTTTTCTTCAATAAAGTGCCCCAAATACTCCACCCGATCTGTTGCAAACGAACATTTACTCTGTTTTGCAAACAAGCTGTTCTGGCGCATTAACTCAAAAACACAACGCAGGTGAGTGATATGAAGTTCCATAGAAGAACTGTATATCAAAATGTCATCAAAGAAGATGAGAACAAATTTCCGAAGAAATTCCTTGAAGATAGAGTTCATCAAACTTTGAAAAGTAGCTGGCGCGTTAGTAAGCCCAAATGGCATTACTAGATACTCAAAGTGTCCTCCATGTGTTTTAAACGCTGTCTTGTGGACATCAAGAGGATCCATCCGAACCTGATGATAACCGGCTCTCAAGTCGATTTTAGAGTAGACCTTGGAGCCTCCTAGTTCGTCCATAAGGTCTTCAATCAATGGAATTGGGAATCTGTCTTTAACTGTCAGACCATTCAAGCCACGGTAGTCGACACAAAGACGCCAATTTCCATCTTTCTTTTTAACGAGAACCACCGGTGATGCAAAAGAACTAGAGCTAGGTTGAATAGTACCTGCGGTTAAAAGCTCTTGCACCATAGTATCGATTTCATTCTTCTGGTGGATGGCATAGCGGTAAGGTCGTTGATTCACTGGATTAGAGCCTTCCAAAAGAGGGATACGATGGTTATGATGTTCACGGAATGGAGGCAAAGTTGTTGGCTCCTCAAAAATATCGAAAAACTCAGTAAGCAATCCATCTATCGCAGGACAAACGGTGGTGGAGGTTGTTGTCGCGTCGAGAGAATAAAATTGGATTGGTTCTTCTTCTACCCCTGATTGAACGTAAAGCATGGCCAACTGCACATCTTCGTCTTGTAATTTGTTTAACTTTGCAGCTTTCACATGACGTACCGAGTCTTGCTTAATTCCGTGAAGTAGAATCTTCCTTGCTTCCCATTTAAAAGACATCTCGAGTTTCTTAAAATCAAAAGTAATAGGGCCTAAGGTGTGTAACCATTGGACTCCTAGTACCATGTCACAACCTCCAAGAGGAATGACCATAACATCGGATTCAAAAGTGGTACCATGAAACGTCCACCTGAAATTGTCGATATGACCCTGAATAGCAATTCGACGACCATCAGCAACAGTAACTCGAGATCTCGTTGAAGTGCGTACCGTACAACCTAACTTCTCCGCCGTACGAGTATCAACGAAATTATGTGTAGAACCAGAGTCAATAAGGACAAATATGGAGCGTTTCCCACACTCTCCTTTGACCCTTAGAGTATTGTAGTCGGAAATTCCTGAAACAACATTAACAGAGATTGTAGCGATATCTATGGCTTCTTCTTCCTCGTTTTGTATCTCTGGAGCAGCTTCAAGGTCATCTTCTTCCCCTGTTTCAATCATGAAAAGTTGTGTCTTCTTGTGTTTAAGAAAATGGCCTGGAGTATACTTTTCAGGACAGTAATAACATAAGCCATCCTTCCGACGTTGAACCATCTCGGCATTAGTAAGAAACTTCTGAGGAGCGTATTCCTTTTCAGGCGTTTTCTCCACTTGTGTAGGTCGCATCTCTGAATCCTTTCGACGAAAGAACTGAGGTTTCTTGGGATGAGCTTGTTCATACAACCTCCCAAGAAGTAAGCACTGACGAACAGAGGTTGGTTGGAACATGCGCACATGCATCTGCGTTTCTGTTTGGAGACCAGCTAAGTAATGGCGAACTAAATAATCTTCAGAGAAGTTCACTCGAGTACGCAAGAGTTCAAACCGGCCATGGTACTCAACGATGCCGTTAGTCTCTTGTAAACGCTTTAACTCTAGAATAGGGTCGTCCAAAATATCTTCAAAACGTTCGTGTAGTCGTAGTTTGTAAGCGGGCCAGCTAGAGAGAACCGATTGACCAAGTTCAGATTGCACAATCGATTGATGCCAATTAGCGGCAAGACCATCGAAGTGAACTGAAGCGATGTTGACTTTCAAGTCTTCCGGTGTGTTGTCAATGGAGAAGAATTGTTCGGCTTGAAAGAGCCACTCTTGAAATCGATCACCAGAAAACCTTGGGAACTCTATCTTAGCAAGTCGTGTCATTCCTGAGTAAGGTGTAGAAGGAGTAGGGCGAGGACGGTGGGAATCATGAGTAGTAGTAGGTCCGGGAGGTGAGAACGATGGTGAGTTGTTGTCAGGAGAGGGATTAGGCGACGAAGAAGCGACGTTATCGGACAACGAACGAATCGCGTCGAACATACCAGCTAAGTCTTTATCTATCTTGTGGAGCTGTTTGTCCATCTTTTCCTCCAGATCATTATGGCGGTTGTACATCTCTTCAAGGCGAGGACCTAGGGCAGATTCAATTTCTCCAAGAATTGACTCCTTCAAGGCTGTTTGAGAGCGTGTTTGTGCGTCGGACATCTTTTCCGGAGAATCGATCGACGTCTGATACCTTTGGTAGAGCTAATTCGTGATATCTCAGTAACCGGATAGTGACGGGAATCAACGTTCTTAAAACGCGAACTCCTTACTCAATTGCAGAGAAGATTCTCAGCTAGGGTTGAGTTACTTGTGAAGAAAGCTAATAAAAGAACGAGTTCTGTAAATTTCTGAATGTATTGATAATGAAACTTACAATCCTTTAAATAATAAAACCAACACCGACTTATAGTCTAAATAAGGAAAACCAAAACTTAAATCAAAACCAAAACCAAAACCGACTTTGAAATATGTAAATTATCTATATCATGAGCACCTATTATTTGAATTAAATTAGGGTTCACTCTAAAAGTCGTTGGCTACTTCAATTTTTTTTTAAGTAAAATGTGGAATTTTATACAATTTTATGAATTGCAGCAGTTACAAATATAACTTAGAAGACAGGAAAAAACTACAAACAAAGCAAGTTTTTTTTTTTTTTTTTTTTTTTTTGACAATCATGATAAATCTAGGCCTATGGAAGACCAGACTAATAACTTGAGGTGGTGCTACAAACAAGGCAAAGTTACAACAGACAACAAGGTGAGGAACAAAACAAAGCCAAGTTAGGCAAACATCGAAGCTAACATATTGAAGCTAATTCAATATGTTGCTCATGTTCACTAACCGAGGGAACTCAGGTCAAGTTTATTTTTTCTCGATGATCTAAAGTTTAGTTGCTCTAACAATCATCGAAATTCGAATGTGCAATAGCTAAGATGGCATACCCGGTGACGAATATCATGATTTTTTCATAATCTTGCTTGCATTTTTTTGGTTACCAGCCCCAATATACGCGACATATATATGAAACACTGTCGAACCTTTTTTGAGTTAAAGATGCAATATCCATAATTATTGGTCCTAATTCCATTTTTCAAAAAGAAAACATGTGGTGTCAAATACCCAAACATGTGGTCTCAAATTCACGACATATGGTTTAACCTACACCACGCAGATTATGATTAATTTCACCCTTGACATATGGAAGTCGGACGGTTCTACTTACACTATATCTTACATCGTATTATCCTAGTTTCGCGTGTAAGTAGAATCGTCCACCATGGTCTTTTTAGGAAATTGAACCATCCTACTTACACCTGGAACTAGGACGAAACCTAATTGGACGGTATAATCATAATACTAACATTAATAATTACTCTGCATTAAATTGTATTATATGAAATTGAATCTAATACCTTTTGGTGTTAAAATTAATGAGTCTTTGGTTAAACACTGTATAGAAAGAAGATTCACTATCTTTATAGCCTCTAAAATAAAATCAAAGAATATTTAATTTTAATTCTAAATTTAGATTATTAAAACATGATATGTAGTTTTCTAAACAAATTTATTTAGATATTTTGTATTCGTAATACAAGTCTATACTCCCTCCGTTTCTTTTTACTTGTCGTTCTAGGAGATTTCACGCAGATTAATAAAACATATTAAAATTTCTATTATACCCTTAAAAAGCAAATTGACTATTAGTATTCTTCATTAGATCAAGGTTAAAGTATGTATTTATTATTAAATTTTGCATTGGAAAGTGAGAACGACAACTATTTTGAATCAAAAAAATAAGGCTAGAATAACAAGTATTTTGAAACGGAGGGAGTAATAATTTAAAATGATCGTGGGTATTGACTAGATCAGACGCCTTAGATCAGATTGTGCTGGATATTCAATCCAGATCCACCTTTAGACCACTGATTAAATGGGGCAGTGGTAACCCTACGTTGCTGCAGCCATAGGGTTATTCCTTACAGCAAAAGAAGGAAATTAGATTTCCTTATCCGAATTTACTAGATCTGACGTCTTAGATCAGATTTTGTTGGATTTTCAATCCAGATCGACCTTTAGATCACTGATATAAAAAGAGATATGGTAATAAATTAAGGTGTTGATTGGTTCATCCCCTGCTACCACAAACGCAGCGTTTGCGGGTAGTAGCGGTTATTGGCGTTTGACAACAATCACCACAAACGCTTTAACCGCTTCAAACCGCTCAAGATCCCTCAACATCCCTCAAAATCAAAAGCTCCTTCCCAGCGTTTGCGGTTGCGGGCGGTTGCGGGTGGATAATTAAAAAAAAAAAACACAAACTTATATAAAATCCGAAAATAAATAATAATATTTATTAAAAAATAAGATTTGGATAATAAAATCACAATATAAATAAAAAATTAGTACTTTTAGTCAATATTCATTAAAATCATATAATACTTATATATTTATAAGTTCTACAAATCAAAATTCTCTTGATAAATATTCTTTTCATACTAATACATATATATCTAATAAATAAAATTGTAATATAAATTTAATTTTCACATTAAATATATATTTTGAAAATAAAATCACATTTTTATTTAAATTATAGAAATTAAAAGATAGACGTAAGTATTATACACATATTATTCTTTATAAAAAATTATTTTTAATTATGTTGAACCATAAATTTAAAATTTTCATTATAATATAGTTTTGATATTTTTATAATTATATAATGTGTTTATATTATTAATTTATTGTTTAACCGCTATTGCATCCGCAAGTGAACCAGTCATAAGTATCCCGCAAACGCATCCATTTTCAATTGTTATGCCAGTCGTACAAACCGCTTAATAACGCTACTAATCACAACCGCCCGCTTCCGCAAACTCCCGCACCCGCAACCGCAACCGCAGCTGTTAAACGAGTCAGACTGGGGCAGTGATAACCCTACATTGCTGCAGACGTAGGGTTATTCCTTTTATTTGCCTCTACCATTATTTTTTCTTTTATCAAATTTACATGTTGTAAATGTAACGAAGAAAGGGATAAAACATAGTTGTTTCCCGATATTTTGTTTTATCCTTTTATGAGCTTTTTACCTCATATTTAGCTTGTATCGTTTTGTGAGTGGAACGTAACCTTCCCATTTCAACAAATGGTCCAGGCCCTAAACTACGTCATTATATATTGATCATTTCTCTCTATAGTCATAGTTAGATTTCTTTTCTTTTTTTCTGAAGTTTTCTGCATGATGCAAGGAAACCCGTTCGTTGTGCTACCATGTGTTAACAGTATAAAATTGTCAAACGCTCAGGTAGAAGTACTGTCTATCGTGGATCTTTGTAAGAAGTATAATTTATCGTTATAAAACCATCCATTTAGTTATTCTTATAACGTGTTCGTAGATTATAATTCAGAATACAAAAAGAAACACTAATATCAGCGAATATACTTGATATGTATAGTTATTTAGCTTATGTCGTTTAATGGTTTATTGTCACGAGTGCATTACAGTATGAACCTTCCGGAGATACATGTAAGTATGTATAACCGTAGATCGTCCTCAACTTCTTTTTTTTTCTTTTTTTTTTAAAGAATAAGACCCTTAAAGTCAAAACACATAACCGTAGTCCGATCGCCACGCATAATTTTTCGTTCGTTTCACATTCGGATGCATCATAATTCTAAATTGTGGTCAGAAATATTTATTTCTTTATCCTAATTTAATAGTTTTTTCTTCCTTTTTTCCTGCACATTTTGGTTTAGAATGAAACGAAGAAAATGTCAAAAGGACAATGTTATAACGGTGAAGGATTAAAGAAAGGAACATGGAGTGCAGAAGAGGATGAAAAGCTCATCTCATATATCCGCGACCATGGCGAAGGTGGCTGGCGAAACATTCCCGAAAAAGCTGGTACATCCTTACATAGATATATCCACATATATTCTGTCACGTGTTATTTTTAGTTTAATTGATCTTTATAACATGCAACCTTTTTTCGAGTTTAGGGCTAAAAAGGTGTGGAAAAAGTTGTAGATTGCGATGGGTTAACTATTTAAGACAGAATATAAAGAGAGGAAATTTTAGCGACGAGGAGGAGCAGATAATCATCATGCTTCATGCTTCTCGTGGGAATAAGTACAACATTTTCCTGGTTTGTTTGTGCATACATAAGTGTTAAGACATGACCAATGTTTTAATATGTAGTTTTTCTTTATTAGGTGGTCGGACATAGCAAAACATCTACCAGAGAGAACGGATAGCGAGATCAAAAACCATTGGCACACACATCTCAAGAAGCGCTTAATCAAGAACGGCATTGACCCAGTGACCCACCTGCCACTAGTTTCTTCTGACTCTAGTCCGGCCGAGCCCAAGGAGTTCGATCCCCAGGAAGAATTTAATGCGGAGAAGCACTGGCCACAAGGGAGTTCAACATCTCCAGTATCTCTTGATCTCCCTTCTTCGAGTTTCAACAATCCTATAACCGAAATCACCAGGGATGAGACACCGTTAGATAATCGTTCCTTGAGCTGCAAGAAACGTTTCGAGAGATCGAGCCTGTTAAACAAAGTTGCAGCTAGTGCTTCTTCCTTTAGGAATTTCTTATCAACTTCCGTGGAAGGAACGTTGAGATCTCCTACACCGTCTTCATCTCTCCCAAATCCATTGTCCGAACACATGTTCGATGCCAACGAAGATCTCAGTACGAGCATTGATCTCAGCATCCCCCATAACGAATTCTCGCAATATCTCGAGCATTTCAACAACAACGAAGACGAATCCGAGAACATTGGTGGCTACAATCAAACTCTCCTTATATCCGATGTCCCATCATCATTAGTTTATGTTGACATGACGAATTGTGGAGACATAACTGGCTGGTCAAGTTATATTCCTGAACATACCAGTTTCCTGTATGAAAAGGAACAAGACTATTATAAATTCTTTTGATCCGTCTACGGCTTGCAGCAATGCTCGATAAACCCGAACGGACTGGTTATCTCATTGTTGGCATGACAAGATTAGGGTTTCCCTGAGTTATTTTTTCAAGTTGTTAAGCTGTGTTGTTAGATATTATTCTGTAGTTGCAGTAAAAAAGAATAGTGTCTTGTTATTATATGATACTTCAATATCCCCACCTTTTTTCATGTTTGCTTTTTTATCTGCAGATTTTTTGGTGTGCCAATTACATATTTTCATTTTCTTTTTTCTTTTAGTAGCTATGTTTTTTTCGTTGCTCCAGTTTTATATTTGACAATCATATATATATTTGACGATCGTTATAAATTATAAGGATGTCTGTCAGCCTACCTTCATAAATTGTCGGGTTACTAATTGCTTGTCATAACCATGATATTTGATTATTTTCTATATGCTAGTTGTCCATATGATTCCATTTTGAGGCTTGTATACTTCATCTTCGGCTTAATTCCAATAGCAAGCGTAAGTTCAATTAAGAAATATGTGACTACCATGGGATTTGTACTTTCGAGGACAATGACATTAGCTCTAGCAAATGCTCCACAATACCCAGTGGTCCTTTTTCTGAATTGGGAGTCGGAGACCCAACAGAAAAAACCACCCCTTTTGTGTTTTCCATGGCTTGTGACTATGTACGAGACTTGCCACTTCATATTTCTATTTCATAATTTCATATATCTTTTTTATATTATTAAGTGAGAAGTATATTGTAATGTTTGAATACAAGAATAAGAGAAAAAAACTGTTTGGAAGAATAGATGAGAAAAACTATTTGGATACAAGAAAATCTATCTTATATATAATGAGAGGATATCACTCTCCAGTTGAGTGACACCTCAGCTTTTCCCTATTACTCTGAAAACGCCACGTGGCATCATTTATTAAAAAAAAAAATTTGGTCACTGTGAATCCCTAATCGTTTCATCTTCCGACGACTCCCTCTCCCCTCCTCTGCTCCGACTTTTGTTCCCGCCGGCACATTTTATGCCGTTTCTTCTACGCTTGTCACCGAACCGTCACGACCAAGAGATTGAAGAAGAAACTACACAGTTGCTCAATGATTCTCAAACCGACTGTGAATTGAGGTCGCGGCCCGGGACGGTGAAGGTGCCGGAGGTGGAGATCCATCTGCGTAAGAGTGATAAAGGTCCAATCGATGTGTTCAAATCGAATCTCGTGGTAAAAAAGCTATGACTCTTTTGGATCAAAGCTCAGATTTGCAATCCCTTGGATAAAGAAATGGCAAAAAAACTAGAAATGGTACTGGAAAGATGTCAGGAGATCTGAGGTGGCGAAAATCAGACCATTGGAGTGGTCGTTGATTGTTCGGACAACTATGATTTGCCAGCGATCAAATCAGGAAGAGAGAGAGAAAGGGAAATAGATAGAGAGGAGAGAGAGAAGAGAGATGGCTAAAGGGGAAAGAGGGACTCAAATCAAAATAGATACAGTAACATCATACCTCATTTCTGCGGAAGATGGACCAAAAACTTGGTGTCTTTAATCGTTACCAAATTCCAAAAACTGAGATTATTTCCAGATCAAAACAAAAATGGTTTGACTGTAGCAGAACTCATGGATTGGTAAAAAGAGATTAATGTTTTTAATTTGGGGACTTTAGGAATCGATTTTTGATGTAGGGTTGTTAATTGTATTTCTCGACTTGATCAATAAGTCGGGTCTTAGACCAAAAAATCAACCCAATAAATAATGGGTCGGGTCAAGTTAATTTTAAACCAGGATTAAATTTTTGACGGAATGTGAACAGTATTTACATTGCTGTTAACCTCTGTTTCGTATGAGTTGTCAAATAATTATATGGTTAATAATCTGAGCTTTAAACTGATTAAGAAAATAAGGGTGAGTATTGTTTCGGTCACCCAAAAAGTCTGTGTATTAAGTTGGTCACCAAAATTAAGTTGATGTATTAAAATGGAAATTTCCCTAATTATATATAGATATTAAGGTTATCGGGGTTGGATTTGGGTAAGTTCAATTGGGTCCAGATGTTTTAAGTAGGTGATGTATGTACTCATAGTCTTATAGGTATCTTATAGATTTCGGTAAAAGTTCAAATTCTTTTGGGTTCAGGTATAAATTTAGAATACTGAAATATACCCAAAATATTTTAGTTACAACTTAGGTTTTGATATCTTGGTTATTTATCACCCAAAAATTAAAATTATATAGAAACTCTATAAATTAATAATCGATAAATTAATAACTCTTTCCGGTCTCAAACTAAGTTTTGGATCCAAATAATATCTCGATAATTTAATAAAATAATATGATCTTAGCATTATTAATTTATGGAGTTTCTACTGTATATCCAAAACCAAAAAAATACTCGAAAATCCGAAAACATATTTGTAGATCCGATTAAAAAAAAAAGATACTGAAAATATATCTGAAAATCCAAAAACAATATTTGAAAAACATAAAAATCTTATATTTATAATATCAAAATAATATACAATATCCATAATTGGGTATCGATGCGGTTTAGGTATTATTCAATACCTATGGGTATTAAATATTTATCCAATGGGTGATTTGTTATATAGCCAAAATCAATCAGATACGGGTATTTTGGGTTGATACAGTTTAGGTTTTCGAGTATAGGTTAAAAATTCCAGGCATACCGCAAATATTTTACAAAATTCGATTTTAGAGGAAATAAAAGCAATATAAACTATGTTATCATATATGAAAAAATATAAGAGACAAAATATTTACAAATTTCAAATGACAATAAAAATATAAGTAATAAAACTTTGTAATAATCATAATCCGCGCATCGCGCGGGCTTAGCCCTAGTATAATTGAAAGGGCTTGTGACACTCTCCAGCTGATGACACATCAGCACCCTCTGAGAGTGCCACGTCACCTTAATTTTTTAAATTCCCACGCTTTAAACCTACACGACATCGTTTTTGGACACTCCCGTCTGGCCCCAAAACAACGTTGTTTTGATACTCGTCTTATGCCAAAAAAACAAAATATATATATTTCCCCAACAAAATTCCGTCTTCTCGCCTCCCACTCTTCCCGTCGAGACCGTGAGTTCCGTCGTCTAACGATCTGACTTCCTTCCCCCAGATATTACAGAGCTTCTCTTATTCCGGTAATCAATGGCTCCCACTTAATTGCCCGGTTACCTTAAAAATACGTGAACCCAGCTTCCCCATTTCTCTTTAGCCGATTCACACGCAGCGGTTCGCTTCTCCCCATTCTATCACTGATTCACACACACTGAGTTCACGGCCAACCTTTTCACAAACTTTCATAGCTCGGCTCATGCGTCTATGGCCTCATCAATCACCAACACGCAGACAGAATCATCAAAGCGATGAGTGGAGCCGGAGATTTCCGTGACTGGGCTGCAGATTTCCTCTCCACCGTCAACGACTAATTCGGAATTCCTCTCTCCGCCGCCATGTTCATCCCCAGCGATTTCGACGCCGCCGACGTATCCTCCTCCAAGGCGGCTCTAATTCCAGTCGTCTCTCCGTCGCTTACCACAATCGTTCCTCAGTGTCTTTCTGCCAACGATCTCCGTCTCATGAATCTTCTCTCTCGTCTTCCAACACTCCTCCGCGGAAACACAATCATCGTCACGAACAACTCTGCTTCCTATTTTACACTCGACGGAGTTCTCGTCTCCGAACCAGATCTCTTCCTCTCTTCCTCCATAGCCATTCACGGTGTTGATTCGTCTCTCGATTTCGGCGATGACGGAAACGGCGATACAACATTAGCCGATAGTCTCCGTCCTTGGTCTCATCGTAATCGTATTCGTTATCGTCCTGAAGAATCCATATCAAAGATCCAGAAGCTGCTATTCTTAGTAGAGATGCTTTGGCTAAAGTTATGTCCTCAAGGTTGTTTGACTGGTGAGTTTCTCGACTCTACCGGATGAAGATATCCAGTAGCTGCTTCTCCTTATTTGTAGAAATAAGCTTTACCATCATTGTTCTTCACTAATCTCTTATGGTCTTTGCAGGCTTGTTGACAAGATTAATAGCTCAATTGGTCAACATCCTGACTCGAACTACTTGATTGGTGTTCTTGATATTTATGGATTCGAGAGTTTCAAGACAAACAGGTGCTTAAGTGGTATGCTTGTTGTTTTGATAATTGGTTAGATGGGATTCATTACTAAAGTGGATCTAACTCTGATACTTAACCAAAATATATGGGTCTGATCACGATTTTTTAGACATACACGATTGAGATTGTTTACTGCCTATCGGATTGTCAGCTTGTGAGATTATTGTAAGGAGATTACCGTTAGAATGCAACTGATGAAACTTCTCTGCAGAAGATTAACTTTAAGACTAATTCTGGTTGTCCTTTGGCCTAATATTTACTATCGCAAATTTGTATTGCAGTTTTGAGCAATTTTGCATCAATTTGACCAATGAAAAACTTCAACAGCACTTTAATCCGGTTTGATCGCAAGCTCTTTCACTTTTCGAGTTTTGGCATTTTCTACATTCTGCAATGCCCATGGTTCTGAGGTTGTGTTTAACTTCTCTCCGAGCAGCATGTCTTTAGTCTGTTCCGAATCTAACGATTGGTGATCCGGTCATCGAGAGTTTGAGAAAGCACACAAAGTAAGAACACTCGCACTCCTTCCTTCCCTAGAGTTAATAACTGACTAACATTTTCAACTTGAAAACTTTATCCTTGCCTCCTTCATGATTAATCACAGTGCATATCTTGATTGCCACCTAATGGTGACGAACCCTATGGATTAAGTTGAACAAATGGGTAAAGCTGGTGCGTCTGGTTTCACATTCCACGTTGAGGTAGCCAAAGGTATAATATAATACCTCTCTCCCCCACCAAATCCAAAAACCTTCAAATTTGTTTCTCATCTATATCTACGCGCGTCTCCGTTGTCATGAAAAGTGAGCGATGATCATTTTTTGTTTTTTATAAACCAGTCTTTAATCTCTCTGTCTCTTTGTTTCTTTGTCTCATAGATTTTCAGGGTTTTTGATCGGCATAAACGGGAAATGTCCAAGGTTACAAACAAAGCAAGAACATGGTTTCCGATTAACAATTCGACAATAATTGGGAGCTCAAATTGTATCTGCATCAATAAGGTCCCATCTAATGCTTAATGTGTCTTGTAAATTCATGCCAGGTAATACACATAAGTCTTTTCTTTAGAATAAACGACATTCTCAAACTTAATGAATTGGTTTCAAATGCATTTTTCATGTAGTTCTAGGATGAAGAAATTAGAGGTCTGACTTTAAATCTAATCGAGAAAGAATATGAAGGTAATGTGTCTGAAGCATTATTTTTTATATCTAGGATTAATAGAAATCTTTTAAATGTACCAGAAAATGAATGTTTGTTTGCAGCTAATGTCAATTCTCTCCAACGAAGAGGCAGACCATTGTAAAGACTTTTGTCTCTTTCCTACTTCTCTAACTAATCAATCTTATAATACTTTTGTATAATGTGGAATCAGCTGCAAAACTAGCTGCAAAACTAACGTAAATTTTTGTTTCTTTTATTATAATGCAAGCCTATTTGGGTTTCAAAACTAACGAAATTCTTGGTTATCTAATATGTAGGTGGAATTGCAAGTATAGATGTGAAGGCAATACCAGTTCTTCAATTTTAAGCATTACCAAGGTAATACATTTAATCAACAATCTACTGCTGCTATTGTTAGATACTCATTTATGTTGTTTGCATGTTATGTCATACTAAGCCAAATCCGAGTTCTGACTTTCGAAGTTTAGGTTTTCTTTATTCTATTTGCTTCAAGTACTCATAAGCATCGATCTCCAATGCCTTTTCATTAAATAAGGTTCTGTGTTATCTAAAAATTTTGAATGGATTATTAGCATAGAGTGTGGTGCCCGAAAATCGATATATATATATATGCTCCTAAGCACGATTCTCCTTAGTTTCCTTCTTTTTCAATTAATCATTCTTCTTCCCTGTGCTTTGTTAAAGTTCATTGCCACTCTCCTAAGAGAGTAAGAGGTCTGAAACTATTTAAAATTTGCCATTTTTTAGAGAGCTAGCAAATATAATCTTATAAAAATTGATCATATTGGGACTACAAGCATTGGGAGCATGGCTTGACGTTGATGTGTTGGGTTTCTCTTGCATGGGTGGATATACTGGGAATATAATGAACTTAAGACCTGGTTCTCCCGGCTCCTAAACTCCAAAACGTTTATAATACTTTTATTAATTTGACTAAAAGTTATCTGCCTGCTTTTATTAATCTCTTCTTAAAATTGGAGTTGTGAGTGGTGGCAAATGAATGGTTCGTTTCTCCACCTCTAGGAAGCAATGCGTTTCTTCAAATTAACTTCTACATTGAGCTAATTTTTTGGGGTTTCTGCATTTAAAGTGTTTGAGCTGATCACAGGCTAAATATTAAGTGTTCATGAAGATAATGAATATAAATATCATCCATGGTTTAGCTTTGTCTAGAACCAGGCCTTCTACAGTGTTCATTGCTAACAAGTAATTGATGTTCAGTTTTGAGTTTAAAGAAAGAGTCAAGACGACGAGCTTCCTTTTTTCATTGATTGGGTTGGTTACAAGGTGTTCTTACTTTGCAACTGCTCTTATTGACCATTTAACATTGTAGGAAATTTTGCAGGTTGCAGCATATTCGATTGGGTTTTTAAAGCTTTCAGATTTTATTTGATGTTGAACCTATTGGAAAAGAGGAATTGGCAAATCGATTTGTAGACCATTCTCATGGTTTAGATGTTAGAGTATGACTCCAGCTCCAGATGTAGCGTTCAATATAGAAGATATACTACTATTGTTTTGAAACACAAATCGATTTCTGCAGTGTTTATGAGCTAAATGTGTATATATTTTTATCCTACAACTTCCCTTGCTTTTTCATTTTATTTGCAACAGATGATGTTAATAAAGTTATACTTATATTTTTTATATTTTACACATTGAATGGACTAAACGTGTGGAGATGAATTTATGCTCTTGAAAGTTTTTACAAATTTCAAAGTAATTCTCAAGTTGTATTCAGCTAATAAAATTTAACTTTCTTTGTTAGTTTGACTATTTAGTTTATCCTTACTTTACAACTTTTGTCTCCAGGGTGTCTTTCTACAGATGGTTATTAGTTTAGACAATAATCTTCTCGCGTTTTAACCTAATCCGTGTGCCAAATCCAGTTTATAGACATACATTTATGGTAAAAAAAATACGTTGATGACACACAAATCATGCCTGGAAGTGTCAGTTCATTACATAACATAACAATTGAAGTAAATACAAACAACTTACAAAATGACCTAAGAAACTTACAATGCTGTGTAAAAAACAAAATCCACCCGCGCATTGCGCGGGTTCACACCTAGTTAACTTAAAACAAACCGATGATTTAAACTACAATAAACCCAATCCGGATTGCTTGGGTAATGGATACAGGTCCCAAAATATATCAGTAAATCCCTTTCTTATTATTATTTTAGAAAAAATTGGAAATATATATGAAAGCCCGGATAAAAATCTGAGAAACCTAAAACAACTTTATCTATAATATCAAAAATAACTACAATACCCATTCTGTTAATTGACCGGGTTGAGTACCAAAACAAAACTAAATTGAAATTATAAAGAAACATAATCCACGCTACTACTGTGCGGGCCAGCTACTAGTTATAGACTTATATTTTTAATTCTTTGTTTTTTTTTATAGTTTCCTTGTTCTCTCTACTTTACTTACTACTCCCTCTGTTTCAATATATAAGGGGTTTTAGAGTTTTGTTTTTGTTTCAAAATATAAGGGGTTTTAGAGTTTTTGTGCAAAATTAAATGTGTTATTATTACTTTTGATTATTTATATTCTGCAGACTTTTTTCTCATTGGTTGAAATGTTTTGGAATTGATGATAAAATATATTTTATTTTAAAAAGTATAAAAAGTAAATGTCTTCTTAATCTGTGTGCAAAAACCTTAAACCCCCTATATTATGAAACAGAGGGAGTATGTTTAAAGCCCCGCGCAAGCGCAGGGTTGTTTGCAATAGTTTTTTTGTTTAGTTTCATTTATACTCCTTTATTTGATTTATGATGGTTATGTATTATTTAAAATTTTCATGTTTTGTTATGTTTTAAGTTAACCCAACCACTAACACAAAAAAATATGATCAGTTTGTTTTTTATTTTATTTTATTTTATTAGGATATTAACACTCCACTTTATCTCGAGTTTTCTATTTCTAAAATTTTAGGATGTTATACATATTATGTTTGTTTACTTGCACTATTAGACTATAAACATGCATATGCATTTGAGTCAACGTTAAAATTTGTAAACATAATGTAAAATCGCATTTGCTCCCGAAATAAGATGAAACAAATAATATGTATACTTTATTACATACTAGGGTTTGGCCCGCGCGATGCGCGGGTAATGTGTATTACAAGTTATTTAATAAGTATATATTTAGATTTTCAGAATTATTACATTTATTCTATGTTTATATATACAATTATTCTTTCTAAACTCTATTTCGGCCGGTCAGACCGGTCTAACCGGGAGTTGGACACTATCCCAATTTGAGTTTAATTAAAAACCGCAATTGCAATTGAAACAAAAGAACCAGCAAAAAAAGGGTCAAAACCCGGTACCCAGCCGGTTTGGTCAAATAACTAACCCCGGTTTTTTGTTATGCACTCTAAAAAAGGCTAAAAACTTCTAAAAGTAAAACACATATGGATAGAACTAGAGATCTGTTGATTCCTCAGAATACCGGATAACTAGAGTTTGAGAGTCCTCCTCCCAGGGCTTTCGCAAAAGCTCTTGTTTGTGAATACTCTTCACAGTGGTTTATCAAAACCTCTTCAGGAAATCTACTTTTATTAATTAATCAAAGTCTGAATTACAATATGAAGCCTAGACGGCTATATATAAGAAAACCTCAAAAAACCTAAAAGCCATAAATAATAATAAATGTAAATAATACTTATTTATCTAAATACATAAAATATAGATCCAAATATCACGCTGCATCAGGTCTCGCCGGCCAAGAAAGATTCGTCCTCGAATCTCAATCGGTTTTTCCACACCGATTTTGCACGAACCGGATCTTGCACGAAATCTTCACAAACCGGATCCGCGCCGATTTTGCACGAACCGAAATCTTCATAGATTTGTTTCTCTTGAGACCTAGAATATCTTCGTTTCTGCACACAGTTTGCACGGTCGTTTCTGAAAACGTCTTCCTTGAACACGAAATCAACATGATCAACGTTCAAGACATCGTCTTCATAAGTATCGTAGATGAGATCACCACAAATTTCTCTGTAGATCTCATCATCTTCATAAACGTCGTAGATTGGATCGCCATAGATCTCTCGATAGATCTCATGACTCTCTTTTCTCTCGACAAAAGAACTTTCGTCCTCGAAAATGTAGATGCTAACACTCACCGTGACATCCATAATCGATCTCTGATTAAGAAATCAAAGAGACACGGCTCTGATACCAACTGACGTAGCAGAAGCTTCTAGAGATAGAACTAGAGATCCGTTGATTCCGCAGAATATCGGATAACTAGGGTTTGAGAGTCCTCCTCTCAGGGCTTTCGCAAAAGCTCTTGTTTGTGAATACTCTTCACATTGGTTTATCAAAACCTCTCTAGAAAATCTCCTTTTATAAATTAATCAAAGTCTGAATTACAATATGAAGCCTAGACGGCTATATATAAGAAAACCTCAAAAAACCTAAAAGCCATAAATAATAATAAATGTAAATAATACTTATTTATCTAGATTCATAAAATATAGATATTTAAGATATTTGGAGATATTCCAAATATCACGCTGCATCATTTATGGGGTTTTTGCTGTTGAGTTGATGTCGAGCCACAAGGGGTCTTTGTCGGGCAACACCATCTAGAAAGACACAGAGTTATTTTTGTTCGTGCATTGCTGTTATTATTGTTTGTAATTGGCCTATAGGTGGGATGATCCACTCACTAAGTATTTATGATAATACTTACACAACTTTTTCGTAATGTGTTGCATATAAAAAGTTTATGTAATTGCGGAATCAAAGTCGAAGGAGAAGATGATAGGATTTACTGTTTTGCTTTATTTAAGTTGCTAGTGCTTAGTGTTTAGGTTGCTAATATTATTTATTATTTATTTGAATTTATTTGTTGAGCTGAGCTGCATTGAATGACTTGATTATTTATTTAAAGATTTCGGATGAATTGTTTAATTGTTTTTTTTAAATAGCTTGGTTGTTTCAGTTAAATATATTCTATAAAATATAGAAATTCGGGAAATCTTCTTAAAGCTAATATTTAATAATCACCTAGTTAACTATGTTTTCGTAAAGCTAATAATCTAGGTTTGTATTTGCCATTAGGTTTGTTCTACAAGACAAATGTGAATGTGATTAAATCAAAAGAGGAGGAGAATGCGGAAGTTGATTTCCATCTGGCCCTTCGCCGTGGTCATCATGTTTCTTTAAACTGAAGTAGGAGAGGGGAAAGGAGAAGTCAATGTCTTTCTCCATCACGAACTGTGAGTGTTTATGATGTAGCGGAAGGTACGATAAACACAGCTCAACCTATGATTCAAAGGAATCAATCGGAACCTGCCAGCTCGACTAAAGGATTCGATCATCTTCGCTTGGGACATGCTTCTTGAACTCGTTGAGATCTCTCTAGATCTACCGAAAACAAGGATAGAGAATACTTTCTCTCAAAGCCTAAGCTCTTTTATTAATAATCAATAACTTCATAATACAATAAGCCTAAACGGCTATTTATAAGAAAACCTTAAAACCCTAGAAAACCCTAAAACAATAATAGAAAATTAGCAAAATAATAATATGAATGATTAGAATATTTCTAAATATCTTTCTGTATCAGTTTAGCTCTAGTCCTAGCAAAATTTATCCCTCGTTTTTGGTTTGCAATTCAATTCGGTAATAAATTATCAATCGGTCCCAAGATAGTGTTATGCGATAAGGTGTGGCTAAGACAATAGATGGGACAAACATTTTCTTGATGGTACGTAATGGTATAAAAAAGGTTACATTTTGAACATGAAATCATAATTATTTTATTAATTCAAATGAGGAGACAAATCTTTCAAGCAAATCGTTCATACAAAGATGACTTAAACAGAAACATAAACCACAAGTCCACAATACAATTTTTTATTTGAATTTAAACAACGCGAAATAGTACCGAGCTAAGTGAGATCAAGTCCACTGGGTAAGGACTGGAATAAGTTGAAGCGGTACCTTCTTAGGACAGACAAGTCCATATGATTCTCCAAGCTCAACATCTTTTGCTTCCATTCCTCCTGGAAGCTTCCAATCGAAACGGTAAAGAAGATTGATAAGAGCCAAGTGTACCAAAGCCATACCCATACCCATACCAGGGCACATTCTCCTTCCGCTACCAAATGGCAACAGATCAAAGTTTAGACCTTTATAGTCAACCTCATTATCTCTGAACCTCTCGGGGAAGAAAGATTCTGGATCTTTCCAAATGCTTGGATTCATATGAACAGCCCAAATGTTGACATGGATCCATGTTTTCTTTGGAACGTCGAAACCTCCGATCTTTACATCTTTTGAAGCTTCTCTTGGAACGAGAAGTGGCACAAGCGGTGTTATCCTAAACGCTTCTTTGATCACCATTTTGAGATATTGGAGTCGTTCTATATCGTCTTCTGTGATATGGTCTTTGTTTTGGATCACTTCTCTCACCTCCGCTTGCAGTTTCTTCATAACTCTAGGGTTTTTAATCAAATGTGTCATCACCCATGTCACAGTCTGGGCAGAAGTGTCTATTCCAGCAGCAAGAATGTTCTGTAACAATCATAAAAAAAGAATATTAGGACTGGAGTTTGAATGGACAAGCATTTTCATTATTTATTTACTTACCAGAAGAATTCCTTTAGTGTGGTTTCGAGTAAGTTGATACTCGCCAAGTCCAATCTCTCCTTTCTCCATCTTGAGGAGCAAGCCAATGATATCATCTTTAATACTTTCATCTTGTAGATGATTCTTTATAGCTTCATCGAAAAAAGAATCGATTGCCTTAAAAACCTCCTCACATTTTCTATGTAACCCCGTGATCCTATCGATGAATTTACCAATAACCGGGAAATAATCCGCCGCTGCGAAACTCCCCAACACCTCAAAAGTTTGCACGATGACTTTGTCATAAGTTTTCTCAAGTTTACTCCCTGCAAGATTCATCCCAAACCCAACCCTACATATCACACTTCCCGACAGCTTCAGTGTCTTCTGGTTGAAGTTAATCGGGTTCTCCAGTGAAGCAGATTGCTTGACGAAATCGATAAAGGAGGTAACTTCTTCTTCTCTTACATGTCGAAACGATTGTACCCTTTTCGCCGTGTAGAGTTCAACAACCGTCATCTTTCGGACTTCCCTCCAGTACTTGTTGTACGGAGAAAAGACGAGATCGTTTAGATTGTACGTAATTCTTGCAGGATATGTCAAATAAGGCCGCGAACAACAATCCATATCGAATGTTTTCAGGACATCCTTTACCGTCTCTGGTGTTGATGCCACAACAGTAGATACACTTCCAAACTTCAGGGACATCAGACCGCCATACTTTTTGGATAACTCGAACATCGAACGATGAGGATGCGATCCCAATTGGTGCAAGTTCCCAATTATAGGAAGTGTCGGTGGTCCAGGAGGTAGATTCTCCTTTTTCTTCTCGGACTTTCTCATGTTCTTTGCAACGAATATAGATGCAAAGAACAAGAATGCAACAATGATAAACCACAAACTCATTTTACTCCCTACGAGAAAAAATATAAGAAAAAAGAGTTTATAAGACAGTTATAAATATATTAGATTAATTATTTTGTGACAAACAAAAATTAAGGAATGATTGGGGAGAGCAAGTGAATGCTATGCACAGCTGTATTTCTCTATACGACATTTTTTTTTCTTCTCTATACAACATTGCAAAGTAACCTTTTCATATTTTGTTAAAAATCAGTTTGTTTCTTTTTCTTTTGTTAAAGAAAAAGATACATACATTTCCACATATAGTTAACAGTCCATAAAAAGGTAAAGAAAAACACACATATTTCCGCATATAGTTAATAGTTTATCAAACATATATTTCCAGATATTTACAATGTTTTTTTTTCACTGAATTGGTTGGATTTTATAAGCTAAAAAAAAAGCAAAAAGTACACAAAGATACCAGAGTATGGTTACAAAGGATAAAAACCCCATGAACAAGCCAAGCTTGTTAAAAACAGGATCGGAAAGCAACTACTGAGATCCACCGACAAAATAGAAATATTCAACCAATATTTACACAATATTTGAGGAACGTATGTAATATGACATATAAATATAAATATAGTACATTTTTAATTACATATAAACATAATATAATATTACAATAAAAATATTAATCTACGTACAAGGTAATATTTACATATCATGTTTTCATTTAAAAAGGTTACAGCCAAAATCTTAAAGCTACAGCAAATAAACATATACATTAATTGAGATTCTATAAAAAAAAACAACTAAAGCTACAACCTTAACCAATTAGGCCAAAAAAAATATTATTTTACATAATATAGAAATACAATAATTACTAGAAACTTAATCTTAGTCTTTCATTTCAAACTTTGTGGCTGTAACTGGTTATCAAATTTATGAATAAATTGAATGAGATTAATTTAGAAAAATGGTATTCAAATAAATAGAATAATGGTAGTTATGACAGTAAAACAAATAGAATGGTTATATTCAGAAAAATGTTATGTAACATAAATGCTGACTAGTGAAAAGAATAAATATCACAATATCAATATGAACTTGTAGATTTAATTCCAATTCTGCCCTTTTCTGCATCATTCATCCTGGAATTTTTATTTGCTTATTTGTTTTTGCTGGGAATATGGAAAAGGTTGGTTTCATATTTGGATGGGACTTTTGTGATTGAATGAAAATAAATTTAGTTTAATTAAATAATTTTATTTTCTAATATTAAGTTTATTTTTATTCCTTTCAATCCTTTCCATTCACAGTGATTATTGCTATGTAATATTTTTTAACATGATTCATTTTCTTTCGCACCCACTCCACTGGCGTTAATGGAATAAATTTTATTTATCATGTTACTTAAATGATAATATTTTTGTGGAATCTCTTGGAATGAATCATTTCACAAAATTCTATCCCACTAAATATAAATCTAGTTGCATGTTTTTTTCAGATGTTATTAGTTAGCTAATAAAATACTTCCACTGTTTCATAATAAGAATTGTTTTAGAGTTTAATTTTTGTTTCATTATAAGTGTCGTTTTACATTTTCAATGCAGAATTTTAATACAATTTTCAGATTTATCCCTAATCTTTCAGCTCAATAATTGATAAAATCAAATAATCTTATATATTAAATAGGGATAAAACAGAAAATTTTAATATTTTATTAATATGTGTGCAAAAACCTTAAACGACACTTAATACGAAATGAAGGAGTACTATAAAGCATGATATGAAAGACAAAGATTAACCTCAAAATTAATTAATAAGAAATTCAAAATAAATAATCAGTACAAAATATACGAAATAAAAAAATATAAGTAAAAACAAAGTAATGTAATGTTTTCTCTAATACCATCCCACAACTTTATACTTAATTAGTCTTTATAAATAAATAAATAAAACACTAGATCACTCTATCATATTTATTCAAATTTAGTGACTCGACAAATCATTTGATAATTACTAAAGATATGTATAAGAGTCAGAAATATCTAGAGTAAGAGTTGAGTAAAATTACCTTAAACTTTGTGGCTGATGAGTTTACACAAGGGTGAATGAGAGAGAGTGTGAAGTATTGTGTTTGTTTTGAGATTCTGAGAAGTGAGAAGAGACGCAAAATATATATAGAAATCCGATGTGTGGCTGGAAGAAATAACGCTTCCAATGTGGCCGGGTGGGGAATGCTTTTTGATTTATTACGAAAGTAAGAAAGATAAATGAATTATGTGGTAGTCATGAAACAACCAACATTTTTTTTAATAATTAAATATTAAATAATTTTAGTGAAAGCTTTTATAATAAATAACCATTAAAATATAAATATCAAAATAAATAATTCAATTCAGCGAAAGCAAATAAATAATTAAACAAGTCTAACAAAACAATATAAATAAATAAATCATGTCATCCCCTCTCCAGCCTCGATTCCGAGATCACAATAACCTTTTACCTGCAACACATTGGAATATATGCAAACAACCCCGCGCGGGGGTACAATTCCTTTTTTTTTTGAACAACTCTTTCATTAATGAAAAATATTTCTATTACACGGGAAAATTAAACGACGGGAAATTAAACGGTGTTCGATGACGAGAAGCGAGATCGCATGCAGCCGACTTCGCCAAAGCATCTGCCTTCGAATTCTCCGATCTCAGTGTGAATCGGAACAAAACTGAGGTAAATAACTGTGCAAGAGATTGAATATCGAATAGGAGACCATAGATTTCCTTGATTTTCTCTTGCGATGTTAGGGCTCAGATCAGATCATGAGCGTCTGATTTGATTTGCAGGTGGAGGAAATTCTTCTCCAAGGCTTGGATTAAAGCCGATCTGATTGCTATGGCTTCTGCCATGAGAGGAGAGCTCGCGAAAGGTTCCGCTAAACTTCCGGCATCAATTTGTGTGCCATCCATGGTGGTGAAAATCCATCCTGTGCCCGCTATTGTAGTCTCCGGTAGCCACGATCCATCAGTGAAGCAAACAACTGTGTCCGGGTGAAGTCGTTTGGTGTTTAGGCTCAGATTAGCTAGAGGGAGCTTCTTCTCTGGAATCTGTGCCTCTTGCCACTCTCGCGCGTCTTGAATAGCTTTGAGGTTGGATTCCTCAGGTGAGAAAGGTCGATTTTCGAAAAGACGGTGGTTCCGGGCTGACCAAATCGTCCAGAAGATCCACGGGGAAAGAGGGCCGGAGCTGATTCCCGTTGGTGGTAAACAAATCAGGCGTTTCAAAACAGTCACAGAGGCCTCGAAGTTGATTGAAGTGAGGTCAATGGTTTTCGAGAACGGAGCTAGAGCCCAGACTTTTCGAGCGAACTCACACCGGAAGAAAAGGTGTTCGTCAGTTTCTAGTTCACCACAGTGAATACAGCAGGCACTATCCAACAAGCCTCTATTCAGGAGATTCTCTCCCATAGGTAAAGCTTTATGTAGAATCTTCCGTAAAAAGAGTTTAATTTTGAGGGACAAGTGCCCTAACCAAATGTCTGCATTCCAATTGATTGTTGTGTGAATGTTGCCTGCAGGCTGCTCTCTTAGGGATCTGGAAATATGGTAACCCGTCTTGACTGTATAGTCACCTGATTTTGAAGGGATCCACACATAACAGTCTTGAGCTCCTTTTAGGCTAGGACGGATGCTCATAATCTGAGGTAAGTGGTGTGGGATCAAGTCTTCTATCTTCTGTTTATCCCATCCTGATGCATTGATTAAAGACGCCACCGTTGCATCTTTGTCCTGTAGATTTGGCGGTCCCAAGGGTTTAAGCGGTGTTGTGTGGGACAGCCAAGAATCATTCCACAGTGATGTGCTTTGGCCGTTACCAATTGCTCTGCCCAACTGTTCAACCAAGAGGTCCCTGCCAATGAGAACTCCTCTCCAGCCATGCGAAGATGAAGTGGAGGTATGAACATTTAGGAAGCTTTCGTCTTTACAATATTTTCCTTTTAGAACCCGAGCTAAGAGGCATGTCGGTTTTGTCAGGACTCGCTAACTAAGCTTAGCTAGTAGAGCATCGTTAAAGCTTTGGATGTCCCGGAAACCCAAACCTCCTGAGGTTTTAGGTTTTGTCATCTTTTGCCATGAGACCCAACTCATCTTCTGCACTTCTCGCGTCGCATCCCACTAAAACCGAGTGATGGCCGATTGAATTCGTTTACAGAGACTGACCGGGAGCTTGAAGCTTGACATAGAATAGGTGGGTATGGCCGAGAGGACACTTTTGATCAGTGTCAGCTTGCCTGCTATGGATAGTCGTCGAGAGGCATAGTGTACTGCTTTCTGGCGTATGCGGTCGACTATCACGGAGAAGAGGTCTTTCTTTTTCCGACTGAAGCTCTCAGGTAAGCCCAAGTATTTACCTTGGCCTCCTTCCGTTTCTATCCCAAGTGTTTGCTTCACTCTGACTCTTATATCTTGGGGAGTTTTCGACGAGAATGTGATAGACGATTTCTGCTTATTGATTTGTTGCCCTGATGCTTCCTCATACTGTCGCAGGATTGAAGCGAGTGAATCACAGCATTGGAGTTTGGTTTGACAGAAGAACATTGTGTCATCCGCGAACAACAGGTGATTTATCCGTGGACTTTCCTTTGCTACTTTAATACCTGGTATTAGACCAACTTGGGCGTTGTTGCAGAGTCCCGTGAGCACTTCCCCACAGAGAATGAAGATGAAAGGCGACAACGGGTCCCCCTGTCTTATTCCACGTTGAGGTATGACACTTCCTTGAGCTGTCCCGTTAACCAAGAACGAGTAGGAGACTGTAGATATACACTGGAAAATCCAGTTAATCCACTTAGCATGAAACCCCATCCTTTCTAGAACCGTAGTTATAAAATTCCATTCCAGCCTGTCATAAGCCTTGCTCATATCGGTCTTGACCGCCATAGAACAGTACTTTGTCGCTTTCGAGCCTTTTAAGTAGTGTAGGGTTTCGTGTGTAATCAACACATTATCCGAAATAGCTCTTCCGGGTACAAAGGCCGTCTGGTTTTCAGAGATAATTGTTGGGAGGATAGGTTGTAGACGTTTGGTGAGTAGCTTAGAGATGATTTTGTAGAAAACATTACAGAGCGCAATGGGTCTATACTCGGCCACCGTTTTTGGGGATTTGACTTTTGGAATAAGGCGAACATAGGTTTTGTTGATTGATGTTGGTAGTGATCCAGAAATGAAGAAATCTCTGATCTCCGAAGTCATTTTCTCTTTGACCACTAACCAATTTGTCTGGAAAAAGCTTGCAGAAAAGCCATCAGGACCTGGGGCTTTGTCAGGGTGGATCGCAAATAGAGCTGCTCTGATTTCTTCATTGGATGGAATGGCTATGAGGCTATCATTGACTTCATAAGAGATACACGGTTTGAGTGCTCGATTGACTGTATACGTGCATTGTGTGGATCTCGTGATAAAGATATCTTGGAAGTAGGCGCTGATGACTCTGACAAAGTCATCTTCCTCGTAGACAGGTTGGCCCTCTTTTTCTTCTAAGACTAAGAACTTATTTATAGCCTTTCTCCCTCTCGTTATTGCGTGAAAGTAACCTGAATTCTTGTCCCCTAGGGCAAGCCAGAGTGAACGGCTTTGTTGTTTCCAATGTTCTTCCTCCTTTTTTTAGGCTGCTTCGAGGTTTATGGTACTTCTTTGGATCAGGGCTGGATCGGCTGCTGATGCACTCATTGCTCTTTCCAGATTGGCTTTCTCCTCCTCTATCAGTTTCCGGTTGTTGACGTGATTTTTCCGATTCCAGTAAGATATAGCTTTCCTGCAGTTATTGATTCTTCTTTCTACTGAGTCGTCTTTTACTTTGTTCCAAGTAGCATCAATCAGCTTTGATATCTCAGTGTTATGTCGCATTGCTCTGTCGTATCTGAAGATGCCTCTTTTCTTCTTCTTTTCAGGTTGTAGTTCTGTGAAGATGGGCCTGTGGTCAGATCCCTCGAAGTCTAGGTAGTGACATCGGCTAGATGGGTAGAGGTCCAGCCACATGCTGTTGGCCATCGCAAGATCCAGTCGACAGTGTACCAGGTGCGTGTACCGTACTCCTCGCCAGGACAAGAAGTTACCGGTATGCTGCAAATCGTAGAGGTCACTTTGGGAGATGAAAGCGCGGAAATCACCAAAAGATGCCTCCGTTTGTTGTTTGCCTCCTGACTTCTCTGAGATGTCGATGATATCATTAAAGTCCCTGGTCAAAAACCACGGTTTATCTCGCACGAGTCCCAGGTTTGTTACTTCATCCCACACTTCTTTTCTCAGAGAGAAATCTGGTTCCCCGTAGACAAAAGTCGAGAAGAAAGTGTTTCCTTTATAAGTGATGGATGTGTCGATGTAGGATTTACATGAGGAGAGGACTTGGAGTGAGATCTCTTGCTTCCAGTATAGCGCAAGTCCACCACTTCCCGGGCTATTTGGTGGAAGCACGAATCTGGGCACATAGTCTGTGAGTGGGAGAAGTCGGAGAATCTCTTCTTCCTTGTTCTTCGTCTCCATGAGGAAAATTATATCAGGTGCGTGGCTTTTAACCAACTCCATTAATCAGTGAACTGTTGAGGGATTTCCCAAACCACAACAGTTCCAGCTCAAAATTTTTAAGGAAGAGGATCTAACGGATTGTGAAAATCCGCTTTCTCTTTTCTCGTTGCTTTCCTAGTCGCTGGGATGATGTTTGTCGGTGGTGGTAGTGAAGCTGGCGTTGACGGTCCTGAGGATCCTCGTTGTAGAGTTATTCTGCTGCGTCGGGTCCCGTGATTGTGGGTGACTGGGGAAGTACGCGTTTGGATGATTCTTGACAAAGGAGATATCCGTAGGAACGGTGAGATTCTCCCCTGCTTTACTTTTCTCTTACTCGTCCCCGCCTCCGGATTTTTTATGTTCAGTGTTGGTTTCTTTGTAGGTGGTCTGCCCCGTGGTCTCCGTGGTGGATCCTGATCTTGTGTAGGGCGATGATTATCCGTTCTTTCCTCTACTTCCTCCCTTGGAAGGGTAATGTTTTGTTCTCCCTGGCTTGGCACCAAGATTTGTTGTTGAGATGACTGAGCAGTAAACATGGATCTCGCCGTATCTGCCATGAGACTACGAGCTTCACCATATGGACTCGTTGCAATCGGGCTGCTCTTTCTATTGGGTCAGCAACATTAGCATACTGCATTGTGACTTCCTGGAGAGAAGACATAATCTCGGCTTCAGAGAGAGCTCGTTGGGGCGATGCAAAAGCTTCTATTTCCAGGTTTCTTCCAGTAATCTGAATAGGTAGTAGGGTAGTAGATATGTCATCAGCTTGGTCTACTAAACTTGGTGGTTTCTCTCTCCAGATTTGGCGTGGTGGCGTGGTCCACCGATTGGGTCTTCTTGTGGTTCCTATGTGACGTAGATCTGGAACAGTCCCCATCGGTTCTTTTTCATATCGGCTTTGGCGGAAGGAGGGGTCTACGTGGTTTCCTTTGTACGGCGTTGGAGGATTTGGTGGTTGGCGGCGCTCTTGCTGTGGCTCCACGTTGGGGTTCCTTGGTTGGCCGAGATCGTTGTTTCTTGCGCTTTCCGTTCTCTTTGTGGAAGGCCTATCCCCAAATGGTCTTCCATGTCGATCTTTCCGCAAATTGAAAGGGCGCTGTTCAGCTGGCTGCTCGTTTGTAGAGGTAGGGAATCTATCTCTCTCTGTAGATCTAGGAAGGCTCTCTTTTGCCGGTCTCGGCGATGGTTTTTCTAGGCAAGATTCCACCTCGTGGTTTAGACTGTAGCAGTATGAACAGTGTTTGCCTAGGTTTTCATACTCAAACGTCACTAGGGCTTCTTGACCCCCTTCAAACTCTATTATCGCGTCTTTGGTAAGTGGTAGGAGACCGTTGATTTCAACTTTGATCTTGGCCGTTAGGTTGGTGAGTAGTTGCAGCTTGTAGTCTCCAAGTTCTTTGCCGATGTCGTTAAGTAGTTCTTTCTTCCAATAGTGTAGGGGAATGCCTCGGAATTGAATCCAGAACTAGTGGTAATAATAAACGAAGATAAATTATTTTGTTGGTTCAAGGGATCGATTTTACTAAAACGTAGAATTAACTAAACTATTTTGATTTGGCAACTAGTGTCATGCTTTAGATCCATTAGAAAACTCGATGAGTGGACTATTTGACGATTACATTCATCTTGAGAGATTTATCAAGTGTTAAACATCCATATCAACCTTATATATATAAAAAAAGATAAATGGTGAAAGATGTAGCCAAAAAATAATAAAATAAAATTTGTGAATAATTGGGGAAGGACGTTTGGGACGTTTGAATTAGTTTTTTCTTATTTTTCTCCTCTTAATAAGTTTCACTGTAAACTGTATGTTATCAAAACATATAATATTAAACATGAGTTTTCCTTTTTTTTTCTTAATTCATATCGGTATGGTACTCATAAACATAAGTCACCCACAAAGAAAAATCATTCTGAAGAAAAAATATTTATACAGTGAAATAATAGATGATACAACAAATCACCAATCCAACAAGTTATTCGGACATCCATTATCCATATCAAAGCCGGATCTATATGGATATTTTTTGTAAACAAAAAAAATAAAGACTTTATTCCAAAATAAATAATTTTCCTTTACCTTTTATTAAAAAGCATTAACGAATAACGAAATGCAAAGATACCGAAACCGAAATGCACCCATAGTAATATAGTATGCCTTTGAGTCATTTAATCGTTTTCTAGAACAATTTAAATATTTTTGTTTATGTTCTAGGACTCTAGATTCAAAACTAAACATTTTCTAAGATCCTCATAATAATTTATTTCTCACCAAGCTCATTCGCATGTAAGTGAAACATAGCAATCACTTTTTCGCTCTACATGTTCTTTTCAAGAACCAATTTTAACAATATCAAGTTAATATAAATTAAAATTTATATGAATATGAGTCAAAGTTGTGTTTTATTCCAACTGATTCTAATTAATCTCCTCTAAGTCTAAAGTACTTTGTTGATCTTTTTTTATGTGGAGTCTAAAAAGTCAGGATTCACTTAAAGTTTGACTAAAATATTCTTCAATATAATGTAAAGTTTTTTTTTTTGGTAAGGCAACGAGTTCGTCTCCCACGGTTTATTAATTAAAAGTGAAAAGTTACTACAAGATTATATTTCTAGGACGCGTTGTCTCACTCTCAAACCATCTGCGAGACGGTTTGCTTCACGGACATACCAATCCTTCAAGAAGCCATGACACAAGCGTACCAAGAAAGATAAAGGATGCGAATCTTGTATTCCTTTCGTCAGGAAACCCACCACCAACTCTGAATCCACTTCCAAATCCAGCTTCGGAATTCTCTTCTCCCACGCCATCACTAAGCCATAATAGACGCCCCATAGTTCTGCCAGTGGTGCAGAGCAATATATAATGTAAATAGCATTTTTTTTTTTTGCAAAAATCATATTTTTGGCTCACACCGTACCACTGTATTTTCCGGTTAAAATAGTAAAATTGTGTTTTCTTGTGAAAATTGATAAATCTCATATTTTGGCAAAAAATTGGATACTTGTATTGTTCACCAAAACCGTAAAACATGAATATTATTTTTTTTCCGCTAAAACCACAAATATGTGTTATCAAAACTGAATCATATGCTCCGACTGGTAACATGTGGTATTACAGTTAATTTAGAAGAAATGATATTATTTGATGTAAATTGCAGTAAAAATCATGTTGTAGGTTTGCTGTGAAATTAACACACACAAAAAAAATTAAAAAACGTGGAAAGAAGAAAAGAAAATAAAGACTGCTAGATCAAATTCTAAAACAATCTCATTTTCCATGTGGTAAGAATTTGACTTGAGGTAACTTTTTTACAAAGGTCATACATCAAAATTCTAATTCAATAATACCACATTCTAACTCAAACTCTAATGCAAAAAGTTAAAAATAAATTATGATTAGTAACATTTTTGAGTTGAATTCATAAATCAATCATACTATATGATAACTCATGTTACCATAGTTTTCAAAATGATGGCTGGTAAAGTAGGAAAAGACAAGTCTTCTTTTTACTCCCTCCGTTTTTTTTTTTATAAATTTTCTAGGATTTTCACACATATTAAGGAAAAGCAGATTTTCAATCATTAGTGTATTGATTTCTGCAATAAAACAACTTTTTATAATTTTCAACCAATAAAAATCTAACAAATACAATCATTGTTTCTTGAAAACTGAAAAAGTGTATCAAAAAAGTAGAAAATTTATCTTTGTGAAACAACAACTAATGTCTAGAAAATCCATCTTAAAAAAACGGAGGGAGTATATTTTAACGTTGAGAAACGAAAAATAATTTTACAGACGGGAACTTCAAATCGAGAAGAAACCACTGATATAGTTGTTGAGCTCATTTTGTACAATTGTTTACAAACAAACTCATTTCAAATGAAATTCACATGTTTAACAAAAAAACAAAACCAACAATATTGTTGATGAAGACTATACGACAACAAGAAAAATGACAAAATGATTAATGACTACGAAGACAATACATATTGGAGAATCTGATACTTGTGTCTATGGATATGAAAGGAATCCAATTAATATACAGAGATAACTTCACTCTTTTTCTTTTTTTTTTTTCTTTGGGTCATGGGAACTTCTTTCCTTCCAAAAAAAAATTGAACTCTATAGATCACACATCCTTCAATTTTCCACTCAAACATGTTTAACTGTGAAATTTTACGAGGATGTGCTTCAATAAAGATAAGTACACTTTTGATAATATGATATAATCGGAAAACTCTAGGACTAGCAAGCACTCAACCTAAATTGAATTCAAGTTTACAAGCGATAAACTTGAAAAGAAAACTTTGAAAATCCATCATATTAAAGAACATTATCTGCTTTGATTAATTAGAATAATAATATATGCTTAATGGTTACAACTTAAAAGTGCTTAAATGACCAAAACAAAACCCTAAGAAAATATTCAAAACACTTCAAAAAAAACACAACTAAAAAAAAAAATTTGTGAAAATCTCTTAAATGTCTTCTACATCAGTCTCCCCCACCTCTAAAGAACTCGACGTCAAGTTCTCTTCTAGATTAAGAATCTTATATGCATGGTACTCATGAATGTCAGCCACATTATAACTATTAGAAATGTTCATGTACTCCGGAAGTGCTACTACATAAACATTATCATTGATCTTTCGTAACACCTTGAAAGGACCATATTTTCCAGGTTAGAGCTTATTATTCCTCGAGTTCTTTTCTGGATAAGGAATCACATCCTCCTTAAAAGGCTGTCCTAGTTGGTAGGTTGTGCTTTGTTGTGTGTAACAACTCAAAACCTCTTTTTACAGAGGAACACAACTACATCATCATCCTATTTGAAAACGTTGGTTCTCTTCTGTTTGTTAACATCAATATTTTTCTTCACTTGTTCATCTGCAATCGATTTACTAAAATATTTGTAGATCACTAGCACTCCTTATGGAATTTCGTAGGATACTGAAATATCTGCTTTAATGTGAAAATAATGGTGTATTTATACACTATTACACGGTATATGCATCATTTCTAAATGCTAAATCCTAGTTAAATGTTGATCTATGGGAAAAATAACAAAATACATTAGTATTCATGTAATTTAAAATACAGTAGAAAGGAGTATTTGATTAAATTACAATAGAAACAATTACTAACTTAGCTAAATTGATTCTTTTTCCAATCAATTAAATTATTAAATAAATAAGAGATAGTTAAATAAATGAGAATTTCAACAAAAATGTATCTCTTAAAACAACTTAGGAAAGAGAAAAAGTAAAAGAGAAGAGAAATATTTGTTTAAAGAAAAAAAGTATAATGGCATAATCGTGATTTATAATTTGCAATTTCAAAATATTTTATTTAAATAATTTGAGTGGCATTTCCCTTAGATAAGTCGAAATCCGAAGGGCTGTTATCAAGGCCACAACAGTGAACCAACTTTTTTTTCCAATAAAGACATTTTTCCGACCACTTTCTAATTTCACATTAAAACTCCCCTTATTACAACAACTTCCCTAATATTAATAACAAACTCAAATTAAAAAAAAAAAAACCCCTTTTTAATATAACACCATTGTATTTTAAATTTGATTTCAGGACTTTTTTGTCCAAGCGTCGTGAAACTCTTGGCGTTTATCTTGGCCTTAATTGTTTTATGTTTGGGAGAAAGGCTTCCTTTAACTGATGATGGTATGCATATTTTCGGTGAAATTTTGCATACCAATCAACGAATTAGCTGAGGGAAAATTACCAAAAAATGTTAGTTTGTAGATGGAATATCAGCTGTTTTAATTGTGTCAGGTTATTTCGTCTTGAAGTAACTATATCCATTACGATGATATATGTCGTTTCCTTTACAAAAACATTATGAATGAAATGTCGTAAACTATAGAGGGATTTATTAATACGTTGAAGGTGTTCGATCAAAATTTTATGCCGGAAAAGAGATACCAACATGAATTCTTGATATATATGATAAGTTTTGCTATCTATTGATAATAAGTTAATAACCTGCTTATGTTTTTTTTTTTTTTTTTTTTTTTTTTTTTGACAGGTGTAACCTGCTTATGTTAAACATAAATGATGAATGTAGTCGTCGAATAGTCCACTCACCGAGTTTTCTGGTGACCCCTCAGTACAATAATGACTATCCATTATAGTAGATTAGTAGGCAAGTTGTTTTTGTCTGTTTTTACTCGTTGTATTTTTCTGTCTTATTACAAACTCCTTTTATTTTTGTGTCTTTTTTTTTTTTTTTTTTGGTTCCTCATATCTTTTGTTAAAGAGCGCATGCTATTCCATTATTTACCATAATAAAAATGGAAACACAATTTGAACCTTCGATCATAAAGCAAAATTTTGTAACAATTTTACAGTTTTATAACAATTATTGAAATTTTTTCCTCTCGTCTGAAATATTATGATTTATTAGGAATTATAACAACAACTACGAAGACAATTCTACAACTCACATTAGTCACATACCTTCTCATTATCTTTAAGGACTAATCCTCATGACAACGATGAACAGCTGCGCTTATACTATGCCGAAGATTTTCTATAAGATTGTCTCCATTAATTTCAAAAATTTGTATTCTTTGGGCATCAAACCTAGATTTCATAGTGTTGATCCGAATTAATAGTGTATAAGTTGATTCATATTAATCAAATACTAATTTTTGTTTAACATATAACAAAAAATATATTGTTTCCGTTGTTGATTGAAAATGTTTAAGTTTTCATTTTAAAATAACAGGTGAGTATTTGGTTATCGATTTATGGTGTATTATTTCATCTTGGTTATTTTCCATTTACAAATGTTTATGTGATTCGTTTCCAAATGTTTAAAAGGGTCTATGATTCAATTAAATTTAAAGAGCTATTAGAATAAAGGGTTAATTTGCTGTCTAGCCATATTGGGCTTTGGAATTAAGAATATAGCCATTGTATCTTAAAAATTAAGCCACTAACAAAGAGAAATCTTTGCTATCCAATTCTGTCCCTCAAACTGGCGGGAATATTTCCCTAAAAAAATTGGTGACGTCGCTGACCTTGTTCGTGAGCAGGAAACTTCATCCCCAATTTTTTTTTGTCGAACCATTAACAGATGCAGAATTAAACTTCATCCACAAATGTACAATACATTCCATTTGAAGTTTAGGTTTTGTATTTGAGGATGAATCCAGTTAAAATTAAACCCTAATCAACATTAGTGAACCCAAACAAATAAATGTACAGTACATTCAACTCAACCCAAACTGATAAATACAAGTACATCTAATTTGGAGTTTAGGGTTTATAGCTGAAGTTTAGAATCTACGAATTCATACTACAATAGTTAAAGGAATAAAGGAAGAAAGAATGTAGACTATACTATAGTGAAATGTCCTTATACTATTTACAAAAGGTAGAAAATGGTATAACAAAGAATTATACATTAACATCAAGCGTAGAAAATCAAAATGGTAACAAGAGTGGGAACTACAAGTCTACAATAACATGAACAACATCGAACACCCAGAACATCCAAATCCGGATTGATAGCTCGATACGATGCAGTCGTGGTGGAAAATGTGCTTACATGACATCTCACTTACATGACATCTCACGCGTTTCCCTCTCTGGCTCGAAAACCTCCGTGCACACAGCGCAATTGGCCTCCGCGCATATGTGGCAATCAGAGATTTCAACCCTCGCAAAGACTCAATCGCCGATTTCGACGCCGGATGGTTTTCAGATCTACCATCTTGACTCGGCTGTTCGAGCTGTCGCTCAGATACAGAATCCGGAAGCGGCCTTAGACCCAATCCGGATCCGTCAAAAGCGCGTCTCGGTTGACCGGGTTAAACGATGGAGACGACCGGATCTCCGACGTCTAATCACGGATCTACGGTTGTTGTAGATCGATCTAACTTCAGTGGAAGCTGGGTCGGCAGGAGCGGATGAGGAATCGGTAATCACTTCAATGAAACCGCCGCCGCAGTGCGGTGCCTTCTTCAGCCTAGACGCTGACGAATAGCGTCGGACTTCTACCTCCTCTTCCGCTGGTGTCCGTCGGACTTACGGTCCCTTTAACTAATCCTCCTTCGATTTTCCGACCTTAGACTTTCCCAGTCAAAATCCCAAATTCGCTTCTCTTTTTTTTTGTCTCTGTTTCTTGTCAGTTTCACTCGCCGAGGAAAAAGTGATATTTTTTCAAAAAAATTGAAAATTCGACATACAAGGGCTAAATTGTATATAATACACAATATACACCGTATATTTTAGCCATTCTTTTGTTATTGTCATTCACTTAATTATACCTCATAATATGGTCACTTACTGCAATTTCCCTAGAATAAATGCTAAGAAATTTTAGCAAACAAACCTTCTTTAAAATACATAAGAAATCATCAAAAAATATATTTTCAAAGTATAAAATTTATCCACTATATTGTTTGTACTCTCTCGTTTTGTCTCTCGCTGAGATTTGTGAAGGTTGTGACTCCACGAGAGCCCTCTATATGCAGTAAATACAACAAATTTGTAAATTATAAGGTGTCAACTGACGACACTCCATATTGTGAGTGGCTCCACCACTGCCTCTCACCAAGCTTCTCCAAACGTTGAAGAAAAAGTCTATCGGAGAAACAATTTAATATGCAAGTAAAAAAGTATCTATGAGTTTCAATATTAACCGAGTCAAACCATTAAAACGGATTAACGGATGGAACTCAAAGTGGTTGTCAAAAGGGGGTAAGGAGGTACTGATTAAATCAGTTATATCGGCGATGCCTATGCATGTGATGTCCTGTTTCCGGTTGCCGAAAGGTGTTACAAACAAACTTTCTAGTGCGGTGTCAAATTTTTGGTGGAGTAGTACGGGGCAGACACGAGGAATGCATTGGCTGGCCTGGAAAAAACTCTGTCGACATAAAAACGATGGAGGTCTGGGTTTCCGAGTGATTGAGGATTTTAATACCGCCTTGTTGGCGAAACAGCTGTGGCGACTGATGGATAACCCGGATTCTTTATTTTCACGCGTGTTCAAGGGACGGTATTACAGGAATACAACTCCTTTGGAACCCATTAAATCATACTCGCCTTCCTATGGTTGGCAGAGTATTATCTCGGCTCGACCTCTGGTAAACAAAGGGCTTATTAAAAGGGTTGGTTCTGGAATCTCTATTTTAGTTTGGGGGGATCCATGGATTCCAGCTTCTCGCCCGAGGCCAGCCATGGGAAACGGGGTTCATTTTCACTCTCATCTTCGGGTAAGTGAATTAATGACACCCGGAACATTAACGTGGAATCTTCCACTATTAAATCAACTTTTCGAGAGTAGTGATGTTTCTACAATAATGGGGATACCGACATCAAGGGCCGGCAGACCGGATTCCGTGGGATGGTTTTTCACGAAAACGGGACGATATACGGTCAAATCGGGGTACGACCTGGCGCAACAAATCCACGAGGAGGATAGTAATGTGCCCATTGGGCCAGATATACGGCGGCTACTAGCACACGCGTGGAAAGTAAAGTGTACACAAAAGCTTCAACACTTTATTTGGCAAGTTTTAACGGGATGCATATCTGTAGGGGCACGACTAAGGAGCAGGGGAATGCAGGTCGACCCACAGTGCATGCGATGTGGGATGGCTCCAGAAACCATTAATCATCTATTATTCGAATGCCCCCCGGCATTACAGGTGTGGGCTTTATCGCCAATCCCAACGGCTCCCAACCGATTCCCGACGGGAAGTTTGTTTACAAATGTAGCTCATTTGTTTTGGCATCTACCAGAGGATGACAGGATGGGGATGTACCCTTGGTTGATTTGGTTCATTTGGAAAGCCCGCAATGACAAGGTTTTTTCTAATGATGATTGGGATCCCAATGATACCATTAACCTGGCGGCACGGAGACATTGCATGGGCCAAGGCCCAGGAAAAACGAGGGGGTGTGCCCCTGCAAGTAGGGCCATCAGTAGATACCCTGTTTCAGGGTGATATATGTCAGGTGGATGGATCGTGGAAAGCTACAGAACCCCGGGCGGGGCTGGGATGGTATAATTATAATACCAACACAGGAGAAAAACTTTTGGGCACCTGCAACTTAAGGCGTGGACTCTCGCCCCTGCAAGCAGAGGTTGAGGCACTCCTATGGGCTATGCAGTGCATGCTACGGCAAGGGAAACAAGTAATAATGTTCGAAACGGATTGCTCCGACGTCGTCAAGATGGTGTCTAGTCCGGAGGTGATGTAGGAGATATTTTGGAGATTTTCACAAATTTCCTTTTTCTCTAATTATGTTTTTCCTTTTGGGTTTTGGATATTTTCTAGGGTTTTGTTTTCCTATATAAACACTTTTAAGTTGTAGCCAAGGCATATCATATCTTATTATTCTCTAATCTGGTGGATTTCCAGAGTTTTCTCTTCAAGTTCATGCTTGTGAACTTGAATTCAATCTAGGTTTAGTGCTTGCTATTCCTAGGGTTTTCCGACTGCGTCAAGTGGTATCAGAGCAGGCTTTCTCCTGTCTCTTTTTCGAGCTTGAACAGCTATGGGAGATCAACCATTGACCAAAGCAGATTTTCAGGGTTTTACCGTGGCTCTAACCTCGGCCCTAACTGCTTTGACTAATCAGATGAAAGTTTTAACCAATCAGACGGAAGCTTTAACCAACAAGGTTATCAAAGCCGGACAAAGAGAAAGGAGAGGAGAACGAATTAGGGTTCTACATGTTCAAGACAATAGTGTCGAATTTAGCAATCACATGAACATGCTAATCGATAGATTGAAGATAGCCGGCAAAAGTCAGAAAATAGACAAAGAAGGAGATTCAATTAGGGTTCCAAGAGATGAAAACAATTGTGTTGTTGTTATTGAAAACCCTAGTTCTCTTGAAGAAGACTTTGTAGAGAAAGAGATTGATCAACAGAATCTGCATGATAATAATGCTTTTCACACTAAGGCAGATATTTCATTATCCTATGAAATCCCAGAAGTGGAGAAGACAGAAGTTCCAGAAGGAGTGCTAGTGATCTACAAAGATTTTAAGAAACTGATTGCAGATGAACAAGGGAAGAAAAAGATTGATGTTGGCAAGCAGAAGGGAACCAAAGTTTTCAAAGAGGATGATGATTTAATTGTGTTCCTCCATAACAAGAAGTTTCAAGTTGTTACATACAACAAAGCACAACCTAGCAACTATGGTCAGCCTTTTAAAGAGATGTGATTATTTATCCAGAAAAGAATTTGAGGAATAATAAGCTCCAACCTAGCAAATATGGTCCTTTCAAGGTGTTGCGGAAAATCAATGATGATGTTTATTGTGGCTCTCCAGATTTCTAAGACTTTCAATGTGGTTGGCATTCATGAGTACCATGCATATGAGATTCTTAATCTAGAAGAGAACTCGAGGTCGAGTTCTTTAGAGGTGGAGGAGACTGATGTAGGAGATATTTTGGAGATTTTCACAAATTTCCTTTTTCTCTAATTATGTTTTTCCTTTTGGGTTTTGGATATTTTCTAGGGTTTTGTTTTCCTATATAAACACTTTTAAGTTGTAGCCATGAGGCATATCATATCTTATTATTCTAATTAATCAAAGCAGAGAGCTTTTCTCTAATCTGGTGGATTTCCAGAGTTTTCTCTTCAAGTTCATGCTTGTGAACTTGAATTCAATCTAGGTTTAGTGCTTGCTACTCCTAGGGTTTTTCGAATGCGTCAGGAGGAGTGGCCAGCTTTCGCACATTTGCTAGAAGAAATCGACATATGTAGAAGGAGATTCCCCTCTTTCTCCATAGCGCACATACCGAGAAACAAGAATACGAAGACAGACAAGTTAGCACGAATTGCTCGAGCTCTACCTACTGATGTGTATTATGTAAATTATGTTCCACCGGCTTGGATCACTGAGTTGGTTTAGGAATAGAAGCTGTTGACAAAAAAAAGCCATTAAAAAATGACCAAATAATCAATATATAATACAGTAATATGCCTATATTTAATCAAATTTAAGAAATAGTGAAAAAAATAATAAGAATTAGTGGTTGGTCAGCTCCTTTCCTCCTTTACTGCCTCCGCCACCGCCTATAAGTATCAACAATCTATTAGTGGAAGTTTTGCTCTACTCACCAATCTCCTCCAAAACTTTTGAAAAAAAAAAAAAAAAAACGAGAGTAAAACGGTGTCATCCGATGGAGTCTCATATAAACAAAGATTTGGTCGGCGGCACAGCCCTCCACACGTATCACCCGTGCCGGCGCATCGTTCCATACAGAATCTACGCCGTTATTCACATGTGTGGGATCGTAACCCTAATCAATAACCATGTCCACTCACTTGTCACAGCAGACAAAACTCTAATAACATCTCTTCTTCTCCTCGCCGACGTTGTTCTGGCTTACATGTGGATCACCACAGCTGCCCTCCGGTTTAACCCGGTTCACCGGTCCGAGTACCCTGAGAGATACGTAGCTCAACCGGAGAAGGACTTTCCGAAGCTGGACGTGTTTATATGCACGGCTGATCCATACAAGGAGCCTCCGATGATGGTGGTTAACACCGCTTTATCTGTGATGGCCTATGATTATCCGTCGGAAAAGATATCGGTTTATATATCGGACGATGGAGGATCGTCGTTGACTTTGTTTGCTTTGATGGAGGCTGCTAAGTTCTCTAAGCATTGGTTGCCTTTTTGCAAGAGGAACAATATTCAAGATCGGTCCGCTGAAGTTTATTTCTCATCAAAGTCACATTTTGGGAGTGATGAAGCTCAAAATCTGAAGGTATTTCGTATTTTAGTTAATTACTAATCACTTATACGTTGGGTTAATTAGTAAGTTTTTCAAATCCTAATTTCGATAAATTCGCAAAGTTAATCAAATCATGGAACCTAGAATTTAATATCTTTGATGTAACAAAATTAATCTGTTAGAAACATTTTCAAAGTGGACGGGATAGATATTTTTGAAATTACGGATTTTTTTGGGATTAGTCTAAAAAGGTTTTAAATATGCCTGACAAAATTTTCATAGTATGGATACGGTAAAAATTCAGAATGTTTGTGATGGTTATTTTGTATTGGGGGTATTTTTCTATTTGATAACGAGTCTTAATATATTTTTTTTGTTAAAACGGGTCTTAATATATAGCATGAAATGTTCATCTTTAGCCAACAAAAAAAAAAGACATGAAATGTTCATCTAAAATTTAATCAGATTGAATTCTTGTTTTACTCTTTCATTGATACTGATACATAACCTAAATTTTCAAAGTGTCTTTTATTTAATATATACATGAAAAAAACTTAGTAAAATTCTTTGAATGTTAAAAGTTTAATTCAATTAATGTTAAAATAAGGAATAAAATGCTCTTTACCTAAAAAATCAGAAAAATAAACTAAATTTCATGATATAACAAGCATAATACAATGATAATGCCCTTATTTTTGCCGTCAAGAGTTTATTTGTTTGATAATATGGAACAAACCGTAGTTAACTAGTTTTGTACTGTATTTAAGAAATGATATTAGAAAAAGTAAATAAATTATATACTAACATAATTGTATATGTGATTATTACGCGGTGGGACAGATGATGTACGGAGAAATGAAAAGTAGAGTAGAACATGTCGTGGACAGTGGAAAGGTTGAGGCTGACTTTATCACACGTGATAAATCTCGTAGAGTATTTGATCTGTGGACCGACAAATTCACTCGTCATGACCATCCCTCTATTATTGAGGTATATTTTTTTTTTTTTTTTGGTCGACATTATTTCAGGTTCTTTCTTTTTATCAAAAATTTGCAAAAACTGATTTCTCACTAAAGTATTTTATATTACTCAAAATACCTTTTAAATATTTTTTTTCTTACCAATAATCGTTTGCAAATATGACCAGTAAAAAGGTAGTTTGTCATATTTTCATTCATCATATATTTAAATCTCTGTTTAATTAATTTGAGAGCAGGTGCTACAAAATAGCGAAACAGATATGGACGAGACCAACAAATTTAAGATGCCGAACCTAATCTATCTTTCAAGAGAGAAGAGTAAAGTTTCACCGCATAATTTCAAAGCCGGTGCTCTTAATACTTTGGTATACACTAAAAAAACTTAACAATTCTCGGTTATGTTTAACTACCATTTCGGTTTAGTTAATTTTCCTTAACTAATTTCATGTAGTTGCGCGTTTCTGCGGTGCTTACAAACTCACCGGTCATTCTAACACTAGACTGCGACATGTACTCGAACGATCCTGTGACACCAATTCGTGCCTTGTGCTATTTAACAGATCCTGAAATAAAATCCGGTTTGGGCTTTGTTCAGTTTCCTCAAAAGTTTCAAGGGGTAAGCAAGAATGATATTTATGCATGCGAGTACAAACGCCTCTTTGAAGTCAGTATGATTGGTTTCGATGGACTTATGGGTCCAAATTATCATGGAACTGGATGTTTCTTCAACCGACGAGTTTTCTACGGGCCTCCATCTAATTTAATTTTGCCTGAGATAGATGAACTTGGGCCCAATCAAATTGTAGATAAGTCCATTAAGGCCCAAGATGTTTTGGCATTGGCACACAAAGTAGCAGGATGTATGTATGAACGCAACACCAATTGGGGATCTAAGGTATGATAAAACCAACTTTGATTTGGTCTAGTCTTGATTTCTATTTGTCATTATTGGTCGATAAAACTAAATGCTAAAAAATCTACATACAATATGAATGTAGAGGTAAAGATAAAAATCAATAAAAATAAAAGTAGTCTTACACATCGTTTTAGTAAATACTTCGTTATATAACTCTTAAGTTATCATTCAAATTTGTACAGATTGGATTCAGATATGGGACATTAGTAGAAGACTACTACACAGGATTTAAACTCCATTGCGAAGGATGGAGATCAGTCTTTTGCACTCCCAAACGAGCTGCATTTTATGGAGATGTCCCAAAAAGCTTAATTGATGTAGTGAACCAACAAAAGAGATGGACATTTGGATTTCTCGAAGTGGCTTTTTCAAGGTATAGCCCCATGACTTATGGGATCAAATGTGGGGGCCTACTTTTGGGCTTAGGCTATAGCCAAAATCCATTTTGGGGTATTTGGTCAATTCCTGTCATCGTTTATGGATTATTGCCGCAACTTTCCCTGCTGTTTAGAGGTAGTGTCTTCCCCAAGACATCAGATCCATGTTTTTGGCTTTACACCTTCTTGTTCGTTGGTGCATATGCGCAAGATCTACTAGACTTTGTATTAGAAGGAGGAAGTTATCGCAGATGGTGGAACGATCAAAGAATGTGGTTAATAAGAGGATTATCTTCATTCTTCTTTGGCCTAATAGAGTTCACTCTCAAAACCTTAAACCTCTCCACGCTTGGATTCAACGTTACCAGCAAAACCAACGATGATAAAGAACAAAGTGAGAGGTACGAGCAAGAGATATTTGATTTTGGATCATCTTCGTATATGTTCTTGCCCATGACAATGGTTGCCATTGTGAACCTCATTGCCCTCGTTTGGGGGCTGTATTGTCTTTTCTCTTTGAGAGAAGTACTTGTCCTTGATCTGATGCTGGCGAGCTTCGCGGTGGTGAATTGTTTGCCGATCTACAAAGCCATGATATTGAGGAAAGATGATGGAAAATTACCACAAACGGTGTGTTTCTTAGCTGGGATCATCACTTTTGGTTTTATTGTGTCAGGTTACTTCATCTTCAAGTAACTATATCTATTGCAATCATGTATTTTTATTTAAAACTAGATGAATAACCGCGCTATGCACGGGCTTTATTATCATCATTATCCTCACCATTGTCTCTTTCTTGTATTTTGATAAATAAATTACCCTATGTTTTGAAAGTTATAACTTTCATAAGCTAGAATCAAAATAAAGGGTTTCACACCCTTATAGAACTAATTTATAAGACAAAGCCAAAGGAGTGTGTGAAACTATTCTACAGAGTAATATCAGATCATTAAAATCTATGGATCAACTTTGACATCTTCATTAGAAATTTCCGTGTATGAATATTTGCAAAGCCTTAGGTTTTTCAAAAGAGAAACCTCCCACATGTTGTCGACTTAAATCCCAAAACATGATGAGCAAGTTATTTGGATTTTGGATTGTTGTTTGCAAAACACATGCAACCAGAGAGGATCTTATCTTTCATCCAGAGAGCCGTGCCATAGTGTAAAAATAAGAAACATTGGCTTATGGCATCGCAATTCTTGAAAATATTTAAGGACATATTTTATTAGTTTCAGTTACTTAAAACTTGAATATTAGAATTATAGTAACATTCTTTAACAAAAAGAAAAAAGAAAAAAAAAAAAATATATATATATATATATATATATATATAACACTAGATTAGGCCCCGCGTATACGCGAGTTTATTTATTTTTATTTTTTAAATCACAGAAGAATATTAAACAAAATTTAATCAATTTAAAAAAAAGAAAATAATATTTAAAACGATAACAAATCTCTAAATAAATATATGTAATCTTTTACATTTTTATTTTGAATTCATGATATGAAATAGAAAGATTTACTTGTGTCTAAATCTAATCGACTCATTATTTTATGAAACTTTGATTATTCCATGATAAATCTTTATTTTTAATATTTTTTTTACCTAACAAAACATGAAAAATTAAACTATTTAATATTAGAAGATCAATCCATTATAATTTTTTTAAAAATATTATTTAGTTCCTTAATAATTATTTTGTTAGTTTTCTATTTATATTGTTTCTTTTTCAATTTCGTTTTTGCCTCTTACCATTATAAATTTTCATTTTCATTATTAGTTACTCCCTCCGTTTCAAATTAGTTGTCGTTTTGGCAAAATGTATCTGCAAATATTTGGACGTATCTGGACGTGTTTTGCATTGCAGATACGTCCAAATATTTGCAGATACATTTTGCCAAAACGACAACTAATTTGAAACGGAGGGAGTAGTTGTTTTAATATTATATTGTTAGTTTATTTATTTATGTTACTACATTTTTCTAATTTTCTTGTGTTGACACACGTCGTCAATTCATCAAATATTAGACACATGTATCGATCTAAAGTTAAGTATTTTTCATTGATATCTTAAACTTTTAAAGACATGAATTTTATTTCTTAATGAGAAAGAAACTTAAAAATATAGCTTGTTATATTTCGTAATGAGAATATGTTTTTTTGTTCCTTTTCTTATTGGATGTAACACTTTTTCATTATTTCTTCATGTTTTTCTGATTTTCGGTTTTTTTCCTTTTCGTAATAGAATTATGTTTTTTTCTTTACTTCTCATAATTGATGTAATATTTTTTCTTTTTAGTTGTTTGTTTCGTGTTTTCTGATTTTTCCTAATGTACTAATAGGATTTTATTCAAATAAATTTTAATTTCGATCCAATTGACCTAGGGTCAAATAATCTCCACTGTTCTCTTGAACTTTCAAAGACATGATTTTGAAATCTATTACTAATAAAAGTTGACCCTATATGCATTAGAGGGTGTCCACATAGGATTCTAAAACTGTATTTGATTGGTCAATGTCATTATTATTATTATTTTTAATTGAATAATTAATTTCCTTTTTATTCTTATTAGCAAATTTCCCTTTTATGCATATTAGCAAATTTCCATTTTTTTAATATCCATATATTTTCTTTTATTCCAATAAGTATTATTACTTTAACATATAACTTAATAAATTTCCTATTAAGTTATATAACTTAATATTTTATATATTAGATTTTTATAATTGTAATTTTTATATAGATTATCTAATAAGAAATGACATTAGAAGTTGTCTTTTATATTAGTGGAAAATTGATTAAGAAACCCATACTATCTATTTTTTTTGGTCGTGCACCGGGAGACAATGCCTCCCAGAATTTTATTAAAAAGAAAACAAGTGACTACATACGAATTCTTCTTGGTCGTGTTGACCCAAGTTCATCCGCTTCAAACAAAGACACAACCTCAACAAGAACAACATCCAAATATGAAAAACCTACAGGGAAAGAGTAAGCATAGTTTGCTAATCCATCTGCAAGACAATTGGCCTCCCTATACACATGAGAAACTCGGACTATCCAGTCCTTTGCAATCAAGCCATGGCACAGACGTACCAGGAAAGACAGTGGATGAGATTCACTAATCCCTGTCTGAAGAAACCCCACCACCAGCTCCGAATCAACCTCCAATTCAACTCTCGAACACTTGTGTTCCCACGCTATTACTAGTCCATAGTATACACCACACAACTCCGCTAAAGGAGCGGAGCATCGACCAATGTTGAGGATGAAACCTCTACACCATCGACCCTCTGCGTCTCTGAGCACTCCACCCGCTGCGGCCAGGCCTGGATTCCCGCGTGAAGCTCCATCAGTATTGAGCTTAAACCAATCCCCTGTCGGAGGAATCCAGCCTATCTGTCTTTCCTCTCGTATACTTCCCCTGCTTTGGCTCTGAACCATCTCATTTGCCATCCATACTTCTCTCGCGAGCTCTTTGATGAACCTCACTCGATCTGGACATCTTTGATTCTCACCAAACACGTTTCCGCACCTCCACTTCCAAGCCCACCAGATTGCCATGGCAAAAGTAGTTGCCCATGGTGGTCCATCACTAGAGGGTACATCCTGCAAGTTCTCAAACAGCCATTCAAGGAGAGATTTAGAGAAAAACTCTTGCCTTAACCGAGCCGGAACCACTCTGTTCCAGATCCCCAATATCGATGGGCAGTCACGCAACACATGCAGTATCGTTTCAAACCCTCCTTTGCATACTGAACACACATCAGAGTCACATAGGTGCCGACGCTTCCTCTCCACGTTTGTCATTATCACTTGGTGACTGACTAACCAAAGAAATACTCTGACCCTCTCCGGAACTTTAACCCTCCACACCCGTTTAAAGAATGCCTCCATATCGGGACGCGGAGTCGTATCAGAGGTAAGCAACGTAAACGCTGATCGGACTGAAAACTGACCATCTGCATTACCGCTCCATGACAGACGATCCTTTACCCCTGTAACACAATCCAAAATAATGGCCCTTAATTCCAAGCATGTAGTCTCCGAAACATATGGGGCTATACAGTCAAAGCGCCATCCTGTTTCCTGACTCCAGAGGTCTCTGGCCGTTAACGTCCCATAGTTCGCTGGCAAGTTAGTCACAACATTCTCCTCCAGAGCCCGGCTCGTGAGCCACTTATCAGTCCAGAACCGAATACTATGCCCATCTCCAATAACCCAGCTCTGACCCTGAAACACGACCTCACGCAGCCCTGTTGTTACACTCTTCCATACCATGGACCAATTACTTTTAGCCCCCAACCAAGACCTATCATGGACATCACCAACCTTGTACTTCTTCCGCACCACTCGTGCCCATAGACTCGTCTCATCATGCAAGAGACGCCAGCCGACTTTAGAGATAAGTGATGTGTTCATGTCTCCCGCCGAACGGATCCCTAGTCCCCCTTCCTCCTTTGGACGACATATCTTTGACCAAGACAGTAAGTGAAATCGTCGTTTCGCCACTGTGCTTCCCCAGATAAACGAACGAGAGACCTTTTCTAAGCTGGCTAGAGTGGACTTAGGCAGCATAATGGAGCTCATTAGGTGAACTGGGATGGACGACAATACTGATTTCGTCAATGTAACTCTCCCCGCGAAGCTCAAAACATGACTCTTCCAGCCCGCGAGTCTAGCAGAAACTCTCTCCACCACCGCACCAAAAGTCTCTTTATTAATCCTCCTCTGCAACACTGGCATACCGAGATATTTGCCTAACTCACGCGTTGAGCTAATTCCACTCTCATCACTAATTGCTTTCTCCAATTCTCGAGACACATTATGGGAGAAGAAAATCTTTGATTTCTCTAGGCTGACCTTCTGCCCTGAAGCAACACAAAACGTTTCAAGTATATTCCGGATCACTCTGACCTGAGCAACAGAGGCTTCAGCGAAGAATATGAGGTCATCCGCGAAACAGATGTGCGAGAGTTCTGGTCCGCCCCGTGATAACTTGATGGGTTTCCACTTCTTCTCCGCCGTTGCCCTGCTAATAAGATGACACAACCTCTCCATGCAGAGGACAAACAAGTATGGGGAAATTGGATCCCCCTGCCGAAGCCCTCTTGACGGTTTAAAAGGCTCTATCTTTTCCCCGTTCCAGAGCAAATTCATGGATGGTCCCGTTACGCATTGCATAATCCACCGTACCCATGATTCCGATAAACCCACCGCAACTAAGGTGTCCTCGAGAAAATCCCACCGAATCCTGTCATATGCCTTCTCAAGATCCAATTTCAGCAGCATCCAACCTGTACGCCCTTTCTTCCTGCGCGTGGAATGTACTGCTTCCTGTACAATGACGATATTGTCCGTACTAAGCCTTCCTGGAATGAAACTCGCCTGTGCAGGCCCAATGAGCTTCGTGATCACTTGCTTCAAACGTACAACCATGGCCTTAGTGATCGTCTTGAAAAGCACATTACACAGGCTAATGGGGCGAAATTGTGTAATCTTCTCAGGTTTTGTAACCTTTTCCAACAACACAATCATGACATCGTTTGTGTTTGGCGGAAGGTTACCTGTCCTGAAGAACTCCAACACGAATCGCACCACCGAGTCACCAACTATGTCCCAACAATGCTGGTAAAAAACTGGTTGAAACCCTTCAGGTCCAGGGGCCTTATACTTCCCCATCTCCTTTACAGCTCTCTCCACCTCGCCAGCTGTGAAAGGTTTATTCAAGTGTGTGTGATCCGCCGGGCTCAGAGGTACAAACCCTTCGCTTGGTAGTCTTGGCACCACTTCCTCCACGTCCATCATTGAATACAAACGGCGATAATATTCAATTGCTAGCTTCTCCAACTCCTGCGTGTTCGAGACCCACACTCCAGCATCGTTTTTCAACATGTCAATTCGATTCCTGTTTCGCCTGATAACAGTAGACATGTGAAAAAATCTCGTGTTACGATCTCCTAGGGGGATCCACTTCTCTCTGGACTTCTGAAACCAAATAACCTCTTCTTGTTCTAAGGTCACATCCAACTCTTTGATCAGCTCTGCCTCTCTTTCTAGTAATGCATCCGTAGGTGTTAGCAAGAGAGAGTCCTGGACACCTTTAATTTCATCAACCAATCTATCTTTCCGTTTCTGAACCTCCCCAAATACTTCTCTATTCCATGTCCTCAGCTTAGTACGCAAAGCCTCCAACGCCGCTGAAATTCAACCATTCATTTTGATGAAATTTCAGATTTAAACATCTCTATTAAGCAGTTTTTTTTTTTTTTTTTTAATTTTGTCTAATGAATATTTGGAAATTATTAGAAAGATTTGGGGTTAAGAGGATTTGGTATAAATCGTGACCTTCAAAGACATGCAATCTCTAAAATTCTGGAACGAAATGTTTGGTAGTGTGCATATAATTAAAGCAAATTAGAGATAGGGTGATCCGGGTCGGCCTGAGGTTCTTGGTGGCCTCAAATTTTAAAATATATTATTTTTTCAGTAAATTTATTTAATAGTTAAATAGAAAATAATGATAGATTGAAGAGTCTATTGTTGGGAAGCTTCAAACCATCCACATTGAGAAGAATGAAGAGCAACACTGCATATAAGCTAAATGAACATTTAGTAACATGTGGCATTAAAGTTTTTATATATCATTTGGTGGCGTAAATCCTATACTTTACCAGCTTTACCAAGGGTCGAAGGTAATAATATTGATGTAAAATTTATGAATTCGACGAAATTGATTTTCAAGTGAAATTTAATTTAAGACTTTTGAGAAACACTAGCAAAAGATTCGCATTTATGAATATTCATATTTTCATTTCAAATGTAAAGGTAATGAGTTTCTAATTTCACAGTGATAAGTGATAACTAAACCCAAAATGTGATAAAACTAACTCTTGAACCAAAAATTGGAGATTTAGTTATATATAATTAGAAAGGAAAATTATTAAAAATAAAAACAAAAATTGTAAAGGATTTGTATCAACACATTTTTTAAAAAATGAAAAATTATAAAATTCATAAAAAAAATTTAAAGAAAACATAAAGTTAGAGAAAGAGAATCAAAGGGATTTTCTGAATTTGCTTTGATGAGTTTGTGAATGAGAAAAAGAGACTACATAAACTCTGTTTTTATTGGGGGTTCATGTAACCAATTTCATACAGTTTTAGGATATTTAGTTTACATACCTATTACATGTACTAAGATGATTTTTTTAAATAGGAGTTTATATAACTTATTCCATATAATTTTAGGATATTTAGTTTACATACCTATTCCATATACTAATAGAATTTTGTTATTACATTATTTTCATTTGATTATATAAAATTTCGTTTTTTTTATAGGGGCTCATGTAACCAATTTCATACAGTTTTAGGATATTTAGTTTACATACCTATTACATGTACTAACATGATTTTTTTAAATAGGAGTTTATATAACCTATTCTATACAATTTTAGGATATTTACTTTACATACCTATTCCATATAATAATAGGAATTTTTTATTATATTATTTTCATTTGATTATATAAAATTTCGTTTTTATTATAAGATATTAAAATTTTCCTTTAAAAATAAAATTTTCCTTTTTCCGAAGACATGTGTCACGATCTTAACGGATATAACATTAAAAGTGACACATGTCGCAATCCTATATTTTATAAAAATCCTACGTATCGCAACTACGTCGCGCGGATCCAGCTTTATATAATAAGATTAGTCTGAAACGTGAGTTTTGTGGTACTTAAAAGAAACAAAACATCGAGTCATGGCTTTTTAATTGTCAAGTAACTAAAAAAAACATAGAAGGATATTTAATTGTTAAAGAATTAAAGTAAGGTAAATATATAACTGGTGTTAGTTATCTTTATCTTTGTGAGGAAATAGGTGTTAAAAGGTTGATTTGAGAACAATTTCTAAAGTCTTCAAGGCTTGATCTCACTGGTTAACTCCCTGTTTCTGAGATCTAGCCTTGATTGATGATCTTCACCTTAGGAAAAGGTTGATCAGCCTTAAGAAGCTCATCAAAATCAAGAGATTAGCTTAGTACAAGTAGTTAAAGGCATCATTGATTAAGTATAGGCTTCCTTTAGCTGCAAAATCCAATCTTTAGTCCTAATCTTTATCATCCAAGTCTAAAAACCGTTCCTTTATTGCTTTACATTTGCACTTGCTTTGTTTTGCTCTGTTTTAACCCTAACTCGATCGAGCTGACCTCTATGTTCTAACTCGATCGAGCATCTGGTCGAGTCCCTTTGCACTTGCTTGTTTATGTTAATTTCTTGCATCTGTTTCTCTACTGCATTCATTTACTGCTTTCATTTGCATTTTCATTTCACCTTAGGTTGTTAATTGTTACCATTCACCATCTTAAACCATTTGGCTTGACTTTCACGCATTGCATAGTTTTAAAGAGCAATAACTTATCCATATGGATTGATAACCTCTTATGCTGCATTGACAATGATGTTAAAGATGAATTGACTGTCTGAGATTAAAACCTGTCATATCATATCATCCCATCATCACTTGCACATCATTTCATCCCATATCACCACCACTGTATTACATTGACAGTAAAATCCTTTCATCAGATGTCGAATAAGCAGATTAAGGGGATCTTCACACGATAGTTGGGGTGACCAAGAACGATTGGGCAGCCAAGTTAGACGACGCTCTATGGGCCTATAAAACCGCCTACAAAACACCGATAGGCACGACCCCATTCTCTCTTCTATATGGGAAATCCTGCCATCTTCCAGTGGAACTTGAGTACAAGGCGCTTTGGGCAGTAAAACTGTTGAACTTCGACATCAGGTCAGCTCAGGAGGAAATAGATTTTGACTTGCACGAGTTGGAAGAGATCAGGCTAGACGCTTATGAGAGCTCCAAAATTTACAAGAAGCGAACCAAGGCGTTTCACGACAAGAAAATCTTGCCAATGATTTTCAAAGACAGAGAATTTTCTCTGCTTTTAAACTCGCAAGCTAAGTTATTCCCTACGAAGCTCAAATCCAAGTGGTATGGTCCGTTTAAGATCAAGGAGGTTCTACCTTATGGAGCTGTCACATTGCTTAATCAGAATGGGGAAGAGTTCACGGTGAACAGTCACAGACTCAAACTGTATTTTGGCCAACACATTCAAGGAGAAGGAGTCTCAACTCCTCTTCCTGACGCTCTCCCAGCCTAAAAGGTTATAAAAGTCAAGCTATGAGACTCAAAACAAGCTCACTTGGGAGGAAGTCTCATGCCTATCATTGTACATATTTAATTTATCTAATATTGCATGTTTTAGTGTTTAAAAGCCCCTAGGTATATAGTAAGGGAGGTGCTCGGTCAGCTTGACGACATGCCTGGCTAAGACGATCAAGGACATCAATGCAACGATTTTTAGAAAGAACACCCATTTTTGCTTAACCGCTGCCAGGTAAGCCCACTAATCCCTGTTCACGAGGCCCTTCAGCGGCAGTTTTCTTTAAAAAAAATTAAATTTAAAATTCTCGGTTTTAAAGAAAAGAAAGGAGAACGTGGGAGAGAGAGGATGGTCAAAGTTGGACAGTTTTGATTGGACAGCAGTTCAGGCCAATCCACCCCCGATTGTCTCGCGTAACCCTCTCTCTCATACTTTACCTTTCATAAAACCGAGACACGCCAAATCCTTCTCTCTCTCATGAAACCATTTCCCGATTTTCTCAAGAAAAATTATCTTCTTTTCTCTCTACGATTTCGCACTTTCCTCTTTCCTTTCAACTCGTTTTCTCTGCTTCAAACGGTAATTTTTCCGACTTGTAGTTAGATTTTGATTTGATTTATGTATCAGTTTTGGCTGTGAGAGAGGTCTTAAGGTTTGGATTTTAGGAAAACTGTTTTGCATGTATCTGTTTCCCTGCGATTTAAGTTCATCAAACTTTTTAATTGGTTTTCTAGATTGAGATCTGTTCAAAGCTTCATTTTTTTTGAATCTCAACCTACTTTGCTCTGTTTCTCTTTTGCTCTGCATGTGATGAGATTTGGCCGAGAAACTAATTTCTCTTTGTGAGATTTGATGTCTCTTGCAAGAAGTAGCAACGAGAGGCAACCTTTTTCAGGCAGCCGTGGAAAAGACCGAGGGGAAGAAACTGATGACTGAAGAGGGCTTCGACAGCAAGAAAGGCGGCAGATCCGCCGTCATGAGAGCCAAGGACTACAAGAACATCTTCAAGAAGATGCCCTTTGTGGGGACGAGGTATCCGGACCAGTCAGCTATGGCAGATATCTGAAGACTGTCACAGCCTCTTCTAGAACATGCAGCTCGTGGGGCTGATGATGTCTCCTCAGCCGGCGTACGGAAAAGAAACCGTCGAGTTCCTTGCCTCCCTCCAAGTAAACTTCTACGAGCCCGACGAGATAACATGGAGGACAACGGTAGTGGTCACTTTTCCTTCCGGATCAACAATTGGAAGTATCGGATGAGTTTTCAGGACCTGTAGGACGTGTTCCATTTCGATCACAAGGAGGGCCGAGAGACAGAGTTGGATACTTCAGCAGCAGAACTCCAGGTCTTCTGGATGATGATTGGTATCGGCGAGTACAAGTCCAGCACGGCGAAGAGCACCCACATAAGGAATTCCACGCTGAGATACGTCCACAAGGCCCTCACTCACACCATTTATGCGAGGAGAGATGTGACAAACATCAACGAGAAGGAGCTTTTTCTGATGAACAATGGGGTGGTGAAGTTCTTGCACACGCTGCAGACGGAACAAAGATGGTTGAAGATCGGTCCGACAACAGCATGGCGACCTACCTGCTCAAGAGTTTCCTCAGCTACAGAGAGTATGCCCTTTCTCTGGACAAGATCGGAAAAGGAGGAAGTGGGCAGCTCAGTTGCGGAGGAATCATTACTCCGATATTGCTCCACTGCAGGAAAGACCTTGGGAAGATGAGCGCCGATCCTCTGCTTATGGACATCTAGTACCTCTGCAAAACCACTTACCTCAGAGGTCAGCCGATCAACGGGCGCCACAACTATCAGTTCGCTTACGGCCCGTTCGACTACGAGTTGGCGAGTTTCTTTTTGCCGAACAAGGAGTTGACTTACCTCACAGTTAGGGAGAACGTGGATTTCGAGCCGCCTATTGAAGCTATCCAAGAACAAGGCCAAGAGGAAGCTGATCATGTTAACCCGAGGGCCGCGGAGCGCGATGGAGAAATCTCAGGAGATGATGAGCTCCCAGATGAGTACAAAACCAGAGGTTCCACTTCGGGGATCACGAACTTGAGGAAGAAAGTGTGTTTGAGGAGACCCAAGAGGATGCATTGGCTCTCAATGGAAAATGTCTAAGCTCTTTCTTCTTTCCCTCATTAGAGACTAAGGAGATTGTGAGTCATTGTGAGAACAAGGATTAAGCTTGTAAGAAGAAGAACCAATCTCATGAGGAAAAGGGCTTGGATTATGGTAATACTGAAGAAGTTATAGGATGGAGCTTGCTTGGAAATTCTTTTCTCTACCACATTGGTGAAAGAGGTTAAGAATATCAAGGAGAAACAAGAGGTTAAAAGCAAAGAGTCTAAGAAGCCATATGAATACCACTTGATCAACCATGCTCCATCTTCTCAGACTATGAGCTTACACCCTTTGAGTACAGTGAAGTGCAAGGGTACTTCTAAACCTTTTTCACGTATTAAAGCCATTCTCCATCCCAAAATGCTGGAAAAAGACCATCGCAATCTTGAAGAGCTACTCTCCACAATCCTCTTGGTCAGCCTGATCAAGAGAACAAGTCTAGACTAATCAACTCATCTTGCCATCAGCAGCTCAACAAGGAGTTCTGCTACTCTTTCTCTCCAGCTCCCTAAGGACAAAGGTTAGGGCCAAGGTATGGTCCTCTCTCCATTGTACATATCACTCATCTCTTTCCTTTATTTTGATTGTCTTTTGTTTTGATCTCTCTTCTCTACCTTTTTTTCACACAAGGGACTGTATGAATTAAGTGTGGGGGAGAGAATCAATGATACTTGACGAAGTGTTTTGTGTTCTTATTTTCTTTTAGCGTCCTTGAGTCTCATGCATTCTCATCTTTGCATCATATAGAAAATCACATCAAATTTTCAAAAGTTGCATATATAAAAAAAAACACAGGGCATATAGTTTAGATTCATTTTACACTTGAGCATTCCTTGGTTGAGCAGATTGATTGAGTTGCGAAATTGATTCAATGGCCTAGTTCTATGTTGGTTTTGGCGCATGTGATTGATCTTGAAGTTAAGATAGAACCACACCAATAGAGAGCATCATGATCATCTTGGTAAAACTGAATGCATAGCTTTGATCTGAATCCACTCCTTGCTCAAGAGAACCTTAATATGATTTTAAATTATCATGCTCATGCTGGTTAAGTCTGCTCGTGGATTATACATACTTGAATCATCTTTGCATTATTGTTTATTTATCTTTGTTGATTCAAGTAGAACTCCCCTCCCTTGACCAATCATTTCCTTCAAGCCATATGTTTTGTGTGTTGTGAGGCTTCTTGGTGAAATCTTGGCATAGAGTATTAGGTCTTGAACCGATGATATCTTGCGTATTTGACGCATTCTAACCTTTGTTTTCACGAGTTTTATCGAGTCTTTCTAGTCTTTATCGAGTCTTTTCAGGTCTAAAGACGTTCAGGGAGAGCTTTGGTCACATGGACCAACAACAGGCGAAAGCAGGCAAAACGGAGCAAAAGGAGCTCGATCGATCCACTTCACAGATCGATCGATCCATGCAGGACCAAGTAGCTCGATCGATCCCATAGGAGGCTAGCCAGCTCGATCGACCCCATACGAGACTAGCCAGCTGATTGATCCCATCATCTGCTTACAGCTCATCGATCCCATAGGAGGCTAGCCAGCTCGATCGACCCATCATCTGCTTACAGCTCGATCGACCCCTCATCTGCTCAGCTCGATCGATCCATGCACGCCATGCATCGATATCTCAGCCGTTCGATCTTGGTGATCAAACCACTTCGATCGAACCGTCACAAACCGGATTGAACCGAGCTCGACCCCGGAGCTATTTAGACCTATTTAGCCATTGTTTAGGCTACGCCGTTTTTCAGAGTTCTTCATTGTTTCTGAGGGAGAAGAGATCGAACCATTGTTTTCACAGTTTGGAGAAGATTTCTGAACCCTCTTGTTTGCTATTATTTTTGATTCAATGACTTTCATTTCAGTTGTTGTTTCTGTTTTGCCATGTCTGAGTAGTCTTCCTGCTAGATCTAGGTTTTTCAAAGGGATTCATGTGTTAACTAAATGAATACAGATAGGGCTTTCATACTGTCTTCGCCATTGTTGTTTACTGCTTAGATCGATCTGATCACTCGATCTCTGATCTCAGATTTACCTGTTCATCAAAAGTGCAATAGGTTGTTAGAACGAACTGTGGTGAGCGAATCGTCCTTAGCCTGCGAAAGTTGATGCTAGGCGATTCGTGAACATATCGAACCTGTGTGCATTGCTTGTCTTCAATTGCTAGATTCAAACGACAGTTTAGACATCTAGGTTGTTAGTAAAGTTGTTAATATCGCGACAGTGAATTGACATACTGTTTTGTTTGAGTTCGAGACCTGTTCTTTATCTGTGCCCTGAATAGTTGTTTGGTTGTTAACCGTGAATCTCCTGCGAATTGCCTTGGTCTAGTGCTGTTTTATTTGAATTACATCAACGTTTACATTGTACCTGTTACTAAAATCAATCATCTTGTCTTAGCTCTGTTTTGAATCTCCTAGATTCATAGTGTAACGCTGGTCCTCTGGATTTCGAATCCTTTATATTACAATCTTCATCACTGTATATTTGCAGTAGAGAAAATGACTATTTCTAGTTTATCAAATTTGGCGCCGTTGCGACGGGGACCAATTCGTTACCTTTGATTCTTGATTTAAAATCTAGTCTAAGATTTACTAACTTGTTCTCTCTCGTTTTTCTTGTGTGTGTTTCAGGTGCATGAACACTAGATCTCGACGGAGCAACCGCAACGAAGAGCTTCTCATCCTGTCCAACGCAGAACTTGCGAGAGTAGAACGAGCAAACAGACAACAAAGGCCTAATCCACGATATGGGCGATAACGGCAATCCGAACATGGCTGCTCAGTTGCAGCAGCTTCAGCAGCAGATCGAGCAGATGCGGAAGGCTCAACAAGATAGAGAACCGCAACCACGTGCTATTGGAGACAAGGACAATCCGCATACCTTCTATCAAAACCGGTCTGCGATTGTCCCTCCAAACGTTCAGAGGCAAGACTTCGAGATCAAGCCCGAGCATGATCGCTCTAGTCAAGGATCACATCTTCCATGGACTTCCTGCTGAGATTCCTGGACCATATCCAGAACTTTGAGGAGATATGCAGCACGACTGGTTCGAATGGAGTACCGGCTGACTTTCTGAAGTGCAAGCTATTCCCGTTCTCACTTGCCAACAAAGCATCTCGCTGGCTGAAGTCATTACCACCTGGGTCTTTGACTTCATGGGACCAAGTTAGAGCGCGTTTCTGGACCACTTCTACACGAAGTCCAAGAATGCAGCTCTGAGGACGAAGATCGCATCTTTCCAGCAGTATGATGGAGAAGCTTTCTGCGAAGCATGGGAGAGATACAAGGAGTGCCGAAGAGAGTGTCCTCATCACGGATACTCTGATGAGCAGATCCTGAGCATCTTCTATGATGGAGTCAACTGGGACTACAGAATGCTTTGAACGCAGCCAGCAATGGCGATTTCATGACGAAGTCCAAGAAGGTGCATTCGAGCTGATCGAGAATCTTGCAGCGAGCTCGAGCAACAAGAACGCTGAGTACGACAGAACAGTGAGCACTGTATCTGTCAAAGGAAGCAGTGCTGAAGCGAAGAAGATTGAGGAACTCACGGCAAGGTGAATCTATTGATGAAGGCGCAGCAGAAGTCTGTTCATTTTGTTGACGAAAATGATGACACCTATCTCTCAAGAGTTTGGAGGAGAAGAGGATGAAGATGATCAGATGGAGGTCAACTATGTGAATGGGCAAGCTTTTGTGCCAGAACCGTGGTTTCAACTCGAACTACAGAAACCATCCGAACATGTCCTACAGGAGCACCAACGTCGAGAACCCTCAGGATCAGGTCTATCCGCCTCGATCGAACCAGAACCAGCAGAGTTATCAGAAGAGCTATCCTAACAGCTTCCAGGAGAAGACCTTTGCCCCAAACCAGAACCGTTCTCAAGGTGGTAACCAACAGAAGGCGCAGTTCAGCAATCAGCAACAACCTTCAGGTTCATCGAACAACTCGAACGATGAGCTTAAGGGTATGATGCAGCAGATGTTGATGAACCAGCAGAAGTCCACTGCGGAGACACACTTGAAGATAGACACCATGTACAACGATCTGAATGGGAAGTACGAAGCTGTGTGGACTCATGTGAAGAAGCTGGATGTCCAAGTAGCTCAAACCGCTGAAGCAGTGAAGAGACCTCATGGAACCCTTCCTGGGAAAGGAGAGCGAACCCCAGGAATGAGTATGTTGCACAAGTTGAGCTGAGAAGTGGGAGGAAGCTGTTACCTGCTGCGATTCCTCCTAAAAGGGCAGGCAAGGAGAAAGCCGACGAGAATCCGGAACATGTGAGCTGAAGTCGATCGAGCTGCTTCGAGAGGAGTCGATCGAGCTGATGATGACGCCTCCTTACCTTGTTCCACGGAAGAAGTCCAGAAAAGACTTGGAGGATGCAAAGTGTAAGGAGATGTTGAAGGACTTGACTGTGAAGCTGCCTCTGTCTGATGCTGTTCAGATGATTCCTGCTTGAAGAAGTACATGAAGGAGCTGATATCTGGGAAAGTAGCTGAGGATGAGAACGTCATGCTAGTGTCAGAGGAGTGTAGCGCTGTGCTGGTGATCAAGAAGAGGAGCGATCCAGGAAGATTTGTCTTGTCAGTGCAGATTGGCCACATGACCTTCGCATGCTCTCTTTGCGATCTTGGCTCGAGCGTGAACCTGATGCCATATTCTGTGGCCAAGCGACTGGGATACACAAGTTCAAACCCACGAAAGTCTCTTGGTTTTCGCTGACAGATCGACTAAGTTCCCAGTCGGTATACTTGAGGATCTACATGTGCAGATAGGGAACACACTCATTCCAGCAGATTTTGTAGTCCTCGAGCTCGACGAAGAACCTAAGGATCCACTGATACTAGGGCGAAACTTCCTATGCACATTGATGTGAAGGGAGGAATCATTGATCTCCATCTGGGAGATATCGTCATGAGGTTCGAGATGAACAAACTCCTCAAGAAGCCAATGTTAGATGGGCAAACTTATGTGATTGAAGATGGCTCAAACTTGGTGGACGAAGTGAGTGAGGAGATGCTTCTTGACGACCCTCTGGAGGTAGCTTTGACTAAAGCTGAAGGAGAGTATGATTTCCTGAATGAGGAAGCCGATGGCTTCGGGAAAATGATGGATGCAAGCGGCAAGATGGAGAGACTGGTGGCGTTCATGAGCTTGGAGGACGAGGAGGATCGATCGAACAGATGCCAGATCGATCGAATGCACCTCAGGAGAGTCCCGTCAACAGCCCTTGGAGCGAGTCGAGTGCACCTAAGCTCGAGCTGAAAACACTCCCTGCGGGGCTCAGGTATGCATTTCTGGGACCTAACTCTACATACCCTGTGATAGTGAATGCTGAGCTGAACAATGTTGAACTTGCTTTGCTTCTCTGTGAGCTTAGGAAGTATAGAAAAGCTATAGGGTATTCGCTAGATGACATCCCTGGAATTTCTCCTGATCTTTGCATGCATAGAATACATCTAGAAGATGAATCGATGACTTCTGTAGAACATCAGAGGAGGTTAAACCCGAATCTAAAAGATGTTGTCAAGAAAGAGATAATGAAACTTCTAGATGCTGGTGTAATTTATGCTATATCTGATAGTAAGTGGGTCAGTCCTGTGCATGTAGTTCCTAAGAAAGGTGGTATAACTGTTGTTAAGAATGATAGGAACGAGCTGATACCCACTAGAACTGTCACTGGTCATCGCATGTGCATTGATCTGGAAGTAGAAGCTTTCGATGTGTGGGGAGTTGACTTCATGGGACATTTCCCATCTTCCTATGGAAACCTATACATTTTGGTGGTTGTCGACTATGTATCTAAATGGGTAGAGGCTTTGGCCAGTCCCACTAATGATGCAAAGGTCGTTCTGAATATGTTCAAGTCAGTGATCTTCCCTCGATTTGGCGTGCCGAGAGTTGTTATAAGTGATGGAGGTTCTCACTTCATCAATAGAACGTTTGATAATCTTTTGAAGAGGCACGGGGTGAAGCACAAGATGGCGAGTCCTTATCATCCCCAGACGAGTGGCCAAGTGGAGCTATCCAACAGAGAGATCAAGAACATTCTACGGAAAACTGCATGCACAACTGGGAAAGATTGGTCTGCAAAATTGGATGATGTACTCTGGGCCTATCGAACGGCCTACAAGACTCCTCTTGGTACAACACCATTCAACCTGGTCTATGGCAAGGCTTGTCACCTGCCTGTGGAGCTAGAAAACAAGGCTGCGTGGGCAGTTAAGCAGATGAACTACGACGTGAAATCTGCGGCAGAGAGAAGGAACATGCAGTTGGTGGAGCTTGACGAGATTAAGCACCTGGCCTATGATTGTTCGAAGATCTACAAGGAGCGGACTAAAGCTTATCACGACAAGAATATCCTGAAAAGGAACTTTTCCCAAGGAGATCAAGTCCTGCTGTTTAACTCCATGCTGAAGTTATTTCCTGAAAAGCTGAAATCAAGGTGGTCTGGACCCTTTGTTATCAAGTAAGTCAGACCATATGGAGCTTTTGAACTATGGGATAAGTCTGGTGGACATTTCGTGGTAAACGGTCAACGCCTCAAGGCATATCTTGCTGATACCGACATCACAGAGAGGGAATCTTTGTTCTCTCAGTGATCCATCTCCTGCCTAATAGGCATTCAAGTCAAGCTAGTGACTTAAACCAAGCGCTTGGTGGGAGGCAACCCACTAGTAAGTGTACATACTCTTTTCCATTAGATTTCCGCTAATTTTGTTTTTCTTTGCTTCTTTAAAAAAAAAAAAAAAAAAAATCAGATCGAGTCGACCCACCCGTTGATCGACCCGCCCGCCCAACCGTTGACCCGCTGGGCCCACCACGAGGTAAGTGAACTCATCTCCCCACCACACACTTACACTCATATCTTATCTTCTCTCTCTTCACCACGATAACACAACAAAACCTTCTCCCTTCACCATCATCTTCATCGATCCCCTACCATATACACACTCTCTTATCACCACATATTCTCACATCATTCTTCTTTCTTTCTTCATCTTTCCTTCGACTACTCTCCCTCTTTCATCCCTCTCGCCTCTTTTCATCAAACACACACCATCACTCTCATCACTCAACACTATCCATTTCCATCTCCCCACACAAACATAGATATTCGAACGATTTGGCTGCATATTTTCATCTCATCTTTTTCGACTGCACATCATGCGAAGTGGATGGTATGGACACTATCTCTAAACTGTGTGATTTTGAACGAAATCGATTGAATTGTGTTATACTGCGAGAAGGCGTGAGCTGTTGATTGATTGACTTGACTCCAATTGTGGTTCAGTTCGGTTGAGTATGATTGTGTTTATTCTTAGTGTGAGCTTAGTTGTTCTTCTGGTGAACGAAAATTGTCGATTGTGTTATTGGCTCTCAAACTACCCTGCAATTGATCGATTGTGTTGCTAGTTGATAGGGAGTTGATCAAATTGACTGTTTGAAATTGGTTCTGCATTGAAATAGACGAAGTCGATTGAGCCGCCATTGCAATATCACTTGTTGAAGTCGATCGCTTGGTTTGTTTTGGAATCGTTACGGTCCCGATCAACCGTACGGTCGAATATCTGAACTTGCCTAACTTGTTGTTTTCTCTCTCTACTATGAGTTTCAAGAAACGGGGCGGTGACAGGTACTTACGCCGGCGTGAAGAGTTTGTGAGAGGGAAGAGGCCCGTTGACTTTAACGACGACTTCGTGGAAGACGAGACGATGGAGGATGCCCCGTTTCCCAAGCCCACGGGAGATGACGATCCCGTTGATACGACGACAGACGCAGAGATGAAGCTCCTCTGAACCTTTCTCGACATGAAGTTTGGCGGGACGAAATACGCAGACCGAGACACGATGGAGATGCTCCGCATAGCAGACGATGTCGATGAGATGTTCAACAATCTCGGGATCAGGGCACTGATGTACACGCGGCACGAGTCTTACCGGAAGGCGTCATGCCTTTTCCTCGCCACACTCGCTGACAATCTCTGCGCCGCCGGCAAATACACATCTGACCGGAGCGACGGCTACATTACTTTTGGGCCACTGGACGGAGGCACCAGCTTTCTTACAGAGAGGTCTATCGAGCACTATCTCTACCTCCGAGCAACCGCCACGGTCTTGATGTCGACAGAGACGAGATGACAGCTATGTGAGGGACGATCGCTTTTGGTGACTACCTCGCCTCAACCGCGAAGTCTTCTCACATCCGGAGCCCACCTATCCGCTACTTCCACAAGGCCGTCGCCAACACACTCTTCTTGAGACACGCGACCGGGAACGTGGCAGAGAACGAGATGAACATGATCGATGTGGCACTCACAGCATCCCGCTGAGGCTGAACAACAGGACACAGGTCAGAGGCAGTAGAGCACATGGAGGTATCATGCACGCGGTTGTGAACCAGCTTCGCTCTTACCAGAACTGGGCGTCGAGAAACAGAGGCATCCGCCACAAGTGCGAGTTACGGATGGGCGGCTTGATCACACCTCTCCTACGCGCAGTCGGTTTTTCTCCTGATATGACAGAGGATGTCGCACCACCCGAGGAGCTCGACCTCGAGTATCTGAAGAACAGCGTCTTCTTAAAAAAGACGCCAGACGATGGACCGCTGCTCTATCAGTTCTTTCATCTTCAGTTCGGCGCCTCTCGGATGTTGTTACCTAACCCGAGCTGGACCACGATCAGAGGCGGGTCCAATGTCGAGTTCAACCCGCCTCAGTCTGCACTTTACACGCCTTCTCGCTCGACCACACGTAACTACGCTACACTTCCGGCGACCACGCAGCGCTACGATCGGTCTCTTGCGGACGAGACTATGCCTGTGGATGAGTTTGACCATTTTCACTTCCCGGAGTACACCACCACAGCCAGACAGAGCACCGGACTGAAGGCAGCTCACAAGCGCATCAGCCTCCTCCAGCGGTGGAACAGGACGCAAGACAAGATTACCAACAAACTCAAGAACAAGATTAAGAAGATGGCTGATCAGATCAAAGCCATGCAAGATAAGTTGAGTTGTGTTGCCTCAGCATCACGAGGAGTACAGAGGATCGCAGTCGGCCCACGACCAGTGGATCTTTCCGAGGACGAGGTTCACCACGACACCACTGGCGGTCGGCCACCGCCTCCTGACCCGCCATGTCATTCTTCCTTCGAGCAGCGACAGCAGCGGAAGAGGCAGACGCGGACTTGCCATTCAGGCGATGCAGCTCTGTTTCGAGACAGACGGCGCCGACGGATCATCACACTCCGCCGACGAGAGCTCCACCGGACTAGTACGTTCCGTACAGCACCGAGCAAGCTGCACCTTCCACCGTCCCTCCATACACACATGAGAGCATGCAGGACGATCTCGACGCGATCATTCATGGCCGTCACTGATGCTCCTTTCCGACTCTACTCGACCGATCACCACCATTGTATCATTCCATTTTTCATTTTCTTTTTCTTCTATTGAGTCTGTTTAACTCTCTCTTTGATTTATTTTCACACCGGGTCGGTGTGAAGTAAGTCCGGGGGAGGGTCTTTGTGTTTACTAACGTCATTTTCTTTCTTTTGTTTTGTGTTTCACCTTGAGTCATTTTGATGTTTTCTTTGAGTCATGTTTTATTGAGTCAAAACTTGTTGGGAATAATGAATTTATCTGATGAAACCACTTATGCTCTTGAATTCTTTCTATCTAGTGACCAATTTTGCAGGGTTTGTTATGTGTAAAAAGCTGGAATACCCTTTTGGTCAGACTTCCCCCAGGAATTTCTTTTTGCAGAGATTTTGGTGAAACATCTGGTTGACTCTAATGATATTGGACTACTGATGGCGGGTTTAGATTGCCTCAAATTTTCACAATTTATAAACCCAACTAATGAGCTGCAAGTGCACAGCCGTGTTGTAGTCGGGGTCGAACACGAGGAGGAAGTGTTCTCGCTTAACACCTTGTGAGATGGTTTGTAGCTAGCTCGCAATATGAGGTGGTTTTGGACCTAGAATGAGAAAACAAAACAAAAGAAATGTGAGTGAGTTGTAAACAATTTAAAACAAGAGTTAGGCAAAGGACAATCATATGGAGCAATGATGAAAAGATAGTTGCATGGGATGTGTGTAGAGCCGTCTTGAACATGAATCACTAGTGTATGGTCTTTCCACTGTCGTGGCTCCAACCACTATGTTTGAAACAACCTAATATACTCACGTTGGCTATTAGAATTGCACCATTAATTGTTCACAATAAACCATAACTCAGCTTTCGTTGGCTATGATCTATTGCTCACCAAATACTAGTTTTGAGATCTAGATTCAGCACTGTCGTGGTTCTATTTCTCTAAGATCAGATTACTAGATGTACGGTAGAGTAATCATGCATTAAGCTCAAGTAAAGGTGAAGATCCATAAGATAAATCCCAATAAGTTGCAACACAATCAAATCATCACGGCCACCATAGATCTCCTCGGCCTAACTAAGAGATCTACTCGGCCATGATGCAAACAAGCAAGCAAAGCATGATTGTAAACATTATGCAAGTATTAAAAGAGATAAAGGGATGAAGAAAGCTTCTCTATTGATGAACAAAGTCGGATTCTCCCTTGAAAACTCTTAAGATCAAGTTTATAGAAATGGAAACAATGAAAAAGAAAGAACAAGAGTTGAGCGGCGCCTCCTTCTTCTTGGACGATCTCCTAGGGCTTCTCTTCTCTCTCTCTCTTCTCACACGTGAACTCTTTGTAATTTTCGGACTGGATCTCTCTCTCTTCTTCAGCGGCTAAAAACATGTATATATGGGCGAAGTCGCGTAGGGTTTTCTTCATGCCGGAAAAGGAAAGTTTCCATGCGCCGAGCCTTCTTCTCCACGTCGTGTATGGGCCGACATTGTACCAAGGAAAGCTCCAAACATTAGCCAGGCCTCTTCTCTATTCGATCAAGGCCTTTGGCGCTGCTGCTCGGGCCATTAGACACTCCAAATCCTCCATGGGCTTCGTTTACTCGCTTACCGGACATGTCTCGGTAGAAAATAAGTCTAGGCCTCATAGTTGATCCAAATGGCTTCATTCCACTTCGACGTGATGCATGACTCAAGTATCTATCTTTCCATATCAAGATCGTAACTTTTGGACGTCGGGAACTCCTCCGCGCGCGGCCAAACTTCCGAAGCTTCGTTCTGCGCGCTGCGAGAACTAACACTTGGAGATAAAATGATCTTCTTGACTTGGAAACTTGCATGGATCTTGATTTAGGGCTCTTTTACTCCTTTTTGCATCCTTTTTGATTATTTCACCTACAAAGACTTCAAATCCCACAAATACAAGAAAACTACCTCTAAAGGCAAAGAATCTTGCAAAAACCGTTTGAAAACATAGGTAAATTATATAGTAAAATCATGTAAAATATGGTGATATCAACTACTAATCGGACTTCAATTACTTCTCATTCGGAATGTCATAGCAGGGAAACGGACCATACACTCAGGACTTCTTATTCATTTTACCACTCTCTGTTGATCCTGAGTGGCCAGCCCATTTTTGGTTGGTACCCCACCTTGAGCCTTACCTCCTTTCTGACTTCATGCACTCTGTTCTTCTATGTCATATATGCAGATATGTGCAAAAACGTCGGAGAGAAAGGTTCGACACAGCTTCCCAACCACATTCAAGACGAGTGTTCATCTATAACACTGAGAATGGGAAGTGATGGTGGAGTATGGAGCCTGAATCGATCGAACTGATGGTCGTTCCTTGGAGAAGCACGAATACACGGTAACATTTACGAGCCATTGACACTAGTTCCCTAAAAAAAAAAAAAAAAAAAAAAAAAAAAAAAAAACAGAAAAACTTGAGGAAAGGAACTAGTGGTTCAATAAAATGTCAAGCTCGACCGAATACCTCCAAGGAACACCACCGATCAAGGCGAATTGGGAGTTAGAGCTGTTCTGGATAAAATCCAACATACAAGGAGTTGAAGAGTGAAGTGGTTGGGAAATGTGGCTATCAACAGAACCATTCTCTCTTGCTGTTTTGCGCGATATCATGCATTCTCCAGCGTATCTGTGATATACCTCTTTTTATGCTATTTTACTATGGTTTTCTAATGGTTTTCTAGTGGATTCTTGTGTTAAAAGGTAGTTTTTATGGATTTATAGTGCAAAGAGTCATTTTAGGTAAAAAGGTGCATTATGGAGCAAAACAGAGATTTGGACTCTAAACCAGTTCAATGCCCCTGCATCAACTTTGGATGGAGCTAGAAAAAGATCTACTCAATGGATTTCATCAAGACCAGTTCCCTGCGTGCTCTGATTGAGTTAACTTTCCAACGCAACTGGAACGGCCTCATTTGGATGAGTAGAAAAGGAGTTATAGCCAAAAGAGTGAAGACTGCTCCAGACGGCTCTATCGAGAATCAGCGCCCGAACCGCGCAGTCCGGCTGGCCGAGGAACGAATGTTCCGCGCTCGGCCAAAACGTCCGTCCGACTGAAGTCTCGGCCAAAGTCCAAACCGTCGGCCGATCACGCATCACGACCCGGGAAACAGCCCGCGGTCGGCCAAGCCACAACGCCACGCCACGCCGCGCACGACCATGCCGCGCGAGCCGGGAAAAGCCTCGCGGCCGCGCAACCATCTCGCGTACCACGGCCGATGCATCCGTCCGAGCCGGGAAAAACGTCCCACGTCCGGCCGAGAAACCATCGGCCAAATCTTCATCCGTCCGACCACACCGGCCGACCGTGAAACATCCGGCCACGACCGTTCCGACTCGGCCAAGACCCGACTGTCCGGCCGATCGTCCCGACCGACCGTCCGAACGCCGCGGTCGACCCGAAGCCGTTTTTGAAGCCCAATCCGCACAATTCAAGCCCAAAGCCGGCGCCGACCTAGCTAGATTAGGTCTAGCCGCTTTTACATACTTAGTGCATTATAAATACTTCTTTTTAGCCTTGTAACTCAAGAAGGAGAGAGACCACAATCTATTTTACATCTTTAATAAAGTTTTGCTTGCTTTTACTTTGTTCTTGCTTGTTACTCTTTCTAGAGAGGATTCGAATCTCTGTTCTTATGAATATGAATTCGTGTTCCTTCTCTATGTCTGAGTAGTTTACTTGTTAAGTGATAGGAAGTCAAAGGATAGCATTCATGTATGCTTGATGATTGATCACAATTAGGGTTTTACTTATAATCTCCATCTTTGCTTATACTTAATGCTTGTTGTTAATCTGGCCAATTAGCATATGCCTTTAGGTTGATTTGAGCCTCGACAGTGCTGTATCATTCGCCTGAACTAGTATTTGGTGGGCAATCTCTTTTAGACTGCGACAGTTGATCTACTTGTAGGTTGTGAACAATTGAACTTAATCGAACTAATGCTTGATTTAATCACCTAGGGACATACCAAAAGTTTAGCGACTAGGTAGATTAACAAAGGGGTCGGAGCCTCGACAGTGGAATGATCATACCATAGTGTTTCAAGTTCTAGATTAGCACCTAATTGCGGTAACCCTAATTGATTGATTTCATGCTTCTTGAATTGCTTATCTCAAGACTATCCTATTGCTTAGCCTTTCTCTCCTATTGATTTCACTTTTATTACTTGCATGCTTTACTTTCTGCACTCAACCAACTTATACTTTTGCCCTAGCTCGATCTCAACTCATAGTTGTAGTGTGCAATCTGGTCCTTGTGTTCGATACCCGTTTACTACTTCTGACCTGTGCACTTGCAGAATCAGGGATAGGAAAGGGGAAGACCTGATCCCGCGATCAATCTGGTAACCCTTAAACACTTTAACCTCACCGATAAAACAGGCCTTTTGATACCCAACACCGTCGACCCTGTATGATATTCTTGATGAGAGGTCCACGCCGAATCTTAATGAATGTAGAGAGTTAACTAATGTGTAGCTAGAGTTTCTGCAGGATGGAGGTTCATCACGGGATCAGGAATGCGAGACCTCAAGGGGACTACAGTGATTATGCACTGACCGAACCTTGTTCATTGAGGTCTGCTGATTTTCCTTTAGGGTATGGTTGCTGATGATTTGTGAGTTCCCGCGTTTTCAAACTTCTTCCCTATTCTTGGAATTTATGTTTGCTTGAGGGCAAGCAAAAGACTAAGTCCGGGGGAGTTGATATCTTGCGTATTTGACGCATTCTAACCTTTGTTTTCACGAGTTTTATCGAGTCTTTCTAGTCTTTATCGAGTCTTTTCAGGTCTAAAGACGTTCCAGGGAGAGCTTTGGTCACATGGACCAACAACAGGCGAAAGCAGGCAAACATGGCAAAAGGAGCTCGATCGATCCACTTCACAGATCGATCGATCCGGTGCAGGACCAAGTAGCTCGATCGATCCCATAGGAGGCTAGCCAGCTCGATCGACCCCATACGAGACTAGCCAGCTCGATCGATCCCATCATCTGCTTACACTCGATCGATCCCATAGGAGGCTAGCCAGCTCGATCGACCCCATCATCTGCTTACAGCCTCGATCGACTTCCCATGCACGCCATGCATCGATTGATCTCAGCCGTTCCATCTTCTCCGCGTCGATCGATCTCAGCTTCGATCGACCCCGGTTTTGTCATCTCAAACCGGATTGAACCGAACTCGACCCCGGAGCTATTTAGACCTATTATCAGCCATTGTTTAGGCCACGCCGTTTTTCAGAGTTCTTCATTGTTTCTGAGGGAGAAGAATTCGAACCATTGTTTTCACAGTTTGGAGAAGATTTCTGAACCCTCTTGTTTGCTATTATTTTTGATTCAGTGACTTTCATTTCAGTTGTTGTTATCTGTTTTGCCATATCTGAGTAATCTTCCTGCTAGATCTAGGTTTTTCAAAGGAGTTCATGTGTTAACTAAACTGAATACAGATAGGGCCATCATATTGTCTTCACCACTGTTAAGTTTACTGCTTAGATCGAATTGATCACTCGATCTCTGATCTTAGATTTATCTATGCACCAAAAGTGCAATAGGTTGTTAGAACGAACTTTGGTGAGCGAATCGTCCTTAGCCTGCGAAAGTTGATGCTACGGCGATTCGTGAACATATCGAACTGTGTGCATTGCTTGTCTTCAATTGCTAGATTCAAACGACAGTTTAGACATCTAGGTTGTTAGTCAAAGTTGTTAATATCGCGACAGTGAATTGACATACTGTTTTGTTTGAGTTCGAGACTGTTCTTTATCTGTGCCCTGAATAGTTGTTTGGTTGTTAACCGTGAATCTCCTGCGAATTGCCTTGGTCTAGTGCCTGTTTTATTTAGTTTACATCAACGTTTACATTTGTCACTTGTTACAAAATCAATCATTCTTGTCTTAGCTCTGTTTTGAAATCTCCTAGATTCATAGTGTAACGCTGGTCCTCTGGATTTCGAATCCTTTATATTACAACTTCATCACTGTATATTTGCAGTAGAGAAAATGATCTATTTTTAGACTATCAACCGACAAGGATAGATGATCATGTAGACTCTAGTCCACGCTTTTTGGGCTAGATTAGGCTAGGATGGGGTTTGGAATTTCATCTTGGGTTGGGTCTTGAGGAAGAAAAAGAAAGTCTTGAGCAGAGAGAAAGGCAGCAAGAGTGAAAGAGGTTATAAGGGCGTGGTCTTGTTGAGTAAAAAAGATGGGTTAGGGCAGAGAAGAAAAGTCTAGACCAAGTCTCTTGAGTGTCATTGTCAAAACCCTTAGGAAAATTCCTCTTAGCTGCCCAAAGCAAAAAGCTCTTGAGAAAAAGAAAAGAAAAAGAGAAGTCAAAACACCAGGGAAAAAGGGTAGAAATAAGGGGCTTTGAGTTGTTCTTCATCTGGGGTTGAGGATTCGGTTGAGGTACAAAGGGTAGATGATCATTTGTCCTTGTACGCATCAGTTGGTTCTAGCCTTTGGCATTATGCCGAAGCTACTTCACATTCTTTTGAGAGAACCCTTTCCCTGATCTTATCTGACTTGAGCGCATAATATCCATACTTGCTCTTTCTTTTCTCAGCCAAATGAGTATGCTTGACTTGCATGAGTTTTGATCCACTGTTTTATGTTTTTAATGAATGTTAAAAGGAGTGGAGGATTTGAATGCATGTTTAGGTTGAGCTAGGTGTCATTGATTGCAATTTAAAGGTGTGGCTACGATTTTTGAAGTAGGGTACATCACTTGCGCTTTAAAACTTGGAACTTGGTTGTTGACTTGATTTCTCTTCTCTGCACTCGCTTGACCAATTTTCTCAAGTCCGCATCTCTCCATTCTGTTTTATGTGTGCTTGAGGGCAAGCAAAGACTAAGTGTGGGGGTGTTGATGTACTCAACATTTGCATGCATTTAGCATTACATTCTGCATAGTTTTTTATATCTTTGACTCTCATTTCATATCATTTAGTGTAGGTTTCATCTCCTTAGGAACATTTAGCTTTTAATTAAAATAGCATTTTGCATTTTCCATTGCATTTGGAGAGTTATTCTAGGTATTTGAGGCGTTGAGAAAGATGGAGGCAAGTTGCGGTAGTGGCTGGAGCAAGACAGAGAAGCTAGAAGCTGATTAGAGCTCAGGAGTGTTCAAGAAGTTCTCAGACCAGAGGACTTGAGCAAGGAGAACAGAGCACTTGAGAAGTTTGCTCAAGACATGCGCACCTGTGAAGTCAAAGCAAAAACGTTGACCAAGGCTTCTTCCTCTCACTTACTATATAAACCATAAAGACCTAATTTCTTAGGCATGCTTTATCTTGTTCTTAGACAAAAACCTTTTGAAATACATTTTGCAAGATCTTTTGAAGAGATTATTTTTTATTTTTTTTATTTTTTTGAATTGAATGTAAAATTGATTCGAACCCAAAAAAACATCATTTTTTACATCAAGTGCAACGTGATTTTGAGAAAGTTTAAAGGAAAAATATTTACACTAAACCAAACTCAAGTATTTTGTCTTGCTGCAAACCAAGTGTGGAGAGCTTCTTCATACGTCCGGTCTCCCAACATTCGGATGGAGGAGACTCGATTCCGGATCATCTTGTCGATAAGCACAGCGAGGAGATTTGGGGATATAGGTTGCTCTCCATGCCGCCGCGCATTCCGTTCCTTCCAGATACTGTGTATGGTGGCCTGAAACGCATATCTAGCAAGGAAGAGGAAGATTCGTGGCTGGTTCGAGTCAGAGATGATCGAGACGATGGCTTGCCAATCAGTAGAGTACTTTCGTCCGAGGAGACCCTGCACCAAAGCTTTCCATATCATAGCAGAGTAAATACATTCGAAAAATAAGTGGTTTCGTGTTTCCATCGGGTGAGAACATAGAACACACGATGGATTCACTCCCACGTTCCAGGTCAGCATTCTATCTCCGCTAGATAGACAATTGTGATTCGCGAGCCACGCACAGAACGAGAACTTAGGTGTGAAGTGAGTAAACCACACTCCTTTATTGAATTTAAGAGATTTCTTTTATTAATCTTTCTTCTCTCAACTTGCTAATCATGTTTATCAACCTCCCTCTTTTTGGGTTTGTTGATTTAAGCATTATTACTGAGTAGATCTTTTAGGGTTTAGGGATAGGTAAGATTTAGAGAGATTCAATGATTGATTTTGATGATTAGGCTTAGATTGCTTATATCCTTTTTTGATTTAGTGATCCTATTGCTAAATTAGCTTTGAGAAAAGTGATTTAGATCAAAGGGCATTTCACACCCACAAGATGTTTGATGAAATGTCTCAACCAACTAAATCAAGAGATTTATATTCGTAACTCATGAGAATGATTGTTTAAGAAATTTATTGGCTTAATAGAACTTGTTTATAATGCTTGTTAAATTCGAATTTCACTAATGATGATTAGTCTTGAAATTTGTAATTAGCAAAGTGATTAATATGATCATGAGAATGGATTAGTCTTGTTTAAGAGTCTTATGCCTAAGGATTAGCTTTCTCTTAATTGTTTGAGCATTATAGATTAATTAAAGAGTCTCTAGTTCAATCACCCCATCCTAAGACCCATTTGTTTAGCTTGTTTTACTTCTTCCATTTTTCGTTTTTGTATTTGTCTCTTGAGTTTGGCTTCTTGTTTTAATTTCTTGGTTTAAGTTTTATGTTTGGTTCTCATTCAGGTTGCTAGATAAAAACCCCTCTTTGATTTGGCTTGGATTAAATTGTTTCTTGCATTCCTATTGTCTTAATCTTAACCCCATTGGATTGATACATCAAGTATTACAATGACATGTGTAGTAGGCTTGAGTAATTGATAGCAAAAATCCTACTATCACTATACAATCGTCCTTTTTTTTTTTTTTAAAGGGTGACGGGTGAGAATGTGTGATATGAGCCAAAGCCTTTTTCTTTGCTCTTGTTATCGGACCTACATAAGCTATTATGATGAACAAGGAGATTGAAAGAGATCTAAGAGAGATTTAGCTAAGCTTCCTCTTAATCCTAAACTCTCTTTGAAACTGTAAGCATAATTTTTAGAAGTTCAGTTCTTATTAATCAGTAGAAACCTATACATAGGTCTTGATACAACTTTAAACATAACTCTAATGTAAAAAGGAAAACATGAAAACCTAATTAATAAATTAAAACACCAAAAACATTAATTAAAAAGACCTAACCATACTTTTAACACCCATACCATAGTCATGTATCATTATTCCCCTCCTCGACTCGAAGTTTGCCCTCATGCTCCAATTCTTGCTATCCATACACCCACACGGTAGGATCGACTGTGGAAATCTTGATACAAAAGACATAGTCAAGAGATGCAACAGTTGTCGTCGGTGGGTCCTCGTTGAATGATAATACATGGCTACAAGAGTTATGGGTGGGTCCTCATTGAATGATAGTACATGGCTACTCCAAGCAGCCCATCTTTTTCCTTAACCACATAACAACTACACATGGTCAAAAGTGTCTCCTCTTTATTTCCATTTTTTGATTCTACGACTTGAACAGCAGTTGGCGTTGCCGCTGCTTCTAGGATTTGTCGCTCTGGTTTCTTTGGCTCAGCCACAGACGTTGTCTCCTCTGGATTTATGTTTTTTTATTCCATGACTTGAATGACAGTTGGTGCCACCAATATTTCAACAGCTGGCTTTGGTTGTTTCAGTTCAGGCACATCGAAAAGCTTTTCTACGGTGAATTTGACCATTGGCCTTAGAGCTTGATCAACCCTTGCGGGTTTTTCCTTCTGTAATCCAACTTTGCGTGAATCCATTGAACCAATTCCATCAGTTTTGCGAGTTACGCGGAATCATGGTCTCCCATCGGATCGCACGTCTCTGATACCAAATTGATATGAGCCAAAGCCTTTTTCTTCACTCTTGTTATCAAAACTAGATAATCTATGATGAACAACGAGATTAAAAGAGATCTAAGAGAGGTTTAGCTAAGATTCCTCTTAACCCTAAACTCTCTTTAGAGCTTTAAGCTTAATTCTTAGAAGTTCATTTCTTATTAATCAATACTCAATAGAAACCCTTATATAAGTCTTGATACAACTTTAAGCATAACCTAATAAAAAAAAAAAAAAAACATGAAACCTAATTAATAAATTAAAACACCAAAACCATTAATGAAAATAACGATACTCTAAAGTCTAAACACACCATAACCATAGTCATGTATCAAAGTGCTGGTCGAAATCCAAGTCCCAAAGCTAGAAACGAAGGAGTTTTAAAACCGAAATATGAGACTTCATGTAATCAATTCATGTTAATAAAGGACGCTGAAGATTTATACTGTTATTTACATGAAGATGAAATCCTCCTTGAGGCTTGAAGGACGCTTGTGATCAATAGAGGGATGCGATGCGAAAAGCTTGGCTAAGACATCAACCTCTACTAGTCCTCTCAGCCTGGCATCCTTTATCCTTTGGAACACACACTGCATGGAATGGTTACCAAAAAAATGTTCATGTAACCATTTAAAGTGTTTTAGATTTGAGATTTTTTGCGGGAAATTTGCCGAATAGCATATTCATAATTATATTTTGTAAACATGCTTCGACGTACAGTTTATTAATTGAATCCACAACAAATTATATATGCTACTATTAACAAACACTAATAACTCTCTGCTATCACTATCCACCATCATCAACGATAGCAATAAATAAAAATAAAATGAGTAGGACACTCAAGAAAGAAGAAGCAATTCGCTTCGAGACAAAAAAATTATTTTCATAAGAAATCTTGTTGAACTCAACAACCATTATACTTCACAAAAGAAAAACGTTTTGTTTTTTTGCTTAGTCCTGAAATTCTCAGTATCGGTAGACCATATTTTCTTGTGGCCATTAGTGGTAGGAGCCACTGCCAGTCTAGCAGCACTGGCGTAGAGAGTATACTCGAGAAAGAAAACGCTACGCTTCTAGACAAAAACTTCTTTCCATAAGAAATCTTGTTGAACTCAACAACCATTATACTTCACAAAAGAAAAACGTTTTGTGTTTCTGCTTCTAGTCCTGAAATTCTCAGTATCGGTAGATGATATTTTCTTGTGGTCAGAAAACCTTTTAACCAAAAAAAAAAAAAAAAAATCGTGTAGCCATTAGTGAGAGGAGCCGCTGCCAGTTTAGCAGCACCGGAGAAGTAACCAGCGATCGGTAGATGATACGGATTTTGTGAAGTATAATCATTAACGAAAAACGTTTTTACTTATTCTTATCTACTCAGATTCCTCCACAACTACCCACGTACAGAAGACAGACCTCCATTACCCCCATCCGGTGGTTCCTTAATATTAACCATATTTGGAAATATCAAAGAAAAGTTTTAGCAAAAAAAAACAAAAAAATTTCTGACAAGAGTAATCTATACTATATAAAAGTTGAAATTATAAGTTTCTAAGAGCGTCTACATAAGATTTTTATGAATCAATTAAATTCCGCCAAATCAGCATTTTTAAATTTAAAAAAAAAGAAAATTAAATGAGTTTTGTGAATATTAACATTATTGTATTAAATAATGGAAATTGTACTATTGTTAATTTGAATACTAACATTATCACACCAATTACATAAACCAATTGTTTGTTATAGTTTAATGGAATTTATGATTAAACTAGAAAATTTGTAAAAGCTAAACTAACTAACTAAAATAAAAAGGAAATTAACAATTTAGCTATTTCAAGGTTTGGCAATACAGGCAATAAACCTATTAGGGGTAGAATAATCAGTTTTTCTACATCTTCAAAGAGTTCTGAAAAATGTGTGAGTTTGCCAGTTTAGTTTATTGGGCTTGATCCATCCTAGACTCATACTGTAGAAAGACATATGAAGAAGATATGGAGACTGTTTCTTTGATGATCACAATGATTGCAGAGGTGTATCAATTCCATGAGCAGCCAGAGTTTGATCGGTCAAGACAAAGCTTTTGCCATCAAATTCAAGAGGAAATATTTCATTTTTGGTGTAGTATAAACTTGCCAAATATGATTACTCGATTTGATTAGAAACATGATATGAGTGAGTTAATAACCATTTTTGCAATTAAATAAACACTAACTGAATTTTGCAATTTCTAAACAAATATGTAACTAACAAATTTTTTGAACAAGAATGTATTTATAAACAGATTTAAGGCGGAAATATTCAAGTAAACATTAATATAAACTACTTTAAAAAGAAATGTATACCATAACGCATAAAAACGTGACAAAATTACTAACAAAAAAATCAACATTGAACAAACAATGATTTAAGATTTTCTTTAAGCCATAAAAAAAGAATATACAAATTTATATTATATAAAAGCTAAATATATACTATTATGATCAAAGTTTATAAACTAATAACACGATGTGTAAGTTAAATGTACTGAAAAATAAATTATATGTTGTTTATAGCATTTTAAGTTCTAACATAACGAATTGAAGTTATTTTAAATAAACATCATGTTACATACAAATACTGTTGACATCTAATTTTAAGAATTTCACTATACATATTTAAAAATATATTTCTGTTTAGAAAATGACTAACACGTCACAATAGTTCATAAATTAACATTACATTTTACACATATATATATAATTTGTCCTATTATAATGATTTGAATATCTTCAAGTAAGTTTTGGTCATTAGACATACACAAACATTTTTGTTACCGGGATATGATCTAAACAATATTTTTTATGTCAAGATTTGATCTCAACACAATATTATATATCTAAAAACTTTTGTTTTCCAGAGAATTTTGGTATTGAAATATTATTAAATTTTAATTGTTGATTTTTGCAGTTTAAAAAAAAATATTCTTTAAAAATATAATCAGATAAAAAGCCCACCAAAAAAAAAGAGTAATCAGAGAAAAAAGTAGATTTCCTGATAAGGATTACACTATTAAAACAAAAAACCGATTACCGAAACTATCCAAACTAAACTAAACCAAAATCAGTATGGTTCTAATATGTTACCTACTTTTTATTAACCGAAAGAACCAAACTGATATTCGAATTGAACAGTCCTAATTGCAGAAGAGAAAAGATAAACATTTCACACTCTGTTATTCAAGATGGGCTTAGAGAGCGACCAAGCCCGTTCTCCATATTTAGATAAAATATCGTTAAAAACTGAGAATATTAATTTTAAAATGGTCTTTTTATATTTCAGGCTCTCTAATGACTAGCTCAGGGTATTTTTTTGTTTCAGACTCTCTTCCAATGCATTTCCTTATTTTCTCCCTAATTTAGTGTTCCACTATAATAGTATAATATTTTTCTCCAATGTATTTCCTTATTATTTACACTAAAAATGAATATACTATGGTATATTCTAAACCCAAATTTATTGTAAAAACCTTTCATTTATAAATTTTACAAATTAACCCCACTTATTTTATTTTTGAAAATCCATAAATTGATATATTATTTAAATTAAACTTTTCTTATAAAACGTAATTAAACTAGATCATTAAAAATATAAAATATGATAGATTTTAGTTTATAAAACTTTTTTAATTATGATATTAATTAAAATAAATATTTATTATATTAATTTTTTTTGAAAACTTAGTTTTTGTAATTATATTACAAAGGAAAATAGAAAATATTCTAAACTTTGATTTAACCATCAGGATTACTATATTTCTAGAGTTTACATTATTTACTTTGTAATGAATAAAATATTTTTTTTATATATAATATTCCTTTTCTAATATAATGTTTCATGATTAATTCTAGTAAGACAAGAAAAAGGAAATAATTTTTTATAATTTATTTGTTAAATAAGAAGATTTTTTTAGAAGGATCATTATGCAAACAAAAAAGATCAACATCAAAAATAAGGGGAGAATAAATTTACACTATAAAGAGAGAAAAATATTGTTTCCTTATTTTGATGGGAAAAATGATGGTGGGTTGAAGATGAGTTATTCACATTAAAATAGTGTTTAAAGTTAAAAATGAGGGTGGGTCGGAGATACTGATGCTTTGAGTTAATAATTTTATATTGTTGAAATAATCTTTCAAGATCTACATGAATGAGGATCTTATATATTATTTCACGATGATATATGTATATATATATATTGTTTTTATAACCAACTGAAAACAAAAACAGAACTTTACACAAACCAGAAAACTTCAATTATTGGTTACACATAAACAGATTTGGTTAAACATGAAGAGTGTGGATATTCTCAATTCTTCTAGAAGAAATTGGAAAATACAATAATATGTTTTTTTTTCTCCATATACCAAAGACTAAAAAAGCGAAAGTGGATAAGTTAGCACAGCGCCTGCAAGATCTTTTCTTATAATATGTATTTTATAAACTCTGTTTTAACAACTTGGATCCTCGGCCCTCAGTAAAAACAGAGGTTTTTGTCCAAAAAAAAACAGATTTGGTTAAATATTTTATAACTTTATATTTTGAAAATTAACTCTTGCTTTTGAAAGTTTGTAAACTAAATTTTAAATAAGTCAACAGACGATATTACCATTATCATTTTTTCGGAATTTATGTATACATATATATATTTCTTTCTAATAAGAGACATATTGAATACAATATTTTAATAAATTTTAGATTTTAGATATATTAGAAAAGAAAACTATTTCAAGAAAAGAAGATAAGCTTATTTAAAATATTTAGTAATTACTGTTATATAATATTTATATTTAGATATAGACATATTTAGTACGTATATTGTTTTCAAAACCCTGCTCATGTTTATCATCAAACTAAAACTCACGCAAACTTTATTTAAAATTAGGCTTGATTGGTAGAGAAATTAGAAGAGCACTATACTCTTTATAATTCAATCAATTTTTATAAATACAAGCATGTAGAAGAAAATTTGGAAATTGCAAATGATCTAAAATGTTATTCCCTTCCTTGAAATGGAGCATTTATAAAGCATTAAGCTCTAAATTATTTAAAAAACCTAACAATAATTATATTTAATTTGGTAAATCAAATCAAAAATATATTTATATTAAATTAAAAATTAATAGTTTTGTAACTATTTTTATCATGAATGAATTGTTAATAAAATAATATATTAACTAAATCACAATTTCATAAATATAATGTAAATATGAAACAATTATGAAAAATTATATATATATAATGCATTAGACTCAATATTAACATACTTATTAAATGTTTTTACAAAATTCATTATAAAATCGCTTATAGCTTCCGCCAATCACTTAAGATATACTCCCTCCATTTCAAATTAGTTGTCATTTTCAAAAAATGTATCTGCAATGTATGTGGATTTACGTAAACGGCAACTAATTTGAAACGGAGAGAGTATAAATTAATCAGAGCATACAATTTTGGTAGCACACTGCTTATGCTCCATACCTCTAATGCTTTACAATGAGTCATAACACCTGCATACGTTTTGCTATTACCTTGTATAAAAAAAATTATATGTTTTGGTACATCTTATAGTAAACAAACGAAAGCTTTCAAATAAAAAGTGAAACTAGGTATTAAGATAGAATAAAGTCATCATAAAGCCATAGAACTACAGATTAATTTAAGACATACTATAAACTATGGTATATAATCCTCCGCTTCGTAGTCATTAGGAAAATATATTTGTTGATGCCATCTTCCGCTTCATAGTACAAAATAATGAATATAACTTTATCTAAACCTAAATAACCAATATTTAGTACAAAGTAAAATTTGAATATTATAGGATTATATGTCGTCTACTCGTCTCTGATATTTGTTTAGTACAAGAGAACCAATACTAATATATGGAAATGATGAACATATAATATTCCGTTTATGATAAACTTATGGGAAATCCAGAATCGTAATGAGTTAACCCGTTAAATCCATGTTTCCATTAGAAGTTTAGAACTAACCCACCAAACTCTTTTATTTTTATGGATTATGGATTAAAATATCTAACCCGAACCAACTAAAACCTTAGACTGACCATGTTTATTTTTATTTTTTTGTGTGGTTTTATATGTGTATATATGTGTATATATATATACATACTGGCGGACCATATATATATATATATATATATATGTACGTCGATCATTCATTCATATCCATAACACAGAAAAATATACATATTTCAGTTTGGCATCTGAATTACAAAAAAAAAATGAATCCATCTTGTTTCACTCTTGTTCTGTTTTGCATTGCGTTGGTCTTGGCTCTCGCTATACCTTCCTTGAAATCCAAGAAACCGAAACGTGAGCTGCCTCCCAGCCCAAGGGGATGGCCAATCATTGGGAACTTGTTCCAAATGATCATGAACCCGCCAGCTCAAATGTGGATCCACCGCGTCATGGAAGACATGCAAACAGATATAGCTTGTTTCCGCTTCGCCGGCGTCCACGTCATTGCCGTAACCTCAAGTGAGATTGCCCGAGAAGTGCTTAGGGAAAAAGACGAGGCTTTCGCAGACAGATCGGACTCATACTCGTTAAATCTCTTCACCGATGGATATAAAGAAGTTATCTTCGCTCCCTATGGAGAAAGATCGAAGCTAATGAAGAAAATGATGGCCACCAAACTAATGTGTTCGACGACGTTGAACAAAACCCTCGGCGATAGAACCATAGAAGCGGATAATATCGTCACGTATGTCTACAATCTATGCCAATTAGGGTCAATGGCGACACCGATCAACGTGAGGGATGTCATATTAACTAATTGCCACGCCGTGATGATGAGGTTGATGTTTGGCCAGAGGCACTTTGATGAACCGGCGAAGGACGGGGGTCTCGGGCCAAAGGAGAAAGAGCATATGGACGCAATATACCAAGCTCTTGATTGTTTTTTCAGCTTTGAGATATCGAATTACGTCCCTTTTCTTAGAGGATGGAATATCGGTGGAGCGGAGGCCGAGATAAGAGAAGCGGCTGCTATTATCAACAGGTGCAACGACTCGGTTATTCGCGAGAGGATGCATTTGTGGAGGAATAAAGGTGGTAAAGAGACGGAAGAAGATTGGCTCGATATTCTTATCACGCTTAAGGATTGCCATGGAATGCCTTTGTTCACATTTGGTGAGATCAGGGGTCTATGCAAGGTTAGTGATGTAGTGATGTTCACAGTTAATTTTGTGCTTAAACAACTCAATATATATACATATACATTTAATTTGAATCTATTCACATATAGGATATCAATGTTGCAACAATCGATAATACGATGAATAACGTGGAGTGGACGATAGCGGAGTTGTTGAATCATCCTGAGATTCTTCAGAAAGCCATAAATGAATTAGACATGGTAGTTGGTAAAGACAAACTTGTCCAAGAATCAGACATACCACAGCTGAATTACATCAAAGCTTGTAGCAGAGAATCTTTCCGGCTTCACCCAGCTAATGTGTTCATGCCTCCTCATGGAGCTAGAGAAGATACCACTCTTGCTGGTTATTTCGTCCCCAAAGGTAAAAATAAAATAAAATAATTCTCACGTAAGACGTAATGCATGCTTGAAGACCCTTTAACAAACAAAAAAAAAACGTAATGCATGATCAATCAACTAGTATATGATTTTTAAGAAAATAATTTTTAAATACACAGCCTAAGATCTTTCTGATATGTTTACTTACCATCTTAATTTACATAATATTTATTTGGTTAAAAGGAATGCATTGTTTCTCACAAAAAAAAAAAAAAAAAAAAAGGCATGTGCATGCCCCAACTGTACGTAACTATGCATATATATATAGGATATTTAACTATAAACAGAATCTAGTCAAACATTATCAGACATGTATTATTCTAACAGGATACGGTTCTTAGTTACAAAAAAAAGTATAGTTGGTTTGAAAAAGGATAGAGTAAAACTATATATATGACGTGTGGTTTTTGTTTGATTGCTATGATAGGCAGCCAAATTATTGTGAGCCGTTATGGACTTGGTCGGAACCCTAAGATATGGGAGGAGCCTGAGGTATTCAAGCCAGAACGACACCTTGATGCTAGGGACTCAACGGTAGTGAATCTATTGGAACCCGACATGCGATTCGTGACATTTAGCGCCGGTCGACGTACCTGCGCAGGGACTAAGATAGGGACATCTATGACAATCATGTTAATAGCCAGGCTTCTCCAGGGGTTCGAATGGACTCTCCCACCGGGTAAAAGCCAAATAGAGCTTGTCCCAGCGCAGACCAACTTGTTTATGGCCAAGCCTCTAGTCGCATCTGTGAAACCCAGGTTGGCTCCAAGTTTATATCCGAAAATCCAGGTCTGAAGGTCTTGGCGTATGAGAAGTCAAATAAGGTTTTTCTGAGACAACTCTGAAGTTATTTACCAAGCTATTATTAAGTACCTTTTATTAGTTCACGCGTTTGTGTGTTTTTTCCTTCTCATTTCTTGAGTTCAATAAGAGATTGATGGTCATAAAATTTGTTTTAAGTTTCCGTCTGGTCTGTTTTCAGTTTGATGCATGTTGTCTTATCCCCGGTGGATATGAGTTTGTAATATACATGTATTGTGTGGAATAATTTTAAGACTGTTTGTAATAATTTGGTTCTTGTTTCTATGATATTAGAATCCCTTCTTCCCCAATAAACTTTTAGTTTTCATTAAACATATCTTATATTATAAAATTGGATGTGCGCGCAACGTAAATGCAATCCATATGATTTTATAATTCATGATTGTGACATGTCGGCATGTGTAGTTAATAAAAATGGCAAATGGGAATGTTTCAGTAAATAAGGAAATTGTCATCGACAATAACTGTCAAAAAAATTCAAGATTTCAAATTATTACGGATGATCAATTCAAAAACAACTGTCATCGGCAAAAAAAGAGAAATTTGTCAAAAATATAATTTTATATATATCCATACAGGTTATAATAATAAAAAATTCCAAGTTTGCAAATTTTCATCAAAATTTTGAATTATCATCAACATAGAAAAATAAATTATCAAAATAAAATTACCCTATAACAATTAATTAAAAAGAGTCAAGTTAACAAGTAATTAATTTCCAGAACCTCCTAGTAATTCAAAAAAAAAAAAAACAAGTAATCAATTTAGAATTATCAAAATGTCATCAGTATACAAAAACAAATCGTCAAAAACAATTGTCATATGTTCAATTTTGAGTAAGCTTTTTTCACTACTCCTAGTCCTACCTCACCATCCACATCAGCATTTTTTTTCCTTCGACCCCTTTGTTAATTAAACTTGATGCCTTCATAATGTGTTCTCAAAAATCTTAATCCTCAAACAAATCTCACGTCACTGTAATTAAATAAAATATAATAGAATACTATCACAAAATTCTTTAACAAAAAAAAAAGAATACTATCACAACACTAAAATAAAAAAATTATGAATAACTAAAAATAGAAAAATAAAATAAAATAGATGTGGTAAATTTAGTGAAGAAAAGAAAGAAAAACCAGTATTTGGATCTTCATTTGGATCTTCGAACACTAACTTTTATATTTTTAGTGGTGTTTGTTATTTAAACTTGAGAATGTGGAGAGGTAACTTGAATGCAAAAAATGAAAGAGAAGTTTTATAAATGTCACATGTCATACTAACAGCAAGTAAAATTGTTGACATGTAAACTAAGGGTGAAAGATATCCACTTATCACTCTTTAAAGAAAATAGAACTAGATGCATAACATTCACAACACAAACAAAGACAACGGTATATATCTTACACTGCAGTAGGGACTTAAAACAAAACAAACATTAAAATGAATATCACATATTAGGAAAACTATTAAAAATTCTTATTTACCCTTATAATTACATTAAAAATGTATTTTCTTTCTAACTAATACACAATTCTAACAAAGTTAAAACTGGATTTTAGTTAAAAGAAGTGTATTAAAAAGTACAAAATGACACTCTTTCTAAAAATAAAACCTGAAAATGACACTTTTAGTGATACGGAAGTAGTATAATTTTTATGAAATAGAGTTTTTAATTATTGACTCCGATAAAAAAAAAAAAAAAAAAAAAAAAAAAAAAAAAAACAATTTACAAATTTGTTGAATGGAGCCTGGATTATGGAGGACATGCATGCATGATGAGCCTGCATTATGGGGATGGCCACTCAAACGCAAGTCCTTACAAAAGTATTAGATCTCCTATATGTAATGTCTTCGCGTATCGATCATTTTTAATTATTATTGTTGTCGTATAGTCGTCAACACTCAACAACTATATTGGTGGTTTTTGTCTTTTTAGCTAAACACGTGAGTTTCATTTGAAATGAAAATGTTTGTAAAAAATTTACCAAATGAGCTTAACAACTATATTGGTAGTTTTCTTCCCGATTAATTTCCGGTCTATCAATTTATTTTTTATTTTTTTTCGCAAGGTTGGAAAATAAAAAGCATATAAACAAGGGCTTGACAATTCCAACCTCGCTCATCAACCATACCACTAAAAATTAATGGCTAACATTTGGCTTCTCTCACTTCTCTTCCTCATATGTATTCTTATCGCTGCCTTCAAACACAAGAACCGACGGGGGCGTCAAGGGAACCCACCGTCTCCTCCTGGCTATCCGATCATCGGAAATTTGCATCAGCTCGGCGACCTACCACATCAGGCACTTTGTAGACTCTCCAAAAAGTATGGTCCAGTGATGCTTTTGAAGCTTGGTTCAGTCCCAACGGTCGTCGTTTCTTCCTCTGAAACAGCAAAACAAGTTCTGAAAATACATGACCTCCATTGTTGTAGCCGTCCTCCATTGGCAGGTAGCTTAACTCACACGTAACCGAGCTTAAGTTTTTTATTTTTATTCATCGAATTTAACAAATACATGATTCCTCAGGACCAAAAGAGCTTTCTTACAATTATCTGGACATCATTTTCTCTCCTTATGGTGATTACTGGAAAGAATTAAGGAGGTTGTGTTTGCAAGAACTCTTCAGTGCTAAACGAGTCCACTCGATTCAACCCATCAAAGACGAGGAAGTCAAGAAACTGATTGATTTAGTCGCGGAATCAGCTTCTCAGAAAAATCCAGTTAACTTGAGCGAGAAGTTTCTTACTTTGACGGTAAGCGTGATATGCAAGGCGGCTTTTGGTTTCAGTTTCCATGGAACCGTTCTCAACAATGCCGGATTCGACAAGTTAATCCGCGAGGCATTTGTGTTTCTAGGGAGCTTCTCTGCCTCAGATTTCTTCCCAAATGGCGGCTGGATCATCGACCGGCTCACAGGTTTACAAGCGCGGAGAGAGAGAAGCGTGAGAGATCTTGATGCATTCTATGAGCAAATGATTGATCTGCATAAACAAGGAAACAAAGAAGGAGTTGAAGATTTTGTGGACTTGCTCTTGAAGTTGGAGAAAGAAGAATCTGTTCTTGGATATGGCAAGCTCACCAGAAACCATATCAAAGCAATCTTGATGGTAACTATACAAACAATTGAAAATAATACTAAAACACAACTTGAGATTCTCTAACGTATTCTTATAATAATCTTAACGCAGAACGTTCTTCTTGGAGGCATCAATACTTCTGCAATATCAATGACATGGGCAATGGCAGAACTGATGAGAAACCCTAGAGCGATGAAGAAAGTACAATCCGAAATCAGAAACAAAATCGGGAACAAACCAATGATCAGCTTGGAAGACATGGAGCAGCTACATTACCTGAAAATGGTGATCAAAGAAACATGGAGAATACATCCTCCAGCTCCTCTTTTAATCCCAAGAGAAGTTAGGTCGGAATTTGAGGTCAACGGCTACACAATCAAACCCAAGACAGTGGTTTATGTGAATACCTGGGCCATCGGGCGTGATCCCGATACCTGGAAAGACCCCGAAGTGTTTCTCCCGGAGAGGTTTATGGATAATGACATTGATGCAAAAGGACAGAACTTTGAGCTGTTAACCTTTGGAAGTGGCAGGAGAGTGTGTCCTGGAATGTACATGGGGACAACAATGGTGGAGTTTGGTCTTGCGAATATGTTGTATCACTTTGACTGGAAGTTACCAGAAGGCATGAAGGTCGAAGATATCGACATGCAAGAAGCTGCTGGACTCGCTGTGGGCAAAAAGATCGATCTTCTACTTGTTCCTGTGAAATATTGATATTAGATATCATTGATCACTTAACCCTAAGTTCTTCACGAGATTACAAAAGAAAAATGCAGCCTCGATTGTACCGAAATAAACATGTATCTCGTGTTCCTTTGTTTCTCATCGTATTAATAAAAAAACTCAAGTTTCTGAATTTATAAACCACTAGATTAGGCCCCGCGTATACGCGGGTTTATTTATTTTTATTTTTTTAAATCACGGAAGAATATTAAACAAAATTTGATCAATTTTAAAAATAAGAAAATAATATTAAAAACCCGATAACAAATCTCTAAATAAAGATATGTAGTCTTTTACATTTTTATTTTGAATTCATGATATGAAATAGAAAGATTTACATGTGTCTAAATCTAATCGACTCATTATTTTATGAAACTTTGATTATTCCATGATGAAATCTTTATTTTTAATATTTTTTTACCTAACAAAACATGGAAAATTAAACTATTTAATATTAGAAGATCAGTCCATTATAAAATTTTCTTTTTTAATATTATTTAGTTCCTTAATAATTATTTTGTTAGTTTTCTATTTATATTGTTTCTTTTTCAATTTCGTTTTTGCCTCTGACCATTATAAATTTTCATTTTCATTATTAGTTAGTTGTTTTAATATTATTTTGTTAGTTTATTTATTTATGTTACTACATTTTTCCAATTTTCTTGTGTTGACACATGTCATCACTTCATCAAATATTAGACACATGTATCGATCTAAAGTTAAGTATTCTTCATTGATATCTTTAACTTTTAAAGACATGAATTTTATTTCTTAATGAGAAAGAAACTTAAAAAATATAGCTTGTTATATATTTTTTTTTTTCATTTTCGTAATGGGAATATGTTTTTTATTCCTTTTCTTATTGGATGTAACATTTTTTAATTATTTCTTCATGTTTTTCTGATTTTCGTTTTTTTTCCTTTTCGTAATAGAATTATGTTTTTTCTTTACTTCTCATAATGGATGTAATATTTTTTCTTTTTAATTGTTTGTTTCCTGTTTTCTGATTTTTCCTAATGTACTAATAGGATTTTATTCAAATAATTTTAATTTCGATCCAATTGACCTAGAGTCAAATAATCTCCACTGTTCTCTTGAACTTTCAAAGACATGATTTTGAAATTAGAGAAAGAGAATCAAAGAGATTTTCTGAATTTGCTTTGATGAGTTTGTGAATGAGAAAAAGAGACTACAGTAGCTCTCTTTTTATAGGGGGTTCATGTAACCAATTTATACAGTTTTAGGATATTTAGTTTACATACCTATTACATGTACTAATAGGATTTTTTTAAATAGGAGTTTATATAACTATTCCATACAATTTTAGGATATTTAGTTTACATACCTATTCCATATACTAATAGGAATTTTTTATTACATTATTTTTATTTTATTATATAAAATTTCGTTTTTATTATAAGATATTAAAATTTTCCTTTAAAATAAAAATTTTTTTTCCGAAGACATGTGTCACGATCTTAACGGATATAACATTAAAAGTGACACATGTCACGATCCTATATTTTATAAAAATCCTACGTGTCGCAACCACGTCGCGCGCATCCAGCTTTATATAATAAGATATTCAGTGTGGAATATATTAGGGACAGTTAATTCTTTTTTTTTTCTGCCATTGTGGAGTTTTTCATAGCGTCAAAGAGAAACTACCTTACTAACGAAACTATAATTTCATATATATATTTTTTTGACATCAACTATCTATATTTATCTATCTATCTATTCTAATATTATAGGGTTACACTTTTTCTCACTCTCTCAGAGGCTGTCATGTGTTACTCTAAATTTTTGACAAATATCTCTTTTTCAATTCAAAACTTTTCAAATTAAGTTGTTTTTATCAAGCAAATATATATATTTATATATATATATATATATATATATATATATATATATATATATATATATATATATATATATATTTTTTTTGTCGACACCTTATGTTCCTAGAAAGGCTCAAAGACCCAAATCAGCAGAACAAGATTTATATAATACACATCATGAAGGAGATCTCGTGCACTGCGTGCTAGCTTGTCTGCTTTCGTGTTCTTCGTCCTAAGAATGTGATGGATGTCGCAGGATAGAAACCTTTGTCTGCATATGTCTGCTTCTTCAAGGAGAACCGAAAAGGCTGGCCACTCTGCTGGTTAGACACCATCTTAACCACATCCGAGAAATCTGTCTCGAAAACTATTACGTATTTGTTGTACTGAAGCATGCATTGCATAGCCTAAACCAGCGCCTCCACCTCCATTTGGAGTGGTGTAAACCCCCATCGCAAATTGCTTGATCCCATAAATTGTTCTCCCGTGTCCCGGTTATGGAAAAACTATCCGAGTCCCGTACGGCGTTCGGTTTCTTTCCATGCCCCATCTACATGGCAATATTCACCATATATAAGCAGGGGCGGATCTAGCTACAAAGCAGGGGGCAACTGCCCCTGATGAAATTTGGTTTTTTGTGTTTTTGAGTGTTATTTGGCTTGGAAAATTGGTTTGCCCCCCTTATAATATACTCCAATTTACATACTATGCCCTCATGGAAAAGAATTATGGATCCGCCCCTGTATATAAGTGGTTCGTCCATAAGTTCTTTGGGACCCTTTGTATGTACACATGTTTTTTTGTGATGTTGACCATGCCAAAGCTTATGCTTCCGCAAGAGCTATAATGTCTCGAGGATCTCAGTGCAGATTTGAGAAAATTTTGTCATTTCGTGCTTTCCAAATATACCAAATGAGCCATGGGTAAACCGACAATTGGTCATCCTTCGACAGGTGCCAAAATAAGTGTGTCATGTTAGTGAAGATAGCATCTGTGGGGAATAGAGATGGCGGAGTGGGAAATTTGGACCATGCCCAAGTTTGGGTAGTTGAAGGGCATTCAAACAATGAATGGTTTATGATTTCCTCATGTGTTCCACACCGGGTACATATTGGGTCAATGTGAATACCACGACTCCGCAGTCGTGCCCCTACTGAAATGCATCCAGTTAGAACATGCCATAGAAAGTGTTGTATATTTGGTGGGCATCTGACTGTCCAGGTGAATGCGTGTAGTTTCCTGGTATCAGGTCCGAACGCCATAGGTGCCTCGATATCCGGGTATTCTTGTGCAACCATGTATCCTGACTTGACTGTATAATGTCCCGTTTTTTGTGAAGGCTCACCCAAAAGAGTCTGACCGTGCAATATTAGATGTTGGAATACCATTAATGATAGCGACCTTTATGCTGTCAAACAACTGTTCCAATGGTGGAAGATTCCACGTTGATAAATGAGGATCAATTAGATCACTCACTCGGAGATGAGGATAGTAATTGAAACCTCTGGAGAGAGCTGATCTTGGGCGAGAAGCTAGTATCCATGGGTCATTCCATACTGAAATGGAAGAGCCCGAACCAACCCTTTTAATAAGCCCTTTGGGAATCACAGGTCGAGCTGAGATGATACTTTGCCATTCATATGATGGTGAGTATGACCAAATATTTTCCAATGGTGTTGTATTCCGAAAATATCTCCCTTTAAACACTCGCGAATAAGGATTTTGGATTATCCAGAAGCCGCCATAGTTGCTTTGCTAATAGCGCCGTATTAAAGTCTTCAATGACTCGAAATCCCAGACCCCCGTCTGACTTATGGCGACATAACTTTTTCTACGCCAGCCAATGCATACCACGAGTATGTCCATTAGTGCTCCACCTTAAAATTGAAACAACACTAGTGAGTTTGCTTTTTGTCACTCTAGGTAGTCTCAAACATGACATCACATGCGTTGGCATCACAGAGACAACTGATTTGATGAGGACCTCCTTGCCCCCTCTAGATAAAAGTTTTGAGGTCCACCCATTAATCCTCTTATGCTGTCGCTCAGTCAGAAATTTAAATATTTTTGTCTTCGCTCATCCAAGACTTTCTGGGATGCCAAGATAGTTCCTTATGCCCCTGATCTTTTCTATTCCTCAAATCCGATGGATATCGAATCTCACCCATGTATCCACTGTATGTCCAAACTTTGTCGAAGATTTATCAAAATTAATCTTCTGTCACGATGTTATTTCATATTGTCTGAATGAGCCTCTTCCGCTGTCGCTTTGCAGAAAAATAAACTATCATCTGCAGGGAGATCGCTGGACTAGCTCAAGCTACCTTCAATCCAGTAATCTTCTTAATCTCTTCAGCTTTCATTAGATTGGTTATCAATATTTTCGTACACAAAATAAACAGATAGGGAGACAACGGGTCCCCTTGTCGAAGTCCCCTGTGTGGTACGATCCGACCACGTGGTTGTCCATTAATTAGTATTTTATATTTAACCGATTTAATGCACCACATCATCCATGTTATCCACTGTTCTATGAACCCTATTTTCCGCATTAGCGCTTCTATGAAGGTCCATTTCACTCGGTCATAGGCTTTACTCATGTCAGTTTTTACCGCCATATATTTCCCTTTACAAGATTTATTCGTTCGCAGATCGTGGAACATCTCTTGAGTGATGAGGATATTATCCGAAATCAACCTACCATCCTCAAAGGCAGATTGTGTCTCTGAAATTAACTTGGACAGTAGGGTCTTGAGTTTTTGACAGAGAACTTTGGAAATAATCTTATAAGCCATATTACAGAGACTAATTGGCCTCAATTCCGTCATGCGGTTTGGGCGATCCGTCTTTTGGATAAGACAAATGTTTGTCATGTTCAACTTTTCATCAAAGGTCACTGAACTGAGAAAATCATTGACCGTTTTTAACACCTCTCCTTTAATTACATGCCAAGAACGTTGAAAAAACAGTGCCGTCATTCAATCTGGGCCCGGTGCTTTTTGTGGATGCATCATAAACAATGCATCCCGCACCTCCTATTCTGTTGCATGGCAATGTTACCCGTTCTGAAATATTTTCTAGTACCTCATCAAAACTGACCGCCGGTGATGAGGTAAAAAGGTCGTCAAAATACTCTACCGCCACCTTCTCAACTTCCTTTTCCCCATCAACCCAGACATTTTCTTTGTTATGAAGACCTACTATCCTGCTCTCCGCTGTTTAGTGGTGGCATGATAGAACTTGGTGTTTAGGTCACCGTTTCTTAACCAAAGATTCATGCTTTTTTGTTTCCAATAATCCTCCTCATCGCGATACGCCTCCTTTAATTGTGTGGTTATTTCTGCAAACTCGTCTTGTGTACGCGAATCATCATTCTGAATATCCTCAAGCCTCTCACTACAAGAAAAGGACGTGATTTCCGACGGCAATTCCGACGATTTAATTTCCGTCGGAACTTTTCGATGGATTAGCGACGATTTTCTTTTATTTTTTAATAACATGGTAGATTTTTATTTTTCGGAATATGTAATTTTTTTTTAACCAAAAAATAATATTCCGTTGGAAATCCATCGGAAACTGGATCGAATTTCCGACGTATATCTGACGGAAAATTTCCGACGAAAGACATCCGTCGGTAATCTATCGGTGACGGTCATCGGTAATCCGTCGGAAATGACTGACAGAATTCCAACCATTTTGGTTCCGTCGGAAATTTCCGACGAATTTCCGATCAGATAAATATTTCCGACGAGCTGTAACCGACGGTCATCTTCCGTTGAAAATCCGTCGGAAATGCCCATTTCCGACGAATTTTCGATAAAATTGACCGTCAGAATTGGGCTTCTCTCTTGTAGTGTCTGTGATATACCTCTATTTTACATGCTTTTTATATGGTTTTACTATGCTTTTCATAAGGTTTTTAATGGCTTTCTGATCTAAAAAGGTAGTTTTTATGGATTTATAGTACTTAGAGTCTAAACAGGTCAAAAGATGCATTTTGGAGCAAAACACATGATTTGGACTTCAAGACACTCCAGGACGTAGCATCAACTTAAGAAGGGCCTTAAAAACATTCTACTCAATGGAATTCATCAAATCCAGTTCGAGGCGATGCATACATGAGTTAGCTTTGCAACGCAACTGGAATCACTCAATTTGACCGAGTAGATTGGGAGATATCTCTATTTCCCTGAGACATATACGAAGGAGCTTTATCGGACTGCATCAGTACATCAAACGGGCAGCAGCGGCTTGGACCCTTAAACTCAATGGATTTCAATGAAACTCACACCAAGATAGGCAGATGAGTTAGTGTTCCAATGCCGTTGGAATTATGCAATTTGGATGAGTCGTTTAGGAGATATCACGTTTGTACTGAAGACTGGTCCACAGCCGGCCGAACGCACTCGGCCGGACAGGAAGGGAATTGGCTTCGCTCGGCCTTCTCCAGGACCGATCCGGCCGCACGACCGCACCGTCCGAGCCGGGAGGCAATGGACCACGATCGACCGAGAACATCACATCACGGCCGACCCCGACGGCCGACCACATCCCTTACACGGTCGACCCGAGCTCCGCGAACAAGAAGCCCACTTATGCAGTTTCGACTATTCTCGGCCCGTTTCACCTCAACCGACTTGTGGAAGACCTAGGGCACTATAAATACTCTTTTTTAGCCTCTTTAGAAGAGAGAGCCGCACAGGAGAAGAGCCACAAGAGAGAGACGCACTAGGGAGCTCCCCTTAGAGGGATCTCCATTGTTTTACTTCTTTCTCATTGTTTTCTTAGGGAGAAGATCCCTTCTTTGTATCTCGACATAGAGAAGCTTTCTAAACCCTTTTCTCCTTATAATAATATGATTTCTTCTCATGATTTATGCTTGTTTACTTGCACCATGATTGAGTAGATTTCTAGTTAGGTTTGGGTTTCAAAGAGTTCATGAATCATTAGGTTGATAAATTCGAATTAGGGTTTATATATTAGATCTTCATCTTCACTTAATTCATTGCTGCTTCTTTTCTGATCAACTAGCATTCGATCTTAGGTTTCATATACCTCCAAAAGCTTGCTATATAACCGGAACTAGTTTTGATGAGCAAAACTTCATAGACTGCGAAAGTTGATCTATGCGGGGTTGTGAACAATTGTCTTGAACGAACTAATGCTTGATTTAATCACCTAGGGACATACCAAAAGTTTAGCGACTAGGTAGATTAACAAAGGGGGGAGCCTCGAAGTGGAATGATCATACCTTCGTGTGAGTTCTAGATGGCACATTCAAACCCCCTAATGATTTGATTGCATAACTTGATATTCTTGAATCTCTGCGAGCTTGCCCATTGCCTAGCGTCTTTCCCACATTGAACTTACACCGTTTTACTTGCTTTCATTTAGTTTAGTTAGTTTTGCATACCAAACCACAATCTATCCTCTTGTCCTAGCTAAGTTAGACTTGCATAGCTTGTAGTGCACTTATCTGCTCCTTGTGTTCGATAACCCGTTACTACACCTGACCTGTGCACTTGCAGAATCAGGGATAGGAATAGGTAAAACCTGATCCTGCATCACTCTGTTGTAGTTCTGCAATTTTGTCGTTTCCGTAAGGTTTGTGAGTATTCCGCCAAATCGAGATATCATGTTGACATTGGTTAATTCTTTCGGCTAAAGATAGGCCTTCTCGTCCCTCACCCCCCATCCATCCTCGTTCCACAGAGTCCATCAGCCCATCTAACCCAATCCAATGTTTGTCAAACCTAAATTGTTTGCGTCTTTTTGTGAGTTTTGTATCTATTGTAGCCACAATGGGTCTATGATCTGAGCCAATCATAGCCAAATATTCCACATGAGAAAAATGAAACATGTTGTGCCACTCCTCGGTGGCTAGAGCCCGGTCCAGACGACATCTCACTAATTTCCCGTTCCTTCTCCCTCTCCATGAGAGCTTGTTTCCTCGTGTGGGAAAGTCCACCAATCCACAATCATCTATCATTAAATTAAACGGTACGAAGGAGGATGCATACCGTAGTGCTCCTCCTTGTTTTTCATGATTCCCGGTGATACGTTTGGTCTGGTTTGGTCTTGTTGTTCAAATTCTTGTGATGCGTTCCCAAACATTGCTCCGCAGTTTTGGTACAACATTCCCATAGATAAAGGACAAAAAGATTATCCGTCCTTCATACGTTGTTATCACATCAATGATTCGCTTACTAGAATATTGGATATCTACATCATCTATATTGTTATAAAAACAGGGCTAACTGTAACATCCGCGGACCAGAAATCTAGAAAATGGCCGAAGGAACTGGTCCGGGAAGATAGTTTTGGCCGAGGAAAATGGAAGAATCCGAATGTACTGAGAAATTTGAGCTGGAACGACTAAGTGTCGAAGGAACTGAGCTGGATCAGTCAGCTGGCCGAGGTAGTGAGCTGAGTGGCCGAGCTAGCTGAACTTGTCCGAACGGATTGGTGAAAATTCGGACAAGTCTTGTCTTGTTCGGACAAGACGGTTATTCCTGTCGGGACGGAAATGAATTTGGCCGAGAGATATTATTCCATCCGGGAATAATACGGCTAAGTGTCTGAGCGCGGGAACGGTTATCGGGTTTGGCCGGGATGCGCAGAAGGGAAATGCGCGGGAACGGTTATTTCCCTTGTTCGCGAGCGCGGATAATGAAATAGGCGGGAACGGTTATGGCCGAGAGCCAAAACGAGCGCGTTTCATTAATCCGACGGTTATGGACGGGATCACGGGTTAAAAGACTCGGGGAGAAGGGATTTCTCATTCATTCTCTCAGAAATATTTCTAAGTGTCCAGAGAGAAACGGTTATCGAGAGAGAAAGCGGTTTCCGAGAGTTTTCGTCTGTTCCGATCGATATCGACCGTATCGATCGTCTGTTCCGACCGAGAGCGCCTGTTTCCGATCGGTGGTCTGACCGAGAGCCGACCGTACCGAAGATCCGAGAGCCGAACGTTCGACGATCCGTCCGAGAGCGTCCGAGCGACCGTTCTGTAACCGTACGAACCTCCGTACGCGACCGTTCTGTTTACCGAAGGGAATCCGATTCCCGACTGACTGACTAAGGTGAGTGCGTGACCGTGTAGTCATAGTGTATGGTCGTTCTCACGGCATAGATAGATTCAATGGTTGATGATTGCTTGTTAATGTGTCTGATTGCTTGTCGTACTGATTCTGATGGCTTGGTCGGAATGGTCGGTCTATTGGCGAGGGTTACTCGGCCGGGTTAGATAGCCGACCGTTCGCGATAAGCGACTGTGGTTAACGGCATGACTGATTATTGAACTGTGTGTTCTGATTGCGATTCTCTGTACTGTGGCTTAGTGGGCGGGATGACCGCATTCACTAAGCAAACTTGTTTGCTTATGCCTCATTTTAATGTGGCAGGAACTGATCCGACCATAGGTGATGGCCGGACTGACTGATCTGGACGCGAGACAAGGCCGGGAAGGAAGGGATGGATAGGTCTGGGTAGACGGACTAGTTTAATGATGTAATAGCCTATAGCGAACTCACATTGTTGCTAGAACCGAATTTGTATTTCAAGTTTCTGCATTGTTCGTTTAAACAAGATGATTTAATCTAAGTACTTCAAGTTTCTGTATATTCGTTTGTGCATAAATGACTAAGTGTGGGAACCTCATGCAACTGGAAATGCTAAGTAAAACCGGACCTAAAATTTGACTAAGTTAAATTTATCAGGAAAACCGGACTAGGGTGCTTCACTAACCCTCCGCTTGCACCACGAGGTTCAACGGTGAAAACTTTATCATAACCGAAATAAAGTTGAAATTGTTGCATGAAGTCAAAACATTGTTTGGTTTCGGAGAGAAATAAAAATTCTGGTCGATATTTTCCCCAAACATCTCTGAGATAGCTTATAGTAAATTGATTCCCTAAAACTTGACAGTTCCAGCTTAGTATCCTCATAATAAATAATGTCGTTGAAGACGAGCTCAGATAATGGATTCCTCACATCTAGATTTTGTGTAAAAGCCGTCTTAGTGCTCTATAAAAATCTTTTAGCTTCTCCGTTAGAGTCAAAACGGAGTACAGCCTCCTTTTGTGGCTTCAGTATTAGGACTCAAACTAAACTATAATTTGAGTAAATGATGGTACAATCACAATGCCACATGGGCCCCCCATAAATTCCTTGTTCCGCATGGGTCATAATAAGTGAACATATGTTGTGAGTAATTGTGAAAATCAACTCTTACTGTCTGCTGAGCCCTTTGGGTTGGACGATGGGTCCACACACTAATCATTCCAAAATTTTGTTCGGTGAAAATCCTTGTGGGTTTTGTTACCTGCCGAGTATATATCCCTAACGAAGCCTGACTTGTTATGTACGCAATAACCTTGATAACCTTAACAACCTCTTGTAAATTGTATTGTATCATCGCTAAAGGGTAATCAGAAAAACCGTGAATGTTATTATAAGAAAAAGAGGGACCATCACATGTGCCACAAGGGCCCTCAGGAGATAACATAATACAACATATTGAAAAACCAAATTCAAAAACAAATGAAAATAAGACTGCTTGCTATCGGTAAAGACCGAGATCCAAGAACCCACTTCCCTCTTTCTTCCCGGAGTGAAGCTTATTGTACGCCTTATAATAAGACGTTGGCAAATCCAGAGTAACTCTAACATTAAACCGCAGGAATACCTGTTCCTGACTCCTCTGGTGGGTCTTTATCCTCCCCTTTTGCCTCTGGTTTCTTTCCAGGACGTTGAATCTTTCGGGGATCTTACTTGTTTGAACTAGTCGTCGCAAAGGACCATTTCCTGCACTGGCGGTCGATCTTCCCACCTTTTTCTTTGCACCTTGCTTCTTAACTGGTGGGGCCTTACTCTGTTTCCAGAGGTAATCAGAATGCCCACAGCCTGCGTCTGCGTCTCATCTTGCATTTCTATGTCGCCATTCTCCTCATCTGGCATATCCATTCCCTCTTCCGCAAGGAGATCCTCAATCTCCTCCTCTGATGCTAGGTCCTCCCCAAGCAGGTCCTCATCCAATTCATAAGAAACTCTTGTGTCTTCTTCTAGTGCTACACCACCGCCCTCAAGAGACTCCTCACCTTGTAGGACCTCATCTCCATAGCCTCCATGGTCTGTCCTCCAGTGAGCTCTGCCACTGTGTTCACAGACAGAGATTCTGCCACCGCTATCCTCAAATCAGTGTCATCCTCATCAAACTTCAGCTCCTTGCGTACCTTTTTCCCCGATTGTTGAGACTGAGACTTCTCACTTGTTCTTGCCTTCTTGGCAGAGAAGTGATTATGGCTCACTACATCGGTTTCCCTTTCATCTCTCCTCCTTTCTCACCATATCCCAATCTCGCGGGTTCTGAGTTCCCTGATGTCCCCTTCCCCACCACGTGAGATTCTGCGTGTGATTTCGCCCTGTCGTTTCCCTTGTTCTACTGGTGGAGCGCGGGTTGAGGTCCCTTCTCCGTCTGCCTTCAGTTTTCCATGCAGGTTAGTAGCCTTGGACCCTCTATCCTCTCTTGAATCCACCATCACACCTTTACCCTTGCCCTTGTAATCTACTGCCTTGCCGTTGTGTCTCCTCCCATCATCCCCTTCCTTAACTTCATTTATCACCACTCCTTTGTAACTGGACATCCCAAATTCTTGCTTCTGCTCCCTGCGCCTCATTTTCTCTTTCTCGAGTCTCTCTAGTCGTTCCTTTTCCTCACGTTGAGCCCTCAGTATCGAACAGTGGTCATAATCATGACACAGATTATGACACTCCTTACAGAAGCCGTAAAGGCGCTCGTACCTCAACAATATTGTTGACTCCTCGTCACCATCATCAAAACCCACCGTTGTCTCAAACTCCAAAGGCTTGAAACCATTCATCATGACCTGGACCCTTCCGCCGTCGAGATCCACCTTCTTTGCTTCACCCATCACGTCTCCGATTCGCATGAAAGTGGTAGTAGCCCAAAACTAAAATGGTACGCCCAAGACTCTGACCCAAAAGGTGATGTCTGATGGGTAATTAGGATCCATCACCGGCTCCCAGCGGACCACCGAGAGCCTCCAATAGTCGAAATGGAATGGTCCCATCAACACCTCCAAGATGTCCTTCTCTTCATCGAAATCGATTTGAAACCTTCCGAGTCCCAAATCGACTCTAGCCACCTTTCCCTCAACATGCCATACCCGAGGCAGCATGTAAAGCAAATTCTTAATCTCTTGTTTATGTGGGTTCATGCACCGCCCAATCAAGGTTTTGGAATATCCCTTGATGAGCTCAGTGTTGTCAAACCGTGGCACCACCGTGATCTTCAGCCGTGGCTTGAGTGGCTCGAGCCACCACCCTTCACCAAACTCATATGAGACATAGCTCTCCCTCACTCCAACCTAAGACAAATCAAAATATAAAGGTAGTGTGAGAGATGCAAATGAAGAAACGAATGAGTGTGATGTCTCTCAAAACAGTTCCTCATACTTATACCCGGAAAACCCACACATATCACTCTATAATCATCAATTCCACAATATATTTCGTATCTACCAAATCTGTACTCTTTAGGAATCCCAATCAAATTAGAACCTATTTATGTACTATTTATGCCAAACGCTACTGATACTGCTCATTACCTTCGGAAATGGGTTATGATATCCGATCAGCACAAACCAAATCCTTTCTGAGGATATATGGAGCAGTGAGAAATTCCTTTTTCACTCCCGAACTTGTGTTACCATGTTATGATGCCGATACTGATTGAATAATTGCGCTAGAATTTCGCTCCAAAGATGCAATCTCAATGATCCGTATAGATAGGGAAAATTGGAATTAAAGGATGTTTTAACTATATGTTTGGTGATCTATACCTTTTTTTTGTACTTTGGGGGATTAGTCTTTACATGAGCTTAAAATACAAATATACCCCAACTAATTAAAAACTATAAATTTTTATTTAAATATACATTTAATAAACAAAATATATAAAATTTAGGGTTTATTGTATGTGAAAAAGTTTTTACGTTCTTCTTTTTTGTTGATCTTTTTGTTGAGGTGTTAATCAAATAAGCTCAGAGCACCCTTTGCCCTAACTCAAGGTATTTTATTCTACTATTTTGAAGATTTTGCATTCATATTCAAACTTGTTTCATGAAACTGTTATTTTTCCCTTAATGATCGGTTTGAGAATGTTCGTTTCGTCTGATTTTCGCCTAACTCTGGCTCGTACGAACCTGCAAACTGGGACCGGTCGAACACTTCTTCCAGCAGAGAGAATGGAGGTACAGAGATTTCTTCCGAGACACTTCTTCCAGTAGATTCGAGTGAGTTTCGTCTTCTCCCATCAGTAGAAGATCCTAGCGAACAAGACTACCGCAAGTGGATGATGGATGCAGCAAAAAAGAACAACAACATGTTGCACCGGATTTGGGGTGCTCTTAATCGGATCAAGGTGATGAGATCTATGCGTACAGACATCCCAGAAGAGGAAGAGGAAGAGGAAGAGGAAGAGGAAGATGATGAGATGACTGAAGGAGAGGATGATGAGTTAGCGGAGGAGGCTGCACCGAGCGGAGATAGACGCCTGCCTAGGAGGAGACACAGTCCAGGTCAAAGTGGGAGCGTCAGCCCTAAAGAGCCTTAGTGTTTGATTATTTAACAGTTATTGGTTTTAAGTTGTTGCTCTATTATACTGGTGTTATGTTGCTCTATTAGACTGGTGTTATGTTTGTTTTCACTATGCCAAACAGGTTCGGAAAGACACGAATAAGTAACAAACTGACCGTTATATTCTCAATCCCACCGTTGATTATGAACTCCAATGTGTCAAAGTCTCGTATACCAAATATCAGCTCGATCGGACTTCATTTAAGCTTCCAAAAGGTCACTTCAAAACACTGCATCGAAACTGCTTTTTTGGAAATCTCAGCCTTGGATGATTTTGTGCTAATTTGTATTGCAATTTGCGGATGCGTTATAACTCCAAATGATGAAAAGTTATCTTCTGTGAATTCTACGAGATGTTATCTTTCCATAGACATCTCAAACGTGGTCAAACTCATTTTTCTCCGGCTGGAATCGTCTTCCAAAGTAGGCTTCGCACACACTGTTTTCCTGAGAAAATTGCAGGTTTCTCAGCAATTTCTTGGCCAGGAAGCAACGCTTGTAAAATGCACCTCCGGTGGGACTAGGGTTCCGACTTGACTTCTATGAACTCTTGGGTTGATTGAAAATATGACTAAACCGTCTGTGCATCAAATGGACATCTCGTGTGCTGACAGTAAGCTTCCAAAGTCACCTCATCAACACTGCTTTACTTTGTTTGCTCTCTTCTTCTTCTTCACTTATTTACCTCTGTTTTTCTCTGGTCTCTGCTTCTACCTGATCATTTACCTCTTCTCTTTAACGCCATGATCTAGATCTCCCGTGTCATATAATGTTCAATGCTTTAGCTTTTACACGCAAACCGATCGGTTTAGGGGTCAGACCGATCGGTGTAAAGACCGCAGAGAAAAAGTTTTATTAGAACGATCGATTCTTCGAGTAAATCGATCGTTTTTGATACGAGAACGAAAATCATAACCGACCCTGAGACAAAATTGTACGAACCGATCGGTTTCGCAAACAAAGCGATCGGTCTACGTTTTTCAAACGAATAGAGAAAAAATAACAGAAAGTGAGTTCAAATAACAGAAAGTGAGTTCAAACCACCAAAAATAGCAGGGAATAGAAGAGAAGTGCCAATGCACTAGTCTTGATACAAAAGAATAGCAATGACTTCAAATCAACAAAAAGAAAACCAAGTACTAAGATAACCAAACTCGAACTATGCCACATAAACAACATGTAGTTATATGGGTATATCACATGTAGCTCTGTTATGACCTTCATGACCACAACGGCTGCACTTGTGCCTGCGCTTCTGTCTTTTAGATCCTTGAGATCCTTGTGATGATCTAATCTTGTCTTCAAGTGAATCAAATCTTCTCTTCTTTCTTCTGCTAGATCTCCGCTTTGTCTTGGGTGGAAACACTTTTGCATCTTCAACATCTTTTGGGATACGCCATTCATCTTCAGGAACATATATAGGAAACAGTTGCTTACCAGCTGTGAAAAGGGAAGAGAATTTGAGCAGAAAAAAAGAGATGTTCAGTTCAAAAGAAACGTGATGAGAAGGAGGGAATGAGAAAAGAAGGAGATGACGATGGAGGAAATGGGAAAAGAATGGAGATATTTTGACAGATTTTTTGGAGATTTCGTTTCCTAATATTGATTTTCTTTTATTTTTAGAATCTAGTGACATAGAAGGTGCATTCTAGAGTTTTTAGAACATGTGTAATCTCTAGAATTTGCATTCTTAAAATCAAAGAAGACGCATTCTAAAAGTTTTAGAATATGTACAGACTTTAGAACACGGATTCTGAAAATTTTAGAAGGGAGAATACGCATTCTAAAAAGTTTAGAATATGTACAAATTTTAGAACATGCATTCTAAAACTTTTAGAATATGTTCAAACTTTAGAATTCATATTCTAAAACTTTTAGAACGTAGAATGCGCATTCTAAAATATTTAGAATATGTACAAATTTTAGAATATGCATTCTAGAGTATTTAGAATATGTTGAAACATTAGAATTCATTTTCTAAAAAATTTAGAACGTAGAATGCGGATTCTAAAAAATTTAGAACGATAAGTAAATATTTTTTTTTTCAATTTTTGTTGTTACACTTAAAATTATAAAAATGTTACTATGGTGTTTTCAGTTTTTTATATATTTTTTCACATTTCACTGAATTTTTAAAAAATGATTTGATTATTATAATAATTTAGATAAGGCTAATTTAGTCAAAAAATGAACAAAATACTAAAAGGTGTAGATTACCAAACATAGATATGAAACGTCCTTTAAATCCAATTTTCCCGACTTGAAAATAGTGAGAGAGATTTGATGAGATCTCTTCGCTAGATACCAATCGATCCGTGTATAAACCAGAAGAAACACTAGATCTTGTCTGAAACCATGTTTAAAAACCAGATCTAGATTCCTCTCGCAGTCGCCATTCTTCTTTTGATTCTATTTGAATTCTTATCAAGCAAAATATTGACTTAATATAAATTAAACAATCAAACAATATTTAACTAATGCAAACACATGTAGATGCAATGAATATAATATATATATATATATATATTTTAAACAAAATATTACGTAAATATAATTTGATATTTTACTATGCAAATGATGTCTAGTAAAAATATACAATTAAATCCACATAAAATTAATTAAATCATACATAAAAACTCCTTCAACAAATTTAATAATGCAAAAATATATTTCTAATAAACTATACAGTTAAACCACATTCAGTTCCTGCAAATATATGTAAATCTTACATATAATATATATATATATTAATATATATATTATTCTAAGACAAAAATAATATAAAACATTTGATATTTTACTATTTAAATGATATATAAATTTTTTTATCAAATTAATTAAATCATACATAAAAACTCCTTTCATACAAATTTAATAATGAAAAAATATATTTCTATAAACTATACAGTTAAACCACATTCAGTTCCTGAAAATATATGTAAATCTTACATATAATATATATATATATATTAATATATATATTATTCTAAGACAAAAATAATATAAAACATTTGATATTTTACTATTTAAATGATATATAAATTTTTTTTATCAAATTAATTAATTCATGCATTTACAATTTGAGTTTCACACAAAATATTACCTCATTGATTTTAAAAAATTTCTCCCATAGTCTCAGAAAAATAATTAATTAAATTAAATGTTCGTAACTACCAATTTGTAACAGTTAATTAAATTCTAAGCAAAAAAAATAACAGAAAAAAATAGATAAAATTACAAAAAATTAATTATATCATTCAATATAAAACTTAATTTTCTCATATAATAGTAATGCAAATATTTATTTCATATAAACTACACAATTAAATTATATTCAATTCATACATACATATGTAAATCTTTCATGTAATATATATAATCATTTTTTCTTAAAACAAAAACAAGATACAAGTATTTGATATTTTACTATACAATTGATGTCTAACAACACAAATATGGAATTAAACCATACATAAAAAACTCGTTTCATACAAATTTAGTAATGCAAATATATATTTCTATAAACTATACAGTTAAACCATATTCAGTTCATGCAAATATATGTAAGTCTTACATATAATATATATGTATAATATTCGACAAAAATAATATAAAAATATTTGATATTTTACTATTTCAATAATATCTAGCAAAACAATTATCAAATTAATTAATTCATACATTTACAATTTGAGTTTCACAAAAAATAATAATAATTCTCATAAAACAATTAATTAAATTAAATGCTCATAACTACCAATTTGTAACAGTTAATTAAATTCTAAGCAAAAATAAATTAACATAAAAAAAGATAAAATTACGTAAAATTAATTAAATCAAACAATATAAAACTTTATTTTCTCATATAATAGTAATGCAAATATTTATTTCATATAAACTACACAATTAAATTATATTCAATTCATACATACATATGTAAATCTTTCATGTATATATATATATATATATGATTCACTTTTTCTTAAAGAAAAACAAGATACAAGTATTTGATATTTTACTATACAAATGATGACTGTCTAACAACACAAATATGCAATTAAACTTATATGCAACTGATTAAATCATACATATAAAACAAGAATTTCACACAAAGTAATAACATTAACTCCATTTATATTTAGAAGATGTTTAATCATACTAAATATTTGCATTGTCCACAGAAAAAAAGAAAAGAAGATAAATTTTGATAATTACCAATTTGTTAAAGTTAATTAAAATTCGAAAAACAAATTGTAACACTGAGTTAATTAATTTTAAAACCAGCCAAACAAATCAATAAATGTTTATGAAATGTTGTATATTTATATATAAAAAGTTGGTGTCATTGTATTCTCGTGTTGCTACCTTAGCAAAAGTGGGTGTTTCTAAATTCTTCAATTTGCCACATCAGCACTTTTTTATTGTTTCTTATATTTTCTCTTTTTAATATTTTAATTTCATAATAATTAGCATTCATTACTATAATAAGTTTAACAAGAATATGAAAAGACATTTAAAAAAAAAATTAAAGATTATGTATAGATCTACAAAAAGTATTATTTAGTAAATTTATTTTCGTTAGATTGTATAATTTACATTGATGTCAAAATATTATATAAAGAACACTGACTTTTTTAAGTATTTTAGGATGAAATAAGACGAGACCAAATAGGATGAGAAAAAAAAAAGATAATGAGAGAAGAAATGAATTTTCTCCACTTCTTATTATATTATATTAAAGGAATGGGATACTACATAATTTTGCCTACTTCAAATTATATTTAGAGACAGAATAGAAAAAAACAAAAAGAACATGATGAGAGAGAACAAGACGGAAAGAAACATAATGAAACGGGATAAGACTGAACGGGACGAGACAGATAAATTAGACATGACGAGATGAAAAAGACGGAATGAGACGGGATGAGATGAAAGGGACATAATGGGACGAGAAGGGACGGCCCTTGGGGAAATGCACCGGGTGCCGTAGCTAACTGAGTCGCTCTGTAAGCATGTGTACAAGCTCGTAATGAGGGGACATAAATTTCACCTACCCCTAATTATATTTAGGGATACAACAAAGACACGACAAAACGAAGAAAAAACATAACATAACAGGATAGGATGAGACTCGATAAGGCGGTAAGGACGGAATGGGAGGGGAAAGACTGGGTCAAGATGAGAAGGAATGAAATGGGACGAGATGGGACTATACGGGAATTTTGTCTATCCTTAGTTATATTTAGGGAACGGGACGAGAAGAAACGGAAGGATCATGATGGGACATAACAAAATGGAAAGAAACATAATGGGATAGGACGGGACGGGACAGATAGGACGGATGGGATGAGAAAGAACGGACATGATGAAAATGAACGAAATGGGATACGAAGGGACAAGACGGTACGTTAATTTTGCCTAACCCTAATTATTTTTAATTAATATGTGTAATATTTTTGAAATAATAATAAACCACATAAATAAATTAAATTTGCGGAAAAACAATCAAATTAACACAATAGATAAATTCCCGCGTGAAGCGCGTGTCACCTCCTAATTTTTTAATATAATTCAAACCCACGCACCGCGTGGAGCTTTTCCTAGTAATTTCATATTTTGAAACCAAAGATAGCCATAGAATACTGTGAAACTAGCTTATTCGTTAAGCTATACTGTTTAGGATATGATACACCACCTTTCAAGTGTGAGTCCATAAGATAAAGGAACTAAAATATACTTTGAAACAAAATCATTTTTCTGATTTTTAACCAAGAAGTTTCAAATCTTAGTTCCATAATATTTCCGGACCTAATTTTGATAATTTCAATGGAGATCTCAAAAAATTATGAAATATAAATACAACCATTCTCTTGTTAAAAGTAATAATAAACAATTTTTGGGTATCTCAAAACTTGAAAACCCCATTCAAAAGTATCTCAACCTGTAAAGGGAAAGAGTATCACTCCAATCAATTATTTAATCCCTATGATTTCTCCTCTAATTATTATGAAATATTCTCTTGTAATTTTTTTTGATTATGTTCATCTTGTATATATATGTGCTCTATGTATATTGAGAAGTTATGAGAGTCAATACAATATTCCTCCAATCCTAAATTCTCATCATCTCTTATATGGTACCACAGCAGGTTGCTCAAAAGTTTTGATCTAACAATCAAACTTTTCTTATTTTTTAAGCTACTATGCTTCTTTCATTTTGTTATTTTAAGTGTTCAAGAATGCGTTAGGCGCTAATCGGGCGGTGAGTCAGTGCCTAGCGCCTAGAACGCCTAATCGGGGCCTAGGCGATTGCTAAGCGTTTTTGAAGTTTACAAAATAAACCTATATATTATACATATTTTAAATATATTAAGTTCAAATACACTCAAAAAAATAAAAGAGTATTAAAACTTTATTATAAAAAGTATAATATATTCATATTAGATAAAAATATGCATAAAAATGAATTTTATTAAATTATAAATAAAAATTTATATAAAATCACTGTATATGAATAGTTAGGCGCCGAGAAAGTAATCGCTACGGTAAATGACCGCCTAGCGCCTAGGCATTGCCTAGGCGGCAGCCTAGACCGCCTTTTAGAAATAACTTATTTATCAAACATAGTACTTATCTATTCAAGTTCATCATGAACCTCTGAATCTAAACTATTGTGCTTCTTATTCAAGTTTTCATAGACCTTGCAATAATTTTTTTTTTTTAAGGTTTTCTTGTTTTTTTCCTCACTTCTTCATCTCTTACTGAATCTCTATTCTCTATTTCTATCTTCTGTTTTTTTAATTTCTTTTTCTGATATAATAAAAAAATGTAAAAAAAAAAATACCCATTGAATCTCTTCGATCTTCTCTCCAACACCATCTCTTTCTTTCTTTTGTCTTCACTTTTAAGCCAAAGTGCTTCTGTTTCCACGGTGTTTAATTACATGAAAAAAAAAAAAAAGAAAAAAAAAAGTATTCGTCATCTTCATCCCTATATGCTAATTCTCTATTCTCTTTGGTTCCAGTTTTCTGAATCTTCAGGCCATCGACACTTCTTCACTTTATTATTGAAAAATAAATAAATAAATAAATAAATAAGAGCAATGTTAACCAAATCTCAGTCAATGGTAAAAGACCTTGTCTCCATTATCCCCATCATCACCATAGACGATCAATGTCTTTCTTCACCGCTGAGAGATCTCTACTTCACCGGTTTTATGACACCCGCCTCTTACTTAACCAAAAAGGCATGTCCAATTATATTAACTTTCACCACAACAAATCACTTACTAGTTCAATATTACTTCATTCCTAAGAATCTTATTCAAAATGTCTTACAAAACCATTATTAAACTTAAATATCAATCCAAATTTGAATAACAAAGTCTTTAAATAAATAATAATAATAAAATAAAACCCTAGTCTTCCCCTAAACCATCACCAAGCCGAGATACTACTCTTGTATGCTTCCGCGTTCACCTGAGATAAAAAAAGAGGGTTGAGTAATTTGAGTGTAGGTCTAACGGGACCCACAATATACCTCTAGTATATTTATAACCACCATAGACGAAAGTCTAAAGCTAATACACGCAATACACACAAGTCCGAAGACACTCATACAACAAGAAATGAATCCTCATCCTACTGGTGCATCATCGCCCAATACCGACGCACACCCCGTGGCATATAGTGGCACAACACGCTGTCCGTCTCTCTTTCAAGATGCCTGCCTCTCTTTCAAACCACCAACGATGGACTATGGAACTCCCCATATCCAGCACACAGACACATACCGTGTCACACACAGGCAAAACCGCCTCAAGCCTAAAAGCTTAACCCAAACCCACACAAGTGATTTCCCGCACACAATGCAAACACCCGCAAACACTTTCTTAAAATCACACAACCATTTTCCATTTAGCATCTCTATTACTAGGTTCATTAATCACATTATTAATATTATATACTTAATAATATAATAATATACCACACAAATACGTGTATTCATATAGCTACATGCAGGTATATACGCATTAACAATAGACTACTCAATCTATAATAATTATAAATATAGAAGAAAATATATCACGCCAGTCCTCACCTTTGATTTTCGGGTTGAAACGGATTTGAATAAGACCACGACGGACGACGGACGAATGCTAACTCACGGCAGAAACTCTCGGCAGAAGAACAACCACACAGCTCACAAGTTACTTGGACCTAAAGTAACCATGAAAGTCAACAGCTTAAAACTCATGCAACAACGTCCACCACATCACGTGTTCCACGTGATCACATGTTAACCAATTTAACATGAACATGGTCATAAGCTCTCGGGAAAAAGAAGACACGAAGGAGAAGTCAACTCAGCTTACCAAACGATGACGTACTACACTGACAACAACACCAAGCGACGACCTAAGTGAAGATTCAATAGCTTGCAGCTGAAGGTAAAGCTGTAACAACAATGGCGATCACTTCAACTCTCGGCAAAACATAACGGAGAAGACGATGGAGCAAAACGGATCCGACTCTTACCAAAACAACTCAATCAACGGTGACGACGAGTCGGAGCAGGAGATCGGTGGCGGAGATCGGTGGTGGCGGCGGAGTCGAGAAGACGACGTGAATTGTGATGGCACAACCTCTCGACGGCTTCTCCTCTCAGGAACAACGACAGGATCACAGTCCGGTGCGGATTCACGTGCAGGCGCGTTGAGATCGGCGGTAGCAGCAACGGTGGCGGAGCTCTCTCGGTTCCGGCAGCGTTTCACTTCAGCAGTGATATATCATGGTTTTTATGGGTTTTTCATCATGATATATGTCTTGTATATAGAGTCTTTTTGGTATTTTTAGTGTCTTTTAGAGTCTTTACATGTTTAGGTGTCTCTGGATGCATTTGGAGCTTAATTGGAGTTATTTGGAGCTATTTGGAGCTAAATCATGATTCATGCTGGAAAACAAGACAATCTGTCGTTCACAAACATTGGTGTCGGTCGACACCAGCAATTTGTGTCGGTCGACACCACTAAAAGACGAAAATCCAGACTTCTGAAGAATTACTGTTTTGGCCTAGAACTTCTGCATATTTGCACAGCAGCCCCAAATCGTGTTTTAGACATTATTTTAGGTTTTTAAAGCCATTGTTAGGCTGAATACTTTTCATACTATTATTCTATTGAGACTTAGAGAGAGATTTGTAGCAGAGCTTTGGAGAGACAAATCAAACTCCTTCAGAGAAGATTTTGAACTCCTTTATCTCTATTCTTATTTCTTTTATGCAATCTATTTTATTCATGATGTTTGTCTCAATCACCATGTCTGACTAGATTCCTTGTTAGGTTTAGGGTTTTTCAAAGGTTGAATAAGAATTGCAATTGCTTAGGATAATCATTAGAATTCTTCATCTGGATTGTGTTTATTGCTTATTCTAGCTTTGCGACCTAGAATCTGATCTTAGGTTAATTGGTAGACACGAAAGTGTTGTTGATTTCCTGAACTATCTTAGATGAGCAAAATATCTATCTGCAAAGAAATTTGGTTTAGAGATTTTGTGAACTTATCAAACCTGATCATTAATGCTCACACAGTCAAACTAATGACTGAAAACAAGCGTTTAGTGGGAGGCAACCCACTTGTAGGTGAAATTCCTTTGTGATTTTCGTTTTGTTTTCACTAATTTCTTTTTTTATTGTGTTTTTCAAAAAAAAATAATAATAATAAAAAAAAAATTAAAAAAAATTGGTGTCGACCTGGGTGTCGACCGTCACCAACCCGCGACGACGAGATGGACGAAAATCGAGCGACACAAATCTGCGGGTCGACACAGTTGTTTGTGTCGACCGACACCAGTCCTGGTGTCGACCGACACGAGTTCTGCAGGAAGGTAAGTTTTCTGTTTTTCTTAATTGAGTCAGTTTTTATTGTTTTTTAACCAATTTCAGACTAGATAACACTGGGACAGTGTTGTTCAAGTCTGGGGGAGGTGATTACTGATATTGTGTACATGTTTGAGTCTTTTGGTTTTTAGTTTTTGAAAAAAAAATGTTTTATTGAGTCAAAATTGTTTGGTAGTTCAAAGTTGTTTGATGCATTAGAGTGAGTTTGAAGTTAAGATAGCACAACACTTGAAATTCATTGGTATTCACAACTTGACTGACACATGCTTTGATTTGATATCATTCTTACTTATTAGAATCATAATCTGACTTGCAATTATCATGTTCATGCATTGAAAGTGTTCTCATGGATACCATATACATACTTGGGCTCTCTTATTCCTTTTTACCACTCTTGTTAGTCCAAGTAGCTGATCTCCATTTTTGAGACAGTTAATCCCACCCTGAACCAAACCTTCTTTCAAGCCAATGTTTAGTGAGTGATGTGAGGCCTATTTTCTGAATGAGCTTAGCAAAAAGTGTTGGGTTTAGACGACAAGGATATGTTTTCATGTAGAACTAGCTCACCCTTTCTGAGTTAGACTAGGTTAGGGATTTGGGATTTGGATTTGTGCTTAATGAAAAGAGAACTAAGGAGAAGAGATTGTTTAGAAGTGGTTATTTGGTTTGTATATATTGTTTTTCTGTCTTTGGTTCTGAGTTAAAAAAAATAAAAAATAATAATAAGAAAAAAAAAAGAAAAATAAAGAAAAATAAAATAACAGAGCCAAAGCAGAGTTTTTAGACCAAAACCACTTGGGAATCAGAAGTTGAATCATCTCCTTGGGTTCAAGAGAAAAGAAAGTGAATGTATGATGAGTGTTTATGAAGAGAAAGTGCTTTAATGGGTTTAGGTTTGGGCCATGCAATGTATGCTGGTTCATAACAAAAGACGAATGAATTTTCAAACGGACTGCGCTGATTTGGTGAAGATGGTATCTAAACCCGAAGAGTGGCCGGCGTTCGAAATTCTACTTGAAGAGGTGGACAAGTGTAGAAGGAGTTTCCAGACATTCTCCTTGACTCATATCCCAAGAACGAAGAACACAAAGGCAGACAAGCTAGCACGACGTGCTCGAGATCAGCCTTACGATGTGTATTATGTAAACTCTGTTCCCCCGATCTCGCTTCCCGAATCGGTTTAGGAACATAGGCTGTTGACAAAAAAAAAAAAAAAAAGAGAAAGTGCTTTAATGGGTAGCTTAGGATCATTTATGGGATTGTATTGTGGAAATTTGAAGTTACTTGGGTAGATGAAAATTTATCCTTGTATGCATAAATTGATCTTTACCCTTAGCATTTTGCCAAAGCTCATTCACTTCTTGAGAGATCCCTTGTTTGACTGCTTAAACCTGGATGAAAAGAGACCATTATTGTCTCTTAACCTTGTCCCTAGCTAAATGATTTCACTTGATTGCATGAACTTGATCCATGGTTACTCTTTAATTGAATGTTAAAAGGAATGGTTGATTTGAATGCATATATAGGTTGAGTTGGAATCTACTTCATGTTGTGATGAGTGTGGCTAAAGTTTTTAAAGTAGAACAAACTCACAATGCATTGACTCTTTGAACTGCCTTGTTTTCAAACCTCTTTCACAGTTTAGTTATTTGTTTTGCTTGAGGGCAAGCAAAAGCTAAGTCTGGGGGAGTTGATATATCATGGTTTTTATGGGTTTTTGCCATGATATAAGTCTTGTATATAGAGTCTTTTTGGTATTTTTGGAGTCTTTTTGAGTCTTTACAGGTTAAGTGTTTGGAGCATTTGGAGCTTAATTGGAGCTATTTGGAGCTATTTGGAGCATCAGCTGCTGGAAAACAAGACAAACAGACATTTGAGTCTTGCGTCGACACCAGCAATCTGTGTCGGTCGACACCAACTAAGAAGACGAAAATCCAGACTTTTGAAGATTACTGTTTTGGCCCAGAAGTTCTGCATATTTACAAGAAGGCCCAATTCGTGTTTTAGACATTTTTTAGGTTTTTAAAGCCATTGTTAGGCTAATACTTTTCATACTTTTATTCTATTGAGACTTAGAGAGAGATTTGTAGCAGAGCTTTGGAGAGATAGATCAAACTCCTTCAGAGAAGATTTTGAACTCCTTTATCTCTATTCTTATTTCTTTTATGCAATCTATTTATTCATGATGTTTGTCTCAATCACCATGTCTGAGTAGATTCCTTGTTAGGTTTAGGGTTTTTCAAAGGTTGAAGAAGAATTGCAATTGCTTAGGATAATCATTAGAGTTCTTCATCTGGATTGTGTTTATTGCTTATTCTAGCTTCGCGACCTAGAATCTGATCTTAGGTTAATTGGTAGACACGAAAGTGTTATTGATTTCCTGAACTATCTTAGATGAGCAAAATATCTATCTGCAAAGGAATTTGGTTTAGAGATTTTGTGAACTTATCAAACCTGATCATTAATGCTTGTTTGAATTGTTGAATTTGCAAAGAAATTTGGGATTCTAAGTTTAGACATAGATAATCTCTGCAACGAAAGTTGATTGGTTTTACAATTGTGATTTGAGTTCTAGAATGGTTCTTCATTAATATCCTGATAGTTTACTCTGCAATTCGGATTCAACCTGCGAATTTCCCAAGGCCTAACCTTTGTCTCATTGAATTTAACCTCGTTAATCAATCACCTGCTACTTTGTTTTCTTTTATTTGTTTTACATTACTCATATCTTACTTAGCCTGATTTGAATCTGGAAATTCGTTGTGCAACTGATAGACGTTTGGATTCGATAAACCCTTTATACTACATTGATTTACTGTGCACTTGCAGTGATAATATAGGGTAAAACTTAACAACTATATATAGGTTGGAAAATAAAAAGCATATAAACAAGGACTAACATTTGGCTTCTCTCACTTCTCTTTCTCATCTGTAATCTTATCGCCGCCTTCAAACACAAGAACCGACGGGGGCGTCAAGGGAACCCACTGTCTCCCTCCTGACTATTCGATCATCGGAAACTTGCATCAGCTCGGGGAACTACCACATCAGTCTCTTTGTAGGCTCTCCAAAAAGTATGGTCGTCCAAGTTCGGAAAATACATGACCTCCATTGTTAATTTGTTATAGCCGTCCTCCATTGGCAAGTAGCTTAACTCTCACGTAACAGAGCTTAAGTTTTTTTCATTTTTGTCATCAAATTTAACAAATGCATGATTCCTCAGGACCAAAAGAGCTTTCTTACAACTATATCTGGACATCATTTTCTCTCCTTAAGGAGGTTGTGCTTACAAGAACTCTTCAGTGCTAAACGAGTTCACTCGATTCATCCCATCAAACTATCAAAGTCGAGGAAGTCATTGGATTGATTCAGTCGCGGAATCAGCTTCTCAGAAAAATCCAGTTAACTTGAGCGAGAAGTTTATTACTTTGACTGAAAGCGTGATATGCAAGGCAGCTTTTGGTTTCAGTTTCCATGAAACTGTTCTCAACAGTGCCGGATTCGAAAAGTTAATCCGCGAGGCATTTTTGTTTCTAGAGAGCTTCTCGGCGTCAGATTTCTTCCCAAATGGCGGCTGGATCATCGACCGGCTCACAGTCACAAGTTTACAAGCGCGGAGAGAGAGAAGCGTGAGAGATCTTGATGCGTTCTATGAGAAAATGTTTGATCTGCATAAACAGGGAAACAAAAAGGGAGTTGAAGATTTCGTGGACTTGCTCTTGAGGTTGAAACCCGAAGTGTTTCTCCCGGAGAGGTTTATGGATAATAACATTGATGCAAAAGGACAGAACTTTGAGCTGTTAACCTTTGGAAGTGGCAGGAGAGTGTGTCCTGGAATGTACATGGGGACAACAATGGTGGAGTTTGGTCTTGCGAATATGTTGTATCACTTTGACTGGAAGTTACCAGAAGGCATGAAGGTCGAAGATATCGACATGCAAGAAGCTGCTGGACTCGCTGTGGGCAAAATGATCGATCTTCTACTTGTTCCTGTGATAAATTGATATTAGATATCGTTGATCACTTAAGCTAAGTTCTTCACGAGATTACAAAATAAAATATAGCCTCGATTGTTACCGAAATAAATATGTAACTCGTGTTTCTTTGTTTCTTATGGTATTAAAAAAAAACTCAAGTTTGTGAATTTATAAACCATATTTAGTGTGGAATATTTTAGGGATAGTTAATTCATTTTTTATTCTGCCATTGTGGATCAAATCATAATGTCAAAGAGAAACTTGCTTTTTAAGCCATCACGATCATGGGTAACAACTATTTCAGACATGCAATCCTTGACAGGTCCTAAGGAGAAGAAAAGGCTGGTGTAAAAAAAACCTGAGGAATCTTCTCTCAACCTTGTCCTCATTAGATCTCCATCCGCCTTCAAAATTGGTATGACGGTTCAATATAAAGAAACTTCAGCCATATCAATTTTCTTTTGTTTTCATTTTTGAAAGGGGAGAAAGAGAGGTACAAGCTATCCCGAAAAGTAATAGGATGAGCAAAAAAACATGAATCAAACAACAGTTTTAAGATGTTGAACAAATCGCTTAAACTAAATAAGAGAGTCAAGTTCTGTTGTCAAGAGACTGTAATGGTGGAACACAAACACTTTTTTATAAGCTGACAGGATCACCCATGAATCACGAAACCTCAGTCTCCAGTATAAACACGGCGTTTCTATATAAGCCACAGCTCAAAGATAAAAACACCTACCACGAACAATATCATATTTGACTACAGAATACATCAAATTCTAGTGCTTCGCCAAATTGTCTTCTGCTTTGAGGAAAGGGCAGGCAATTTTCAGACAGTTTTGCTCGTGCTAGTTCCTCTCGCTGCTGTGTTAACTTGTTTCGCCAAGTAGGCTTCATAGATTTCAACGATAAGACGGGGATCTTTCTCGACAAGCTCCATGTACTCCTCTCTTTTCGTAACTTTATCCATGTTCTCTGTGATCTGCGACAACGCGGCATCGAGCACGTGTTTCGCGTTGTGCTGGTGTGCGAACGCGTAGCTCATGAGAGAGTTTTCCGGATTGAGTTTGGTCACCAGAAACTTCTCACAGTAACTCTTGAGATGTTTCACCTGGTATTTCTCTGACATGACCAGAAGATCACACGCCATCTGCTCATCGAGACACGCTTCAGCTGTGTAGAGATAGTAGACGAACGTACGAAGCGCATCGTAAGATACATCGGCGATCTTGATTGTTCCGCTACGGCTCTCTTCCATTTCGTTCTCAAGCATTGCTTTGAAGACTGGAGAACGACTCACCTGACAGCAATACATATAAATATGACAAATCATTACAGAATCAAAACCAAAAGGAACACATAAGCCACCAAACCTGCCTTCTTTTTCGAATATCAACACAGATGACTGATGAGCACTGCAAGAACTAAAGGAATGCTCTTTTTTATAGCATAGTTCTTGCAAAAACACACAAAATTTTAACACAGGCCAAGATTCCAGTTTCTCATCAAGTTTTGGCGCAAAGATGTAAAATCGAGTCCTATTAATCAAGAAGATGGGTCTAATATGTGGAAGACAAAGAATCAAATCAAGAAGATTTCTTCAGTATCTTGCAAGTGCCGAAATCTTCATCTAAAGTGCCTTAAATGACTGTGAACAAGATGTGGAGTGAAGATCTATCAAACACAAATTGCAATAGAAAAATTTAAGTAAAACAAATTTTACTAATTATAGAGACTAATCAATTGCCCAAAGTTGAAATCAGAGGAGAAATTTAAGCTTTTCTATTGCAGAAAAAAAAGAAAAATTAGAGAACGAACCAGAACGGCTTTATTAGCGGGAATAGGAGGCGAAGCGGCGGCGTCTTGGGAGGAGATGAGAACGACGTCAGTGAAGGAAGTGGAGTTGCTGTTGACATGATCGAGAGGAGAGGAGAAGCGAAGGAAAGAGATTTTGGCCTTGAGGTCGTCGATCTCGCGTTTAAGCTCTTCCTCAGTTTCGCCGGCCTCGACGTAGCACTCCTTGCAGGTGCCGGCATCGCGAGGGAGGTACTCTTCTCGGCAGGAGATGCAGCGCATCGCCGTGTTGTCGGCGTCGGAATCGGATCCGCTCTCGCTCGTATCGGAGGCGATTTGGCATCGGTGTCTCCTCATTTCACACGACGGCGTTTTGCGCTCCTGCCACTTTACTGAATTTGTTTTTTTAGTTTTGACTTCTGAGACTTTTGACTAAAATCCAAAGAGAGAATTAAACAACTCAGAAGCGCTTTCTATCTTATTATATATATCAAAAAATGTTTAAATGAATAACACCCATTTCATAATTAATACATAAAAAAAGAGGATATACAAGTTGGAAAACAAAAAATTAGGATAAATATGGAAATTTCAGTTTTATAATTTAAGATGAGAATGCAAAAAGAAAAGAAAAAAATAGTTGTTTTATAAGCTAAAAGTATTAAAAAAATATTATATTTTATATAAACAGGATAGATCTGTCTGAATAAGAAGATGATAACATTAAGAAAAAATAAATAACTCTTACTTGATTATTGATTAGGTTTCTCAATCCGTAAGTTATGTTTTAATCCCGTTTTCAATCTTATTTCAAGTGTACATTTTCAAAATAATATTTTTATAATGTATTTTCAAAATTACACTTTTCCATTGAATAAAGATCTCTAAACCCTAAACCTTTAAATCTAATCCTAAATCTCAAAATCTAAACCTTAGTTAGGGACTAGGAAACTCAAACTTAGATATTAAATAATCCCAAAATCTAAACCTTAGTTAGGGACTAAGAAACTCAAATTTAGATATTAAATTTAAGGAAAAAGTGTGTGTGAACCGAAATCCGCACAATAGATTCAAGAGATGATTTTAGAGAGGAACTAGAATTTCTAAGAATAACACAAACGAGGATCCAAAGATGGTGATTTTATTGATGTAAAGTGTAAAGTGTTTTGCAGTAGAAAAGTGATGATCGAACCTTTCAGTTCGATCTCTATTTATACAAGGTATAGAGCCGACTCTTTGCGAGATTCTCTAAAGATACTCTAAAGATTTCCTCTTCTGTGCTGCGGCGCCGCTCCTTTGTCTCTCACCTTCGTCTAGGGCGAACTGTGAATCTTTTTTTTGGGCTTGGGCTCAAATCGCTAAGGATGGATGTCAGTTCGGCCCAAAGATAGTTACAGCTCGGCCCATACTCGATCGATCTCCTTTCCCCGTGGGCTCAGTCGAATGTTGATATGTCCGGATCGAGCTACTGTGCAGTGACGGGGTCGATCGAGCTATTGTGCTGCGACGGAATCGATCGAGCTGGTGCTGCAGTAACGGGATCGATTGAGCTATTGTGCAGTGACGGGATCGATCGAACTATTGTGCAGTGACGGGATCGATCGAGCTGGTGCTGCAATGACAGAATCGATCGAGCTACTTTGCAGTGACGGGATCGATCGAGCTGGTGCTGCAGTAACGGGATCGATCGAGCTACTGTGCAGTGACGGGTTCGATCGAGCTCTTGTTGCAGTAACGGGATCGATCGAGCTACTGTGCAGCGACGGGATCGATCAAGCTGGTGCTGCGATAACGGGCTCGCTACTGTTGCAATGACGGGATCAGGTCTCGTACTGCAACAGTAGTACTGCAGTGGCAGAGCTCGTACCGGTACAGGTCGCCTTACTTTAGTTCTCCCTTCCTTGCCATGCGTCATGCTTTTATCGTTGAACTCGACGGAAAGTATTCTGACCCCAACAAAGTGTAATTTTGTAAATTAAAAATATAGAGTCTAGCTTTGAAAATTAACATCCCAAAGAGATATATTTCTTAAACTTTCTCATTTGTTTTTAACAGATTGCAAATACATTAAATTATTAGAGTATCCTTATTGAGATAGTTCAATGAGTATTTTGAACAATATTAACAAGGGACAATGAAAAACAATTAAAAAAAAACTAAAAAATATGTGAGAATGAGTTCTCATTTGAGATACTATGGGAAACTCTCATCACACATGTTTCAGTTTTATTGATTAAAATATTTTCCAAAATTTAAATATTTATGATATAATTGAATTACAATAAATTACTAGTATTATTTTGTTTAGAAACCCCAAAAAGGTTTTCACCAATGAAGATACTCTTAAATAGTATATCCAAAGTCTAATCGATTATAATTGTGTATAGAATACAGTATGACGAAGTTGTATATTGTGTATATATTCAAAAGGTCTGGAAAGTCCATATTTAACACGTGTATAGGGAAGCGAATCGTCTATAGCATATGGATTAACGAATTATGCTTTTACTTTTGCTTTAGGATTTCATAATTTTTCTTTAAACTCTGCAAATGTAGAATCGATTTTGCAGGATGATGTTATCGTATCTGCGTATCCGAGAGATGTTTGCATTATTTAGTTTGTTTTTTTTTTTTAATAAAAGTGGGAGGTCTTGGGCTCCCACACCACCCATAAAAAAATTACAGTATGACGAAAATATATTAAGAGGTATAGATACCGTAAAATTTGGATTAAGAAACAATAAAACCATATTTTTTGTTCATTGGGCTTAATTACATTGTTATTTATTTGACGTTGTTTTTTTTATTTGACATTGTTTTTCGTTTCTTATAACTTATTAATAACTAGGGGCTACGCCCGGGTAAGTTGTTTAGAAATTTGTTAAAAAGATGATATCATGATTAAAATTCTTACTATCAATAATATAAATGGTAATTTAATTTCTTTAACTAAAAAGTTTAACTTGTTTTAAACTTATATATTATTCATGTTATTGAAGTTGAACCATATATTCTAAACTTTTGATGATACCACATTACCATTTTCGCAAATGGACTTGACAGTGGACTTGGATTCTTGATCCTTTGCTCATACCCTTAATGTGTGCCGGTTGGACGTCTTGCTCTTGGCTCTTGCTCTTGGCTCTTGCTCTCTTGTTCGTAGTAAATCGAATATAACATCACTAAGAAGGAAAAAGAATACTTTAATTTAAAATAGTTGTGAGGCTTTATTGTTAAACAGAAATGGTTTAACTTAATTACTTTATACTCAGTGTTTAAAATCCATAAGTATTTCTTTTTCAGTGTTAATCTTGATTACAACTCGTAAAATGTTTTTAAATATCACATTTTTGCAAAAATATTGTTGGATTCATGAATTAAAGTGAACAATTTTATCGACACATGAAAACCAAAATCCATAATTCAAAAACAGCCAAATTAGATAACAACTAGTAGAGTACCCGCACGTTTGTGCGGTGTGACGTTGTGGTTTTGTGCTAGAAAATTTAAACCCTAAATCCGAATCCGACAAAAAAAACCCTAATAATTTTTTTTCAAAACCCAAACTTTTTTAATATGTCTAAACCCGAAAACCCTTAACAAAACAAAAACAATTTGGAAACTTTTTCACCTGGAACCCGACCCAAATACTCTAATCAAAATTTTAAAATACTCAAACTTTTTTAATATATCTAAACCTGAAAACCCGAAATACAAAAATCCGGAAAACCCTAAACTGAAAAAAAAACTCGAACCCAACCCGAACAGAAATTTCAAAGAAACCCGAACAATTTTTATAGCTCTATATCTCTATAAAATTAGGTCTCAGATTTTCACCCAAACCCAACTTATCTATAAAAATCCGAAAATCCAAAAAGCATATTCTATTGATTTAGTATTATCGTTAGATTATGTTAAGTTTTTTTTTCAGATTTTTAAGAGCTGGAAAACGGAAATTTTCTAAACCATCGGTTTGTTTTAAGTTATTATTCTTGTATCCAAAAATCATTTATTCTTCTATTCAAATAGTTTTTTCTTTTATTCTGGTATCCAAACATTACAATGTACTAAATTCACCCTCATTAAATATGTTGTCAAACACTTTCTCTTCATAATAGATTTTGTTTTTATCATAAATTTTTCATTTATTTCTCAATTAATAATATAATAAAAATTTATATGTCTCTCAACCCAAAAACCTGAAACCCAAAAAATCCGATCCGAACCCAACCTGAAACCCGAAGTCTCATTTCTACATAAAATTATATTAAAATGATATTAGATTATATACTATTTAATACATAATTTAAATATAAAAAAATTGCAACTTCTTAATTATAAATTACTTCTCCACTTCGTTTCTTAGAATACGCAATCTTGGAAGTCAAATGAATCTCATCAACTTTTAGAAAATATTGGAAGCAATATCCTTTTATTTAGATTTTTCAGTAGAAATTTTTGTTTGATAATTTGTTAAATATTGCTAACCTTAACATTCGGTATAAGTTTACTTGTTTAATACCCATGAGATATTCGTAATAAATATTGCGTGGAGAAATCAAGATTGTTATTCAGTTTTGGGTCTTGTAGGGTCCGCTTGTTTCTGTATGGGCCTCCTTTATTCAGACGGTCGGTTCTGAATTGATTTTCTATGTTGTGTATTGCTGATGGATTTAGGCAATTCGTCCAGTTTGTTTCCGGTTTATTTTAAGTGATTTAAGGATCCGCGTGTTATCCAATGTCTATTGGGTCGGATATTTTTTTTGACTGAGTTGACTCAGTTGACTCGACCGCTTGTTTACAAAATTACTGTTGCCAAACACTTTTCTTCATAAAGAGATTGGTTTTTTTGTCCAAAAATTGTCAATGTACTTCTCAATTAATAATAAAGAGATATAACATCATCGACACATATTGTAATATTTTCATCCCTCTCTTTTTGCCATATTCATTTATGCTCAAAACCAATTTCACTTTGTTTCCTTAATTTATTTTCTGTTTTCTTTTTCCCGTGCTAGAAAATATCATAAAGGAATAAATGAAATTGGATTCACCTTGAAACGAAAGAGATGTTTATACAAAGAGGCAAAGTGAGGTAAAGAGTTGGATCACTTAGCTCTCTCTCTCTACCTATAAATTATATTGTTTCTGAAGCCAAAAAATATACAAAGAAAGTAGGGTTTTTCTTCTTCTTCTTGGTATTGTAGCTTGGGAAGTAAACAAAAGCCAACCGTAACTCCGTAAGGTTTCCTATTTTAATTCAGAATTTCATACAGCTGGCGAATTTACATAAGCATGGAACCTTGCATTCGTGAGGCTCGTCTGGACCAAATAAGTAATCATACCTGCAAAAAAACACACCTAACATTTCTTAAACGCTGACATCATAAGCTTTCGATCGAAGAATACCATATAAAAGTATGTACTGTACGTTAACTCCTCTCCGACAGCAACGTTGGCCTTGGTGTGATGAAGCATCACTTCCATCTTGGATTTCATGTCGTAACTGACATCCATCTTTGGCACAACCAGCATTAGCTCCCTATGGTTCTGTATAACAAACTGGCAGAACCGCTCCGCGAATTCGATCTCACCGTCTGATATTCTTTTTTTTTTCGAATTGTATGTTAAATTAATTCGAGCCAAAAACAACGTTTTTTACATCAGATGCTACTTTGTAGCTGAGGGTTTTAAGAGTTTGAGAAAGAAGGGAATTCACAAAAAGTTACTGAAAAAAAAAAGAAGCAAAATCATAAGTTAGCAAACCAGGTTTGCAAACCATGTTCATATCTTCTGTCACCAAGAGTGCGGATGGAGGAGAATCGATTATGAATTTGCTTATCGAGGAGTTGCTTCATGCGTGATGGAGGTGTGGGAGCCTCGCCATGTCTTCTCCCGTTTCTCTCTCGCCAAAGCCAATACACCCAAACCTTTAATCTGAAAATCGAGCTTTTTGTTTTTTGAGTTTATATCACACAATCAAACAATGAATCAGAAGAAACCAATGAGTCAAGTCACCATATATGTGTATAACATTTACCAGAAAAAGAACGAAAAACTCCAAATCATCCGGTTTCACTTAAGCACAAAACACCTTCAACGTCAAATCAACATGTGAGCAGACTAACTAAAAGTTTATATCACTCCATTACCTCTGAGTCATGGAGAAGACTTTCAACACCTATGAGCGCGTTGCCTCTCTTAAAGTTTCTCACTTTCCAGAAATGAAGAAGGCGGACCAAGACCTCCTCGTAGCAGAATTGACCATCGATTTTCTGGAGGACCTTGAAAGTTTGGGGTTTGACCGAAGGCGAAAGAGCTTTGGAAGCCATCGGTCGATTTCGGAGTGTATTTTTTTTAGGAAGATGAATGATATATAGATACACCAATTTCGTTAGTGGGCCTCTTAAACAATACGAACTCAAATATTATAGATTTCGTTTTATTGATCTGTATCATTTTTAAATGACACCTGGCGTTTTCGGGAGTCAGGTTGTTGATGCCTTGAGAGGCCCCAAGCAACTCCTTTAAAGTATTAATGATTGGCTATAGCAGTGGTGGACGCGATATCTCTTTGCTTCCTCACATCCTGGTGTGTAAGGATTCGCCGGTTGTTTGGGTGCACACAGGGCCGGCCCTGACCTAAAGCACATAAAGCATTGTGCTTTAGGCGCCAAACGATTATAATAATTTAGGGGTGTGTAAAAGTTTGCATTAGCACAGCGGTTATATGCTCTTCATTTGTGTCTCTGTAGAATCGCCCCCTATGCGGAATCTGTTGATTTTTTTTCAATAAATTTTTAAATGGGCAAAAAAAAACATTTTGCTTTAGGCACCAATATCCATCGGGCGGCACTGGGTGGACATGTCCCAGGAGCACATCCATGTGATTTATCGTCAGGGCCGTCCCTGGCCTAAGGCAAGTTAGGCAGGTGCTTTAAGCGCCAAAAGATAATATCATTTTAGGGGCGCCAAAATACAGAGAGATTATGGTAATGTAGTGGTTATGTCTTCTCAATATTCCTTTCAGGGAAGGTGTTCGAGGCTTCCAGCCAACATTTTCTTGCCTTTTAAAAAAAAACCGAATTTTTAATAACCCAATCACTCCTCCAACGACCATTTCCAATAGACATGCATGCTATGACTGTGAATATCGCCACGAGGAAAAACCTACTCTTTCCTTTCACAACGTTCATGATTTTGTGGGGTTTTCTTTTTTTTTTTTTTTTTTTGGTGAAAAATGCTAATTTGTGTATCGAATTGCTAACACTTTTTGTGTTTATTGGTTGATTCACTATGTGATATTTATAGTGGTTAAATATTATAAGATAAATAGATAATCCAAATGTGACGATGAGAGGATGTCAAGGGAAATTTATTTTGTACCAATCTCATATGCTTTTGTGTCATGAAATTAGTGGTTAGTTGGCCTATTATAAACATTGTTCGTTGTTCTTTCTTTATAAATTTTTCTTTTTTATTTAAAAGGAGATTACAATATTGACCAAGAAAAAAAGAGGATAACTACGTTAGGGTGTGGAACTATTTGAAAATTACTGTGGATGCTAATACGTATGTACTTTTTTTTTTGTAAAAAGGCATAATACGTATACTTTACTTCTATATATAGGGATATGAATATAATAGATTAGGTGTCATATATATTTCTATAAATTACGTGACACTACATTTTTATCTGCAAAATCAGTCATTAACAACACATTGACTTAAGTTTGGGATGAAAATAGAATGTACTTGATGTCGAAACGTTATACAATATATTCGAAAGATAGATATTTTACTAACCAGATCCAAAACAATCAGTCATCAACCATTGTTTGGAAAATTTACTTTTGTTGACGTCAAAACGTTATACATTATATACAATTTTCAGTATGCGATTTCTAACAATTAGAAAAATTAGCAATGCCAATGTGAGTTCATCTTGACATTCAAAGTTGGGTTTGCATCAACAAACATGGCCATAGTTGTATATACGAGACAAACCCAACCATTGGGGTATCCCAAATGCTGTATCTATATTTGCATCCATTAAAGTTTGATAATTACTACATCCTAAACTAATAAGTTTATGGCGTTTCTGTCAATATAACCCAAAAATTACATGAAATCATATAGAGCTTAAAAACATTAATCTGTTCTCAAATATTAAGAAAAATGGCGGCGGCTAATTTGGCTAATTAATTTGTAATTTTCCGCATTATGTTGCCGATGTGTATTAAATCATAGGCAACATAAAAAGAGCAACCACCAAACTAATAAAAGAGGGAGGAAAGTTTTTTTAGCAATAATATTAGGATTAGACATGGCAGATTATCTAACAGGAGACGTATTTGAATATATGTTTTTTATTCATAAATAATCAAGAGTACATTTGTATATCAAATGAACAAGTAATCAGAAAGGAGCATTTGCATAGGGAGGGCATTTAGAATTGCATAAGCAGCAACAGACACTTCCAAAACCATATACTCGACAAGATCCTCCTCTGGGGTACCCAAGAGACTGGCATCTTTGCCAACAATGAGGTGTTGTATCACATCCTTCCGGCAAACAATGGTAGTAATCTTGTCCTAATTGATTCAACAAACACATTGACAATATGATAAGTAAAAAATCAGGAATTTGATATTTATACATATTCCATATACACACTCTTTTTTTTTTTTTTAGTTAAAGGGTTTCCATATACAAACTATTATATATATATATTTTGTAACTTTGACTTAACTAGTTAAAATAAATTCGAACTTTTTTAAAAAGAAATTTGGATAAAGAGAAGTATATTTTTGTGTTTGAGACAATCTTATCCCTTGTGAAAAAAAAAATGTATTACCTGAACTTATGGGCAAAAGGATGAGAACAAACACCATAAACAAAGGTAATAGAAGGGATGAAAGCTTCTTTGTCGCCATTCCGTTTATGATTCTCAAGGATTGAACAATTATATTCTTCAAAGGAAAATAAAAATAAGTTTCAAAATCAATGGTATTAGAAATTCTTGTATAATAAGGGACATATGAAGTAAGAAGACAAATAAATGGCAAAAGCAAATATTTTTTAAAGTAATCAATATTTTGGGAATTGCCAAAAAATATTTATTTTTCACTATTTGATAAAAAAGAATAAAGCTTGTCTTCTTCAGTAAGAAACTTTTAGCATTGTAACCCGATATACCTTTAATATTCTGTTATTTGTTGATTAATGATTGTGTTGCTTCTGTGTGTGTTTATTTATAATCCACACACATTTATTTATGTACCGTATATGTAATGAGTTTTAATAACATAAATTTGACTGAAAATCTGGTCAACGGGATTTCATTATGTTTCTATTTAAGATTGTAAAAGGTTACATTCTAGATGTGCTAGTTACATTGTAAAAGGAAACAAAGGAGACTAAGTGTTAACTCAAAGTCTCAATCAACATTCAAAACAATCTAAACTTAAATCGTAAACGAGCAACATTGCATCTGAAAGCAACAATCTGAGACTTTTATTCAAACTGAAAACACAAAGATGTATTCATGTCAAAGTTAAGTATTCGCAATTTAATGTTTTCGTCTGTCTAAATGAGTGACAAGTAGGAGTAAAATTAAAATGCATGTGAATCATCCAAATAAGACTGGAATGTTACAACGAACGCTGTGTATTCTTCTTGGTCTTCCAGAAGATTTTGTCACTTGTGGAATGATATGATATTACTTACAAAATGAAATTACTTACCTTTTAATTTGATTAGAGAAACGAAATGATATTCAACTAAATAATATTTTCATAAGTATTTGAATTAAATTAAATTTTAAATTGAGAACCATATGTGGCAAAATATCTGAATTATTTTATGTTTTTAAAGCGAAAGTTTTTATTATTTCTATTTGCTCATTTTTGTCATCATCATGTTGATTGATTGATTGATTTTAGATGTATATCTTACTGTCATTCATACAATCCACGAAAACATTAGCTGGCCAAAACAAAACTTATTTTTTAGATTTTTTAATTTGAGAGAAATTTGTTATAAAAAAAAAACAAAAAAAAAACATGCCTACAAATGGATAGAACAAACGGCTATTATTCAGACCAGAGAAACAGTCGAAACATTGTATGTCTCTTACTACATAACTTATTTAATACTTTTCCTCGGCGTTATCGCCTCAATTCAGACAAAGCAGGAAACAAAAAAAAACAAAAAAAAACAAGAATGAAATCTCATCTTGTGTTCATACCGTATTCTGGAATCAGTCATCTTAGATCAGCAGTCGAGATGGCGAAGCTACTAGTGGACCAAGACGACCGCCTCTCAGTCACCGTGATTATCCTTCCTTCCCGTTTCGGAGACGAAGCCGATTATTCCGCCTACGTGGCAGCACTCTCCGCCGCACCAAACGACCGCTTACGCTACGAAATCATCTCCGGTGGAGATCAACAAAACGCGGAGCCGACTTGGATCGACATCCATGTCGAGAATCAGAAGCCCAAAGTGAGAAACGCGGTTGCGAAACTCGACTCGTCGACTCTCGCCGGATTCGTCGTCGACATGTTTTGCACGTCGATGATTGACGTGGCGAACGAGTTAGGGGTTCCGAGTTATCTCTTCTACACATCAAACTCGGGTGCTCTCGGACTCGCATTTCACGTTCAGCAAATGTACGATGAGAAGAAGTACGACGTCGGTGAGTTGGATGTGGATAGCTCGGAAGCTGAGCTGGTCGTCCCGTTCCTGAGCCGTCCTTATCCGGTCAAGTGCCTTCCTCGCGTTTTCGCATCGAGAGAGTGGTTGCCGATCTTGGTAAACCAATCAAGAAGATTTAGAGAGATGAAGGGCATTTTGGTAAATACTGTTGCTGAGCTTGAACCTTACGTGTTGGATTCTCTCTCAAGTGGTGGTGTCGACACTCCTCCTGTTTATCCAGTTGGACCACTTGTGCACCTCGAGAGCCAAGTTGATGATTCCAAGGACGAGAAACAATCGGAGATTTTAGCATGGTTAGACGGGCAACCGGCTAAATCGGTGGTGTTCCTCTGTTTCGGAGGCTTGGGGAGTTTCCGTGAGGAACAAGTAAGAGAAATCGCTGTTGCGCTTGAGAGAAGCGGGCACCGTTTCTTGTGGTCTCTCCGTCGTCCGTCTCCGGATGTAATGAAGGAACGTCCCGGAGAGTACACGGATATGGAGGAAGTTCTCCCGGAAGGATTCTTTGATCGGACCAAGGAGAGAGGGAAAGTGATGGGATGGGCTCCACAAGTTGCCGTGCTGGAGAAGTCGGCGATCGGAGGTTTCGTCACTCACTGCGGTTGGAACTCCATGCTCGAGAGCTTGTGGTTTGGTGTTCCAACGGCGGCTTGGCCGCTGTACGCGGAGCAGAAGTTCAACGCATTCGAGATGGTGGAAGAGCTTGGACTGGCGGTGGAGATAAAGAGGTATTGGAGAGGCGATATTTTGGCGGGAGCGGCGGCGGATTTGGTGATGGCGGAGGAGATAGAGAGAGGAATCAAGCGGCTCATGGAGGAGGATAGTGAGGTGAGGAAGAGAGTGAAGGAGATGAGCGAGAAATGCCGCGTGGCTTTAACGGACGGTGGTTCGTCGCGGATTGCTTTGCAAAAGTTTATTCAAGATGTTAAGAAGAATATCGTTTGACCGGTTATGGAACTGAAGAGCCTGTATGCTCTTAAAAATGATAGACCCAATAAAGTTAAGACTATTCAATGTTCGCCAATGCAATCTTTCGTACTACTGTACTTTGAAGTGGTGATAAGGATGCAATTTCATGGTTATGACTTATATATGGCGATGTTTATTTATGTACGGAAGCAGGACATGAACTTGAAGTGGTAATGACTTGTTTTGCAAGAAAACTGTGTGATCAAAATATAAATCGGAAAGAAATAACATATCTTATATATAATAGGAGAGTTTCCTCTCTCCATCTAGGCTATCCACATCAGCCAAAAAATTCATTAAATTGTTTTTAAAATATTTAATACATGACTATTCATATTTCTTTACCTATATTTATATTTTTAAATATAAATAAAACTAAGAAAAATACACAACTAAATTACTTAATTAATATAAAGTATGTGATAACTTGATGTTAAAAGTTATCAAAAAGTTTGGATATAAGTAAAAATATATTTATCTTGAAATGGTATATATTTACCTTTTTATTAAAAGATTTATCCTACTTCAAAATGTTATAATGTGTTCACAAGTTAAAAAGTTGAATATAAATTAATTAAGATAATAAAAAACCAATGAGAAATTAGAGTTAGAGTTTGCTTTTTTAAACAAATAGAAGTCAAGTTTTTATATGTAAATTTAATTGCAGTGAAAAACATGAAAGTTTTAAGGATTGTGATATGTTTGTTTCCAAATATATTCAATTACAAAACTAACATAATAGAAAACAATCAATGGTCATGAGGCTCATATGCTACCACAACAAAGTAGATATGTATAAAAGTATATATATTTTTTTCATCCTATTTCGGTGCAAATGCGATTTTACAATATACTTACAAATTTTAACGCTGAGTCAAATTATACATATGCATGTTTATAGTCTAACAAAAGTAAACAAACATAATATTTATAATATGCTAAAATGTTAGAAATAGAAAATTCGAGATAAAGTGGGGTGTTAACATCCTAATAAAATAAAATAAAAGGACGCACGATGTGAGATAAAGTATAAACAAAACCATTGCAAACAACCCCGCGCTTGCGCGGGGCTTCAAACCTAGTAAAATATAAAATAAATGTGAAAAGATTAACAGAAAAATGCACTAGCTGGTAATTTTAATTAAAAATCTAGATCAAAAATAAAAAATATCTTCCTCTATAGTGAAAGACTTGACTGTCGACAAATATTGTCTCCCTAATCCCCCAATTTTCTCTCTAGACCAGATCCGCCGCCAACCAGGTTTTTCCAGATCTCGTCGTCTCTCCGGCGGCCAGCGCTCCTCGCGGCCGTCGGGGGAGGCTCTCCCCCTTGCTCTCTTCTCGGCGTCTCCCCCTCTCCGGCCATCTATTTATTTTTCCCGGCGGAGTGGGTTCGGCTTAAAGGATCTGCTCGGTGGCTGCTGACTGAGTGGACCGGCTTCTCCACGCATGAGAGGCTTTCTCGCCTCACGGCGGCTTCCTCTTGCTGCTTATGCGGCCGGTTTGGTGGCTCCTCAGTCGTCTCCCTGTTGTAGGTTCGTCGGTGGTGCGGATTTGGTCGGTTTTGCTTTCTGTCGTGCTGGATCGTAGTGGCTCTCCATTGGCGGTATCTGATAGTCGCCGGTGAGACTGCGTGAATCGGATGGAGGTCAGAGCTCCTTCCTTCCGGTGAGATCTGGTTTCTGGCTTTAGCTTCCGGTGTGGCTGCTTCTTCACCACCGGTAAAGCTTTTCTTTTGCTTGTTTTTGGTGTTGAGGTGGTTGAACGATTGAAGACCTATTCGGCTTTGGCCTGTGGTTCCTTGTGGAAAGTTTCGTTTAACTATGCTTGTGGAGGAGTTAGTAAGGCCGTTGGTTACAAAGGTGTAGCTAGCCTCCGTGCTCGCCGACTTCGGGGAATGAACTTGGGAGAGTGAGTGAGCTCATCTAGTTCTGATGGCCAGTGTAATTCCGTCTTGGTGTTGGAGCCTGGGTTTTGCTGGCTGAGCGTCGTAACTCAGATGTTGAGGACAGTCTGGTTCGAGCCTCTTCTAGCTCCTTGGAGTAATATCACTTTGGGCGGGTTTCCTGTGAACCAGCTTCCACTAAGCTAAGTTGATGTTTTTTTCCCACCATTCAATCCGCTATGGACTCCTCTCCGACCTTACAAGAAGTGTGTATCGCTACAGAGTTGATGATCAACTTCACGGTTGAGTGCCGACAAAGTACCAATTGATTATGCTTCCATGTTTTTTCATCTTTTTTTGCCATGGGACCATTTATTAGGTTTAGCTCTTTGTTAACACAATTTGTAAAACCAATCCTTTTCATTTTTAATGAAATATTTACAATTTAGCAAAAAAAAAAAGTATATTGTCCATGAACACTACTATGAAGAAGAAAACTGTACATAGAACTATAGAAGTGAACAAGTCAAACACGAGTTTTGGAAAATACTCAGCAATAAGTTCAAACTGAAACTCTTAAAAACACCCAACTATTCTTGCCTTCTTGGACATTAAAAGTTAAAACAAACCTAAAATCTCATACTTGAAGATGTTGTGGACAGAAAAACAAACCTAAAAATCTCAAATCGATGCGAGTACTTTGAGGGCTCTAAAGTATATATTGATTAGCTAAAAAGAGATTTTAAATACAGTGAAATTTGATTCTCAGTTACAGCCATTACCCAATAAAAACCATTTAGTTAGTACTTAAAAAGGGCAATTCTCAAATATATATATATGATCATATCAACATCCGCTACCAAAATTAACCGCAGTTTCAAACTCAGAAGTTCACCAACCGAAATTCTTCCAACCTACCCCCCTTACACATTATAAAATACTACATTTTCTTAAAACAATAAATGTAATCATTCTAAAATTAAAAAGATGCATTGTTACTTACCGAATTACATCCAAAGTCATTGTTATGCAATAATGCAAAATACTCTTTTATATAAAACATAGTGATTAGTCCAAAAGTGGGAACGTTGAACTTTTTTTGTCTTTTGGTAATACGTTAGGGACGAGAAAGTTGAATAAGAATAGTTATAGCAAATTAGCAGCAATCATCAAAAACCCAAACGACCAAACCTCATAATCGAAATTCGAAACCCCTGTGGCGTGGCCGTATCAATCGCCGTTAAATCATTTCCGTTCCGATTCAATCAACAAAAACAAAAAAACCTAATTTGGAATTAGAAATCACCCAAAATCGCTTCATATGGCAGAGCGTGTGGCTCTCACACTCAACAACAACCTCCTCCTCCTTTCTCCTCCGAACAACACCATGTCCTCTCTTCGCACCGCCGCTTCTTCTCGTCTCCTCTCCTCCTCCTCCAGATCCAGGCTCTCTCTTTCCGCTTCGTCTTCACCTTCCTCTCTCTCATTCACCAGATCCCTCGTCTCCTCTCCGCTTCTCTCTCAGGTACTCTCGCTCTCTCTCCCGCAAATCTTCATTTCATTTCTCATCATCTCCTCTGATTTTGGATTATTTTTTTTTCCCTCAGAAGAGAAATCCAGTAGCATCAGTGAATCGGAGCTTTAACTCCGCCGCCGCAACGACTAAATGCACATCAGCTTCTGATCCTGAGCAATTGAAGAGCGCTAGAGAAGACATCAAAGAGCTCCTCAAAACCAAATTCTGCCACCCAATTCTGGTCCGTTCTGTGTATAATCCATTTCTACTGATTCACTGATGGAGTATCACAATCCTCTTTACATTTCAAAACGAATTGTTCCTGTGAAGATATTTATATAGAGTTCTTGCTTGACTTTGCCAATTACTCTGTAACCTCTAGATGATGCAAATAATGTATTTATGTGATCATGATTGGAATAAGTACGTTTGAGATATTGATTTTGCTGCATCATCACAGGTTCGTTTGGGGTGGCATGATGCTGGTACGTACGACAAGAACATCAAGGAGTGGCCACAGAGAGGTGGAGCTAATGGAAGTCTGAGATACGAGATCGAGCTTAAGCATGCTGCTAATGCAGGTACCATCATCACTTATATATATAATTATACCACATGAATTGTTCGTTTCGCCGTTTTTAAACCATAGTCTCTTGATTTGGTGCTTTTAGGTCTGGTGAATGCTTTAAACCTGATTACGCACATCAAAGAAACCTACTCTGGGATCTCTTACGCTGACTTGTTCCAACTGGCCAGTGCTACAGCTGTCGAGGTATATTTCTCAAAACACTACTTTTTTTACTTGTTTGTGATGACGTTTACTTAAAGATTTCTGAGATTTTTAGGAAGCTGGAGGACCCAAGATACCTATGAAATATGGAAGAGTTGATACCACCGGTCCTCATGAATGTCCTGAAGAAGGAAGGCTCCCTGGTAAAGTTGCATCATTTATGATCTTTCAGTTGCGTCATTATGTTAAAAGCTTTACTAATTAACGGTTTCTTTTATCTGGTTTATAGACGCTGGTCCTCCTTCACCGGCTAATCATCTCAGAGAAGTGTTTTACAGGATGGGACTAGATGATAAGGTGAGATTTTTCAGTTGAATTTTCGTTAGTTAACGGAAGGGTGATAAGTAAATGATCTTTTGTTAAGTGCAGGAGATAGTTGCATTATCTGGTGCTCACACGTTAGGAAGATCAAGACCAGAACGTAGTGGTTGGGGGAAACCAGAGACTAAATACACGGTATTTGTTTCTTGAATAACGTATTGTTGATCGAATTCGTCATATTTTGGACTGTGTTAAAGTAAAACGGATTCATAAAACTGGATTTTGATTTATAGAAAGAGGGACCGGGAGCACCAGGAGGACAGTCATGGACACCAGAGTGGTTGAAATTTGACAATTCTTACTTCACAGTTGCGTTTCTGAAACATAAACTCTTGTGAGAATTTATCCGTTTTCTTCTCTCTTGATGTCTGTTGATATGATTGTTATTATTGTGACAGGAAATCAAGGAAAAGAGAGATGAACATCTCCTTGTTCTACCCACTGATGCTGCAATCTTTGAAGATCCGTCTTTCAAGGTACTAAAAGCTGAAACAATATATCAGTAGGAAGATATTTGTTGAGTCCTTGTCTTTAAAAGTTAAAGAGTTCAATGGAATTTGCAGGTGTATGCCGAGAAGTATGCTGCAGATCAGGATGCTTTCTTCAAGGATTACGCTGAAGCTCATGCAAAGCTCAGCAATCTTGGAGCTAAATTTAACCCTCCTGAGGTTTGTAGTCCTTATATTCCTCTCTTGATGCATATAACTTCCATGCCATTATCATCTTCATTGTTCTTGTATATCTCATCCATTTTTGGTACTTAGGACTTTGGGGGTCTCCATTGATGAATGTATTTGAAGGGGTTTAAGAAGTAATTATTAATCTTAATCTTTTGTGTTTTGTAGGGTATCACTATCTAATGGGGGACTTGTTTTACTCGTCCAGTGTAAGTTTTATTTTTCTTAATGTTTATTTTGCTGCCATCAATCAAATCCCAATGTTCACGAGTTTTTTTTTTTTTTGTTTTTTTTTTCAGCTTGTCTCTGGTTTTTTTACCACAGGACCTGTGAGTTTTAGAAAAATGTAGTTCAATAATGTCAGAAGAAAAGAAACGAGTGATGTTGAAATCAAACATGTGAGAAAGTTGTCCCGACGAAATTTTCTTACGAGTTTTGCAGTCATGCAGATATCTTTTGACCAATGTTTCTCCTTCAAAGAATTTACGGCGCAATTTGGGTTATTTTTTGTTTAGTTTGTGTCATCTTTTAACGTTTTTTGGCTTTTTGATGTTTCTCTTGTAATAAATTGCGAGCCAATATCTATACACAAATTGACGAGAACGAAATGGATATCAAGAGTATCTATACACAAACTGCGAGCCAAATGGTGTATTTTTACTAATCTCTCATAGTTGTGTGGCACCTAAATACATTTTGGAATTAGTTTGCAAGCCAAAATGTGTATAGCAAAACTACATGCTGAAATATAGATATTTCTTCCAAATTGTAAGATATAGGTAGAAATGCAAAAGATTAAGAAACAATTTTTCTAAACAAAAATTCATTGAGTAAATTAGTTAGGAATATAGTTCAGCTAATCATGACACATTGAAAAAACTAAAAAAAGTCCAAAAGTAAAAAATGTACACTTAGCTCACTTCATGGATTTGATCACCATACTAAATTCTATCATCTTAAATAACAGAGATGATTAAAATTAGACTATTCTTTAGTCGTGTAAGAGTTCTTGAAATCAGTTACACGGAATGAGATATTCAAGAACAATGAAGATGATATACATATACAGATTGACATATCTACTCTGCTTCTTCTAAGGTTTCCGCTAAAAATTTAATAAAATCTGAAAGAAGATGATCTTTCTCACTTTCTCTCCTTGACAACAATCTCCAATGGAGCTTAGCACAAGGGTCACATATATGCCTTCCCTTGCTCTTCATGTTTCCTCTCCCCATTATATGTCAGTAAATTGAAATATCTCCCAGATATATAAGTTAAACTTTTCCATCAGATGAAATGGAGTTTTGTATGGAATTTGTATTTAAAGAAGAAGTAGAAGATGATTTGCTGATAGAATTGGTGCCTTTGGAAGGAGCAGAAGAAAAAGTTAGTGGAAGCTTCTTTGGGAGCATTTGTTCCCAATGGACTTGAGGAAATCTTGAAGCCTCTGAGACAAGTAGAAGAATTGAGACAAGAACCAAGAACATGCACATTTGTCTGCTCAAAACAAAGGAAGACATCTTAACCGTACGTGCGATGGTGACTGAAAATGATCGAGTGATGAGAGAGAGATAGAGAGAGAGATGATTATGTATAAGAGACGATAGATGACCATCATAATGAAGAAGCTGCGCCTAGGTGTTTGGTTTAGGAAAGATGATGACAATTGGCCGACAAGCGAGACCACTTTTAATTTCTTTGTCTTAGTATTAATTTTACACTAAGAATGGTGTCTTTTGGAAGCTGTAAGAGTGCTAATAAGATTATCTTAATCCAACAATCATAACAACACGAGTGTTGTGTTTTATTTCTTTTCTTTTCCAATACAAAACTAAATAAGTTCTTGGAGAGAGAAGAAAAAGTGTTTTTGAGAAATGAACAAAAGGTTTTAGAATTAACACCTTTTTACACTTTTGTATCCTCCTTTACCAACAATGGTGCTATTTTCAATTGCTTATATTCGTTATATGTGGGTGATAAAGAATATGTAATCGTGTAATGTGTTATATCTTATAGCTAATTATGTGTGCCGTATATCGTACATTGCGTTATTATTGACAACAAGCATTTCCTTTTGCTAATGAAAAGGTATCATCTACAAAAAAGTAGTTTACTCTCAATTAACTACAAGCAATTTAGGCAACTCCAAGAGACAATCAAAAAGACTTCTCATGCAACAGAGAGATTATGCATTATTATATTTTTTACTATTATTATTAGGTGCTTCTCCGCTTTACACGCAAGATTTTGTTTTAAAAATTAGTTTTTGAATTTTGGAAAACTTGGCAATAATATTGTGTTTCTCCACTCTGTATTTCTTGCAACTTCCATTTCCTATAAACGAAACATTTTAAATTATCTTAACATTATTCACCTCTCAAACTTCTAATTAAAATTCCTTGTGGACGAAGAAAGAAGTCCGTGTGTTCCCATTTGCTTTTGCCGGCCAATATAATCCTTAAAACATTACACCAAATACTTATAAACCTTAAACGAATTGTCTAGACTTGTTTGCATGGTCAAGCAGCCATTTCTTGGACATGAGCACTGTCATTCTCGAGCTTCTTGATGATCACCAGTTTGTTGTTTATCTGGTCAACATCGAGAAGGATAGTGTCTTCCTCTTTAAATTCCCCATTCAAAAGTCTTAAGGAGATCTCCTTCTTCACAACCTTCTCAATCACTCTCTTCACTGGTCTTGCTCCATTGTTGGGATCAAACCCTAGTTGAGCAAGGAGATCCACAGCTTCTTTCGTGTACTCAAGACTTATTTTCTTTTGTTCCAACATCTTCTTCACACGTCTCATCTGCACCAAAAATGGTATAACAATTCATACATACCGCAAACAAAACCGACACAAACGGATCAAAGAATAAAATAAAAAGTGTAAAAATTACCTGAAGCTCCACGATCTTGGATAGTTCTTTTGAATCCAAAGGCTGGAAAACTATATATTCATCAATTCTATTGATGAACTCTGGCTTGAAAGTTTTTCTTGCTGAGTCCACAACTTGTTGCTTCATCACCTCATAAACCTCTTCTTTGCGATCTTGATTGTTCCGGAAAGTCTCAAGGATTTTGTCAGCTCCTATATTAGAGGTCATTATCACAAAGCAGTTTCTGAAACTCACTGTCCTCCCATGAGAGTCAGTGACTCTTCCATCGTCTAGTAGCTGTAGCATGACGTTGAAGACATCAGGATGAGCTTTCTCGATCTCATCAAACAGAACAACCGAGTAAGGTCTCCGGCGAACGGCTTCAGTCAACTGCCCCCCTTCTTCGAAACCGGAATAGCCTGGAGGTGCACCAACGAGCCGAGACACTGAGTTACTATCCATGTACTCGCTCATATCGATCCTCACTATCGCGTTCTCAGTGTTGAAAAGGTAACCCGCGAGTGCGTTTGCAAGCTCGGTTTTACCAACACCGGTTGGACCCATGAACATGAAACTAGCTATGGGACGGTTAGGATCAGAGAGACCAGCCTTTGAGCAACGTATAGCATCTGCTATTGACTCCACAGCCTTTTCTTGACCAATAACTCTCTTGTGAAGCTCTTCTTCCAACATGACCAGCTTTTCTTTCTCAGATTTCTGAAGATTTGACAGTGGAATGCCTGTCCACTTGCTTATTATCTCTGCTATTTGAACATCGGTGACACCGTGTGAGAGTAATGACTGTCCAGACTCTCCGGTATTTGTGAGATTCTTCTCTGCTTCTTCTAACTGGCTTTGGAGGGACGTTAGTCTTCCGTACTTAAACTCATCAGTACGGTCTAGACCAAGTTCACGTTCAGCGGATTTATCGACCTGTAAAACATAGATCATGTTTTAGGAAGTCATTAGGGTTTTAAAATGAACTAAGAGCCTGAGTGTGGAAATGTACCTCTTCTTTAAATGAACGTAATTTAGTAATGAGAGACTTTTCTTCCTCCCATTGATCAGTGAGTTCTTTCTGTTTATATTTGAGTTTGGTCAATTCAGTCTCCATCTTCTTGAGCTGTTCTTTAGAAGCTTTAGCATTATCTTTTTTCAAAGAATACTTTTCCATCTCCAGTTTGATTACAGCTTTGTCTACTTCCTCGAGTTCGGCTGGTTTAGAATAGGTCTCCATTTTCAGCTTCGCAGCAGCTTCGTCAACAAGATCAATAGATGAAACAAAACAAGTTTTTTCTTTTTAGAGCACAAACATTTTTGCCCTAGAAATAATAACTTGATGATCACGGAAAAGTGCCAAGTATCTCTACCTTTGTCCGGCAAAAAGCGTTCAGGGATGTAGCGGTCAGACAAAACCGCTGCTGAAACAAGTGAGTCATCTGATATCTTGACACCATGGTGTGACTCGTACCGTTTCCTTAGCCCACGTAGAATCGAGATGGTATCTCCAACAGATGGCTGGCCACAGTACACTTTCTGAAACCTACGTTCAAGAGCTGGATCTTTCTCTATGTACTTGCCGTATTCAGACAGCGTAGTTGCACCAATGCATCGTAGTTCACCTCTTGCAAGCATTGGTTTCAAGAGGTTGCTTGCATCCATTGTGCTATCTGTACCAACTCCTACACAAGGGTACAATTCACATATTAGAGCCATAGCCCTCAATAGCAGAGGCAATGACACATTTTAGATAAATTAAACATCATTTACTGATAAATAATCACCTGCACCAACAAGAGTGTGGATTTCATCAATGAACAAGATAGTCTTCCCATTGGAATCTGTTATTTCCTTCAGTACTGCTTTCAACTTTTCCTCAAATTCTCCTCGATATGTGGTACCAGCAACCAGTGAACCCATGTCGAGAGATATAACCTAAACATTTTAAAGCAATAATGTTACAATCTTCCTCTGGCCTTTTATAGATAAATAGGTAAAACAATTTGAAAGAACAAAAATGGAGTTACCTTCCGGTTCAAGAGAGGGTCAGGGACATCCCCTCTTACAATTCTTTGCGCCAACCTGAAAATTTTAATAAATCTCTCAGTAAAATATGAAGTTTCAAATATATTATGAACTAATTAAACTAGCACAAAGTGCTTGAAATCTCCTATATGAATTATATTATGTAAAAAAAAAAAAAAATAAAGTAACAAGCCTTATACCAACGATAGCAGTTTTGCCAACACCAGGTTCACCAATGATAACAGGATTGCTCTTTGTCATTCTGCATAGTATCTGAATGCAACGCTTAATTTCATCGTCACGTCCAATGAGAGGAGGGAGCTTTCCTTGTCTAGCCATCTCAGTTAAATCCGTGCCACACTTTTCAAGTTCACTTTCATCATCTGATTCATCTCCATACTTAATCCAAAGACAAAACCAATCGAGTTAATAAATAACATAACGTATGAAGATTCGAAACAGTAACACTGGAAATTAATCCACATATATGTAAGTATGTAACCGAGTACGAACCATAGACGAGAAGCGGTGAAGAGAAGGGAATTGGAGAGAAAGAGGTAATAGTTGGCCACGAGGGGCGGCTTGAGAAGCTGAAGTGATCTTGTTTCCGATGAAGGAGTTTGGCCGGGAAAGAAAGGAGTTGGGAGAGGAACGGGAGGAGCTGAAGTGAGCAGCAGAGGCAGAGAGAGGACGAGAACGGAGGAGGAGAGAGGGTTTTGAGAAAGCATTGTGCGCCTTTATGGCTGCTGAAACAGACTTGGAGAATCTTCTGGACGCCATGTCAAGCTGAATTTGAACAAGGAGGAGCTTTGGTTTAGTGCTTTAAAAGAAAATGGCCTCGGATGTTTTAAGATGCTTGGAGAAGAAGTAAACGACTGTTTGGAGTAGACGCAAAAATTGGTGCGTACAAGGACATAAAAGATTCGTACATATGTTAAAAATGGAAATATTACTACAGTAGAAATAAAAAGTTAAAAACAAAAGTAAAGACTAAAGACTATATATCAGTAATGTAAAGAAGTATTCATTAATCTAAGTTGCAAGACAACAACAATAGAATAATTCGTTTACAATATTTGTTTTAATACCAAAAGTATTGAGTTCCTAATATGCAATAATTTTGTATATATTGCGTAGTATTATTTTTGTGGAACATATAATATTAAATTTTTATATGTAGTTGAGATCTTGTCTGACCGTATTCATTGTATTAGTATCGTTTGATTAATTTCCTTTTTCCGAAATTGATTTGGACCATTTGGTAGACAATCCTTCCTAAGTATTCTTATTTTTTTTGTTTCTCTTATATAACTATTTCATATGAGGCAATAAACATGCTAAAAGCAAAACAGTAGAAAAAAAAACACGTAACCGGAATTTAGATGCAAAGGTTTTTCTTTCAACCGCAAATAAGATTCGAAAGCTGGCTTTATAAACTATAAAGAAACCAAAGATTACGATATACGTCCACAAAATGAAATACAAAGTTTATTAAGAACTCTCACAGTTGAACAAACTTGGCTAATATGGCCAGGTCCAGAATCTTGACATCAAGATTATCCTCTATCTTGACGATACCGTCCGACCCGTCGATTCCGATCAGCTTACCGATAGACCCACGGAACTGGCCGCCGACGATCTTCACACGATCATTCTTCCTCGGAGGAACTATCTCCAGTTCGCTTGGGATGGCCATTATAGTGTCACCTTCACCGCTAGACCCGAGAGACACTTTACATGTCCCATCCTGAACAAAAGTCGAAAGTAAGGTACTGTACGTAAGCTTTCTCTATATGCTACTTTGATAAAAACCGGAGTTAGTGGAAAGGATATAAAGACGAACCGAAACATCTCGGATGACCCCAACATTGCTTTCTTCTCCAGCCTTGTGTATTTCAACCAAAATATCAGGCATGAACCATGCTTCAGCATCCCCACCTGTGTAGCATTCAGAATAAAAGCTGAGAAAACTTCCATAAAAAATAGAATCTACTTGCGTGTGAAACAATTAGTTGAACAAGTACGATACCTATAACAGGAGACATGACATCGAGGCCAGTTCCAGGAGTCATTGGTTGTCCTCCGGGAGTTCCAGGTAAGTATGAAGTCGAGCTTGGTGTCATCGGTTGTCCAGGTGTAGATGGTAGGTAAGGACTTGGGGCATTAGCTGCATGAATAAAGTAATGTCAGAAAGAGACTTGCTGAGTAACTAACTACAGGCATAGTTTTTGGAAAAAGGTTCCATGCAATCTTACAATAGGTCGAACCATGATCTCTAGGTGTTCCCGCATCAGAGTAACTACCACCGGGAGTACTAGCCCATCCTGAGCCAGGAGTTGGTGCTTCGTATGCCCGTGAAGGAGGACTTCCCGGCTGCACACAAGAGCCAAACAAACAAATTTTTAAATCTTAATCTTAATCAATCATTAATAATAAGGTTGAAGGTAAAACGATACATGGATAATTCTTACCTGATACTGAGGACTCGTTCCCCAAGATCCCGGATTTCCATCTTCCCAGTTATCCCTACAACCATAATTTTGAGATATATCCAAGTTTACTCATCAAGATTTTACCATTCTTACATATGTTTTAAGATTTCATGGGGATATAGTAACAGAAGCTATGCTTGTATAACATAACAGACAACCTAACACTGATGCAGTAGAGAGAAAATCAACTTCTGAGAAATGTAACTACAAACTTACCTAGGTGGACTCATAGGCGTGTAAGGATTCCAAGCTCTATCACGCATGGGTGTCCGCATTCCATCATGGATCGGTGTAGCTGAAATTTACAGATATATAAACAAAGATTATTTAAGTGTCATATTCCATTAAGAAAAATGGATAGATATTTTGGATATTGAGCAATTCAAGAGCTAGAAAACAAACCTCCAGAGTCCCGCATTGGTGTCATGTAAGGATGAAGAGGAGTCCGGGACGGATGCATAGGTGTTTCGCTTCCCATGCTATACCGAGATGTATCCCTGTGTAGAATTCCGTTGATAAAATAATCAATGTCCTTTATGATAATAATAATTGAAGTCAAAAATAACCAATGAGATAAATTAGTAGATTACCGAGACGTTGTAGTTGCAGCCACATTATCTGATATTGCATCCCGATTAACTGCATATCACACTTTTGTTAGAAAATCCATTCAACATGCAGCAATCCACTGAGCGGAAAAAAGTGAAATACAAGGGCTTGCCTGTCACAATCTTCATCTCAAGTTCTACACGCACAGAATCTCCTTTCACTTCTACTACGGGTCCCCTATATCCCTTGAAACGTCCTAGACGGATTTTAACAGTAGTACCCAGCAACGAATTTTCTCCGCCTCCTCTTCCACCCCTTCCCCTCCCTCCACCTGCATTTAAAGATACAAATAGGAACATGTCAAACTGTATGTCACCATTTCACAGAAGATATGCATAGCAATAGCAATATTTGGTATAAGGCAATAAATCCATTGTACTACCAGAAAACCGAACAAGTCATATATAGTGGAAATCATTCCCCTATCCTAGAGTAATAGTTAGAGCAGCGGACCAGTGAAGAATGCAAATATCAACTAAACAAAACATTTGGTTTTCTTGCTCATAGCCAAAATAGAAATAAGAAATCTGAACCTACCGTTATATCCCATGCCTCGGCCTCCGGGTTGAAATCTTCTTGGAGATGAGGGCACTGGGGCGGGTGCCTTGAAATTACTAAACCTATCACCACCCTAGGGTAGAAAAGTTGCTACATAAGGTGAATATACAGTTCGATGAATCACATAACAAAATAGTGGCAACATCACCAAAAAAGCGCTTACATTTCTATTTGCACCAGAACGTGATCCACCAACAACAACGCATGATGTGCTTTTAGCGCAGATAAATCCGGCATGCTCAAGGTGATGCCGATCATATATAAATAAGACTCCTTTGTAAATATGCCTCACAGGACCTTGTTTACCCTAGTATATACAAAATATTTGATATGAGATCAGGAATGTTGAGCATGGTAACCAAAATTAAGCAGACTGCAAAAGTACTCACTTTGCTAGGACCCTCGATAACTCTGACACCATCGTTCACATTAATGACATTTTTGTAGCGATCTTGACCACCTATTTTCCTATCAAGTTTGCATTTGATTTCTCTGAGTTTGACAAGAGCAACCTCTGGTCTGTCAGGAACCCCTTTAAGAACCTAAGGACAATAACAGAGAATTATTCCTAGATTCCATGCGGTGTTTAGTACAAAACAATATCCCAATTGAAAATTCTTAAATCGTGGCAGCTACGCCTTGACTTAATTTGGCAATTTACCTGAAAAGCTTCATTCTCTAGTCGTATAATTACTCCAAAGGTCATGTTACTGCATCAAAATATAAAGCATTCATACGCGTGTAAATGGGAAATATGATTCACTTGAAGGTGACTATACCACTTACTCTAGAAGCACAAGATCATGAAGTTCATATTCCCCAATTTTGGTAACACCAGTTGTCACTTCTGAGCTCTTAACAACATGATCAGCAAAGACACGGACCTACAAGTATGTTCTCTTGTGAATTAGTCACCCTAATATTTAAAAATAAACACAATTCATATACAAAAGTTGGCTTACATGTTCTTTGGTTGTGTCAGACAGAATGATAAGCACATGCTGATCAACTTTAACAACCATGCCTGTTGCTCCTTCATGGGTCCCAGAAACAACCTTCACATGATTCCCAGGTTCAAAGTACTTGCAGAGCTCTTTCTCGTTTACAGCAAGAGGATCCTGCAACCATCGTTACAAAGAGTCATGCTCGACCATTTTTCATGGCTGTATAATTTTATAATCATGCAAGCAGTTACGAAAAGCCAAAGGGTGTAACGATGCTTACAGGAAGACCTTTCATTTCTGATTTGATAAGAACATTTTCTTCATCTACTTTCTCAACCCAACCCTTCAAGTTTTTTAGATCTCCCTTGATAACAATAACTGCATCACCCTTCATGAAATGACCTTTCTTTCTGTTTGCAAATAAAGTTGAGAGACCACCAAAGTCGCTCTCTCCATTTTCACTTGGTTTATTGAATTTTTCAAGTTCGTCAAAAGTTGGTGTAACATTCAGAGCAGTGATGGACTTCAACGATACGTTCTTGTACAGGAAACCATCTTTGAAACGCATGCCATCAATATTTTCAAAGTAATCACCCGTCCTGGGATCACGCCGGCGCTCCACACGTATATGCAATTCCCTATAGCCAGGGAACAAATTTTGAAAATCCAGAGCTTTTATAAAACCTTCTCCGTAACAAGATGTATAGAACAAAAGTACAATAAACAACTTCTAAAAGGACTACCTCGCTTCATCAATGTTCATGAAACGTGGAGGTGGAACAAAGGCTTTTTTCTTCGCAACTTCTCTTCCATCCTGCAATGAGTCAACGAAAGTTTGCTGCCTAAATATTTGTATGCTTGAAATGACTAGAGCACACTTCGAAAACCTTAGAATATGAGGCGAATCTTAGTACTTTCCTACAACATGCTAAGTCGAACTATTACTCTATTAAAATTGTTTACCAAAAACAAATAGCACCATCTTTTTCTTAAGCATGGACAGAATTCATACCAGCTTAGAGGCTAGAGCCTGCAGATCAATTCTTGGGATTAACTTGACTGTGACCCTCTGACGCACATCATCAACATCATCCACCTACAAAGGACTTCCATGTCAGCAGCAGTCTATGGGCCTGGGTAGTTTTACCAATGAAAACACACGAAAATGGATCATACCTTAGCAAGATCTCCTTTATACGTCCCGATTTTCATTCGAACCCAGGTATCCCGAGATAGATCAATTGCTTTGCTTTCAACAGCAAGGACATCAGTCATTTCTCTTATAGGGACAAGTAAGATCTTCTGATTAGTAAATATATTCCGCATGCCCTTGATTGCCTAACACAAGTGAAAGAAAAAACACAAATATTGTCTTCATAACCAGTCACAACACTCATGAACACTATCACTGGCGCAGAAGATCAAATCACATACCTCTTTCACATGAGCTTCCTTGTCTGCTTCAACGTAAATATAACTTTTCAGATGGTCAAGAGCAACAACAGATCTGATCTGCAACTCTGATCTTTTATCTATGAATTTTTGCATAAGACAGACCGCAACCTCCCTTTCACGGCCAATCTGACATTGCAATGTGAAAATCAGGGAGAGGAGAGTCAATTCCAAGTACCACAGAACAGAACATTAACGTATGAAAAAACGTACCGCACATTTCACCATCCACAGTTTGGGATCACGGACTGATGGCAAAAGCGCTTGTTGCTCCACATCTGTAGCTTCTTCATCATACTCTTCATGATGCCTAGAGTACCGCTCTTGAATCCTCCTCTCGAGATCTTCCACATCCTCATTGTTTTCCTCATCAAAACCCCGTTCGTGATACCGTCTTCTTTCAACACGCTCATCAGGAAGGTCGGTTCCATGTTCGATGAAATCTGCATCAAAAACCAGAAACAAAAAAAACTTTCAACTACGGATAATTACGGATTTTGTGAACGAGACCATATCCATAGCTTATCAAATCGTGACTTCAACGTTCAGGATAATTAATCAGCAGAGAAAAAATCTCAATCACACTAAAAAAAAACCACTGATTTGCATAACACGAATCTCAACTATGCAAAGTGTTAAAATAAATCAAATCGATCCCAACGAATCCAATTCCGAAATCTTACCGTCTTCTCCTTCCTCTTCTTCCTCTTCATCCTCATCATCAACCTGGTGAGCTTCGCTGTCTAAGAAGATGGAAGCTGAAGACTTCTTTCTCTTAGCTCCTCCCTTTCCTCCTTTTCCTCCACGGCCATCGTAATCTTCATCATCGTCATCGTCTTCCTCAGAATCCTCATCCGCATAATCATCAACATAGTCCGATCTCGCTCTCTTCTTTTTCGAGCCGCCGCGACTCCCTCTCTCTTCCTCCTCCTCTAATTCCAATCCATCGTAATCTTCGTCGACATCATCGTCTTCGTCTCTGTGGGGCGGCATGGTCTGATTACAGAAATTAGGGTTCCTGATCTGGGATCCTCAAACCTAGAAATCGCAATCGCTCTCTATCGCTCTTTCTCGCTCTCTCTCTGGCTGCTAACTACGGGTTTTTACCTTGTTCCCTCTTCGTTTTGTATGAGAGAAGAGAACCCTAGAAAATGTCTGAGGAAGTGGAAAGGGGAAATATTTCGAAGAGCCTGCTGCTTTTAAGATAGAACTGTACCGGAACGAACCGGACCGAAATCACGGTTTTAATATCCCGTGTTCATCAACCGGTATTGACATTGGACCGGAATCATGCTTTTTAAGAAGTAAGTGATCTCTTACTTCTTCGAATCCGATCGTTACTAGAAGCAGCGACCACGACATTGGTCGTGGGGAGGTTGTGAAGAAAGAAGTTAAAAGTCACACCGAATCAAAGTGGGACACGATCTTCTTCTTCTTTCAACCTATTGAACCTTGCTTCGTCTTCCTTCTCTCTCCTCTGTGTCACGATCGATCAATATCATTTCTTCGTTTAATCCAATTGGGAAACTATTGGAGGCTTTGACTGATTTCGAGCCGGCGATGGAGAGATCGGCGTCGGTGGGTATCAACGACGGCCGATTTGGTGGCAATCATTTCTATTCTCCGTCTTTTACTTCGTCTTCTTCCATGAGACATGTCAGTTACAGGTAAAAGCTTTCTGTGTTTGAACTGTATTCCTGTATCGAATCTTAGTCTAGTTTTTGGTTGTTGATTAGATTTGTTTACTAAAATTAGGTTTTTGTGATTTAGGGGAAAAAGATTGTTATGTATTTTAGTGAACTTTGGCGAAAAACCTCCACCTGACACAAAAACCCTTTTGTCCAGAACTATGAAAGGATAAATCTTTTCTTCTTTGAATTTTTTTATGTTTTCATATTTAGTTTTGGTTCATTACTTTATGGTTATTGTTATGTGGATATGATGTGAATCGAATGAGCTCATGAATCAGTATGTATTGTCAGATATTGAACCAAACGCCTTGTAATTTTCTTGCAGTTGTGGATCTTGTGGCTACGAACTAAACCTGAGCTCGACGAATCGGATCACATCTTCGATCGGATCGAAGTATGGTAAATCCATGAAGAGTGGAATCATATCGTTCTTCAACATTGACGAAGGAAGATTCAGTCAGGTGGATGAGTTCCAATGCATGCCACACTTCTCAAGATACTCTTGGGGTTTGTTCAGACGCAGAACCAAGCTTCTCTGTCGAAAATGTAACAACTACATCGGCGACGCGACTCAGGAGAAGACTCCTGAGTACGCACTTGTAACACAAAACTCGGAACCGACATCGCCTAGGAACGGTGTCGCTGGTACTGTCATGAAGTATGACATCAAGATTCGCTCGCTTCAACCTTCGTTGTGATTGCTTTATTCAAACTGCTGTATATACCCGCTCTACCACAATCTTCAGAGTATCAAAATTTAGATCCTCTTCAAGTGTGTTGTATCAGGCTTGCTGGTTTGGCTTAGTAACAATTTGCCTTTTGTTTCTGCAAAAACTTTGAGCTTAGAGTGAAATTCACTTGCTTATTAATGTTAAAGCCATCCAAATACAGTATGTATCTGATAGTAAAATTTTGATTTCAAATATATTATTTTTCCACTAAGGTTTTAACCAAAAGGAGTTTAAATTAAACATATCACACTTCACTACATCATTCTGCCGTTGTTACAATTCAAAACCTAACAAAGTCTTTTGTACCACAAACTCAGAAATCATATAATTTTAAAAACAGAGAATAGAATCACACATGATTCTAAGGTTGATTTCCAGGTGGTCTTTCATGTGCACCTTGAGGATTGTTATTATTACCAGTAGTGCCTTCCTGTGACCCTCCTCCAAACATCTGCATCATTGATCGTAACGCACCCGAGAACTCTACCGGCACTTGGTCCGCGCCTCCGATATCAAAGTTGATAGGTCCTACATGAACCTCAGGCCCATCCACACGAACCTCAGGCCCATCCATACCATTTCCGTTACCATCTCCTCCTCCTCCTCCTCCTTCTCCTCCACCGTTACTGCGAGAATGATTTACCGGGAATGTGTTTCCGGCCATGTTCATGAACATGCTCATCAAATCAGGGTTTAAAGGCATCGAGAACTGAGATGGCATTCCCTGGCCTCCTCCCATTTCCGGTTCTTGATTGTGTCCCGTGCTCGTATTCTGCTCTTCCAAACACCATAAAAGGTTTAATTCCTTTGGTTTCTCGTCTTCCTTCAACTAATCCGTTAAGATAATTACTTACCTGACTACGTCTCTGCCGTTGCTGTTCTTCTCTTAGCTTTTGTTCAGCCACCTGTGTTTCGCAAACTTGTCAATATCAGACTCTCTCAATCTAAATTCTATAATGAATCATTATCAAAGCAGAGAAATGTATTAAAGAAAACAAAACCGACCCTGATGTTTTCTTTTACAGATTCGTTATGCGGATCCAGCTGCAAAGCTGTCATGAGTGTGGCGAGAAAAGGTTACACAGAATAAATGCTAGCTAACTTGCAGAAGCAAAGTCCTAACTTAACAAAGAAGTTCGGATAGATTCTAAAGAACGCTTATATTACCTTTCTTGAACCCTTTCTCGATGGCATCAGCATACTTTCCTTGAGCATAATATGCTAAGCCAAGTCGACTGTACGCTTTACTATAATTTGGATCAATCTCAATTGATTTAACACAGTCCTTAATTGCTTCTGAGCACCTGTTGATCTGTGTATATGCAGCGGCCCTGAAAAAAAGATTTTGTTTCTGTGAACTTTAGTAGATCACTGGAAATTGAAAAATATCTAAGCAAGTCGAAATCAGATACATACAGGAAGCACAACACCAAAGTGCAACAACCTTAAGCTTCAAGATTACGTATCAAGATAAAGACTTATCACTCACCTGTTGCAGTAGAAAACAGCGTTGTTATCCGATAGCGCAATTGCGAAAGAATACAGCTCGATTGCATCCAGGTAAAGCTGGGACTGCATTGCATTGTTACCTAAAAAGCAGAGAATGTCACATAAAGATCACCATTGATCTCGCAAATACCATAGGCTTGAGGGAAGAACCAAAGAATAAGGAGACAGTTCCATTGATTTCGCAGAAATGGATAACAATGACAATGACAAGTACCTTGGCTCTTGAGTGTTTCTGCCAAGTTTTTCACATCAAAAGTTTGGCATCCAGACTTTTCCATTTCCTGATATGCAAAATAAGAAACTCAGTACCACCAATAGAAGTAAGAAAAGAAGACCGTCAATGAATGAAGTCAACAAGAATACAAAAGCCTACATTAATTGCATCATGAAATATTTTCGTTGCTTTTTCCAGCTGAGCAGGATCATCATCTCCATCAGGTGTGCTCCTAAAATACCGTACTTTCTCAAGCGCACCCAAGAGTTGTGTAAAGAGTTCGTCTCTACAAGTTCCTGCAACAAGAGTCCATAATGAATTTACAAACCTCTAAAACCATCTATCAATATTTATGGCAACTATATCCTTCATTCCACTACAGTGGCCAACACTCACATTGATCCAAATGAGCAGAAGCAAAACTATTACTTACCAGTAAAGAGAGGCTTTTTGCTTGCATTCACTGAGACTTGAGGATGTGACAAGTTAGGACCTGACGAGGAGCTAGGCTCATTGATTGTAACCCCTCGAGTGGTTTCCACAAAGCTAGGCACAGTTTTATCCAATGAAGTGAACATATTGACAAGCGAAATGGGATTCAGCTTATAATCTCGTGTAGAATCTGAAGTGATTTTAAACGATTCCTTTAAGCATTCTTTAGCAACCTCAAGCCCTTCTTCGTCAACACCAGGAGCAACCTCAACTACAAAGGAACAATCCCAGAAAATAAGCCCCAAATCACTTCTCTTTCTCTAGTAAAATCGATGAGGAATTGCTCTTCATAGTCGGTCTAGGCATTCGTACATGTGTATAGAAACGAAGAGAAAGTGTATCGTGCTTACCGGAATCGAGAAAATCCAAGAAAGAATGGACAATTTTCCGGGAGACTGGAGAATCCGTCGTGAGTTTCGCCATTGGAGAAAGAGAGAGAGAGAGAGGGGAAGAGGAGAATCTGGAATTCGTGTTTTTTTTTGCTTTTCCGATTTCGAGTGTTGTTCGAGGAAGCCAAATATTCAGCACCGTTTGGAGACAGGGTTATGATAGTCCTGGGATTAGCTTCTTCTTTGGTTTATCCGTTTGGAAACAGGGTTATTATGTTAAACTGTTTACCAAACAGATAGATATCCAAAATCTGGTAAATTTGCAAATATGCCATTTGACTGACACGTAAACGCGACTTTGACTATTGTGTTTTCTTCTACATCGACTTGGTTCTTCTCCTTCTACTTGCTCTTTCACTGAGAGATATGTCCGGCGATTCGAAGACCTCGGCGGCCATGGAGATCGCCGACAAAATTGATTCGAACGACGCTAAGGCAGTAGATATCGAGTTACAGATTCTTGCGACTATGCGTTCCCGCGCAACCTACCTCAGAGAAAAATCAGAGTAAACAAATAGCTTCCTCGAATCTTAAATCTCTAAAATTGTTCTGTGTCTTGCAAATTATGTTGCTTCTATTGAAATCTCTAGTAAATTTCTGATTTTCTGTTCGCGTATTTCTGTTGAATTTAATGGAGGATGGTTCATACGAAGAATTGAATACCTAGGTCAGAAATGAATATTAGGAATTTCTGGGTTTTTTTGGCCATTTCTGAAATGTTGTAATATGACATTAGTTTATGCTCAAAAAGATTGTGAAAGTTGTTAGAAAATTCATGGAAAGCAGAAAGAATCATTTGGAATTTGCTTTGTTTTTGGCAGCTCTCTTACCCTTGAGAGTGTGAGGAGGTTACTGGAGAAGGACATGAAATTGGAGAAGCATGCTTTGGATGTGCATAAGAGCTTTGTTAAACAACATTTGGTTGAGGTATTGATTCACGAAGATAGAGAAGATTTGCTGTTACTCGCAGCTGAAACTATTTTGACTAAATCATGTGTTTGACAGTGCTTAGAAGGTGTTGAAGATGAGGGCACTTCAGAGAATTCTCAAGAAACTGAGAAGAAAGATGATGCAACTCCAGTGAAAGAAGAAGCAAAGTTATCTCAAGAGCACAAGGCGGAAAAAGATGCCAAGGAAGATACGAACGGTGATGATGAGAAGATGAAAGATTCACCAGTGATGGGACTTTTGACAGAAGAAAACACATCCAAATCTGTAGCTGAGGAAAGCAAACAAGTCCTGAAGAGTGACATCAAGAAAGCCCTTCGTAAAAGGTCTTCTTACATTAAGGCTAACTCTGAGTAAGTCGAATTACGAAAACTTTTTCTTCTTTATGTTTAGGGTTTATAATCTTGGGAGATGAACTTTTCTTGGTTTATACTTTGCTTCAGGAAAATTACAATGGGCATACTTCGTAGACTTTTGGAGCAAGATCTTAAATTAGAGAAGTTTTCTCTTGACATACACAAGAAATTCATTAGTGAAGAATTAGAGGAAGTGAGTAACTAAAATTTGACTATGTATCTTTTTTTTAAGTTAATAACCTTTAGAGGTACAGTCTTCTGATAGCTTCTATTGGCTGATTAGGTACTACAAGCTTTTGAAGCTACAAAACCATCAGCTGAGTCCAAGAGGAAAAATCTAACCAAGAAGGTCAAGAGCACGTCAGCTAAAGAGTTAGACAGTGAAGATGAAATGTCTGATTCAGATGGTGAGGACGAGGAGGAAGATGACAAGGAAGTCGCTGTAAAGAAGAAGACTGCTTTATCAAAGTCAGAAGGAACCGGAAAGCGGAAACGTGAGAAGGAGAAAGTTGCATTTGCAAAGAAGACTAAACAAGCAGATTCAGAGAGCGACAGTGATGAAGGAAATAATGTATCCTCTTCATCTGTGAAGGTATAGCAGTTTTCTTGCAGTTGTTCCAATCTCGGATACCAGTAAAACTGTGTAGAGTTTTCACGGTTTTGCTGTATCTTTCAACTGCAGAAACAGCAACCTGCAACGCCTGTGTACGGGAAGCGTGTTGAGAAACTTAAAGCAGTCATAAAGTCCTGCGGAATGAGGTTTTGATCAGACCTGGTAGATTTTTTTAAAAGCGTTGTTGGTTCATATTGCAGAATCTTGATTTTGTGTGTTTTTTTGGCAGTGTTCCTCCTTCGGTTTACAAGAAAGTCAAGCAGGCTCCTGAGAAGAAACGCGAGGATACTCTGATTAAAGAACTTGAGGAGATACTTACCAAAGAAGGGTTGTCTTCTAGTCCTTCAGAGAAGGGTAATGTTTTACATTTTAAGAAGTTTATTCTATTCTGGATCCAAAAAAACATGTAGATGAAAGAAGTTGATGCTTGAAACTATTGACAATCTGTAAATGGGTTTTACTTGTTCACAGAGATCAAAGAAGTCAAGAAGAGAAAACAAATAACAAAAGAGCTTGAGGGTATTGATACAAGCAACATTGTCTCGAGTTCAAGGAGAAGATCAAGTGCAGGTTTTTTTGTACCTCCTCCAAAGCCGAAAATAGTTGAAGAAAGTGAGAGCGATGAATCAGAAGATTCTGAGAATGAAGAGGATGATGATGAAGAGGTTGAAGAAGACGAAGAAGGAGAAGGGGAAGATGAAGAAGGAGAAGGAGAAGTAGAAGACGAACAAAAGGGAGGTAATGAGGATAGCGGATAAGAAAGTGAAACCTAAAAAGAACAAAACACCTGTATGGATTCTACTCGTCTCTTGTAATTCATTTACATCAAATTTCAGGACTTTTTCTTGATGAAAAAAAACCTGATGATTAATTTGGTTTGGCTGCAGAGGATGGTGGTGAAGAGGAAAGCAAATGATTCTACAGAGGATGGTGGTGAAGAGGAAAGCAGATGATCTTACACTCATTAGCTTTCTGCTTAGCTTTGTCGCAGAAACAATGTGGCTTAGTTTCTCTATGTATTGTAGGAGAGCTGTGATATTTTGTACTTTTCTTTTGGTGTTAATCATATTTGTAACAGTAGGATGTGGATTTTAAGACATGCATTATAATCCTTGTCTCCTTGATTAGGTTTTAAAAGGTAGTTGTTATTTATAAGATAGTACTCCAAATTAAAGTAGTTATGTTTCTTGAATTAGCCAAATTGAGATTTCTACACTTTCCCGTGATAGTCCACACGAACAAAGTACAAACATATTTGTTATATATACTGTAGTCTTGTAACCAACACCGAAAACTTGGAAACGTAAAAAAAACATAAAAACAAACAAGAAAGATAAACAAATTTCCCTTCTTGGAAATTTGGTCTTTTCAAAAATTGATAGCAATTTCTTAAGTTGTAGCCACACTTTTGTCCGGTGCACCCTCCTTTGGTTTTGCTATATTGGTGATCGGCAACTCATGCAATCCAGTTTTTTCCTCCTCCAAAACCACTTCATCTTTAGCTTTTCCCCACACGACGCTGTATAGTCCAAATACTATGAAAATCGCCCCTATTATACTGCATAAACAAAATTATACAAATACTCAGTTCTACACTTTTACCCAAAAGATAAAAACCTAGTTTTATATAATTACATAGAATCTAGTTGTATATGTGAGTTATAAATGACAAAAAGATATCAAAGAATCATTCGTAAAATCAATAATCATATAACATTATAACGTATTATATATTTTACCTTCCGAGATGGATCATTTCGGCCAAAACTAAGGCACCGAGGAAGGCAGTGATGATCATGCAGAGAGGAGTAAACGAAGTTGCAAACACTGGGCCTCGTTCCCGTATCACAATGCCTTGTATGTAATACGCCATCCCCGAGCAAACCACTCCCTAATATTAACCATATAATTAACTTAGTAGTAGTTACTAGTTACTGATGTGATTGGTTTAAATAGTTAAAACATTGAAAAACTTACCGAGTAAACAGCCGCGAGTAAGCCCGAGTCCATGCCGATTTTCCATGCGCTCAAGTCACGCACCATTATGAGCGAAGCACCGGCGTTTAGGATCGTCCCCATCCCGCATATCCACATCACTAGTGAAAGCTCCGCCGGGTATTTTTTCAACGTGAATGACTGAAAAATTTTACATTAGTTTTTATATATTTAATCTTAAAATATGTAACGTTGGAAACGCATACGCACATGTACTGCGTAAACACTAAAGAGATGCATGTAGGAATCGTAATAGGATAATTAAGTAAGTGATGTTTGCTTACTTGTAAAATGAAGAAACCTGCCCAACTGCTGATACTACCCATAATCATTAGGGTTCCGGTAACCCAGTGTTGGTCGGTTGTCTCGGAGGAGGAGGAGCCGCTGTGAAATGAGTTATGAGCGGCCTTGACGAGTTGGATGGCTGGACCCTTGTACAACGTCATCACCATAGCTCCTCCAACTGTTATTGCTGTTCCAACCACCTTTGCAAGACTACGTACCTTCTTCAAATCCACAGTTTCTAACCTGATTATATTAAGTAAATCTATTATCAAAAATAATGAAATTATGGTATAACATTTTCAACAGTTGCTAGTAAATATTGTAAAAGTACAAGAAAATATATATTGTGTGGAAAATAACCTGAAAATGACAGCCATTATGAAGGTGACGGCGGGAAGTGCATTAAGAAAGGCAGAGCTGTACGTTGCTGATGTGGCTTTCATTCCTATGTAGTAGAAGTTCTGGTCCATAAGCGGTCTGGATAGACAACAAATACAATTTTTCAGTTTATTATTATTGTAGCTTTTGATCATGTATATGCTTTTATGTTACATCATTATCAGATTCTTTCGTTTCACACTACCATCCTCTTAAAAGATGATGGAAACACGCATAGCTATGAGAAGACGGTAATGATAAGTGATGATCTCATCAAGAATATTTACGACTAGAATCTTATCGTATGGTTTCTACCAAACTAATGTGGTTTTTTATACTGTGTACGTGCCTTCATGTATATGCTTTGAATATTGGTTTCTTCTAATATTTTTCTTTCATAATTAAGACCAAAACTCAGATTACTCTCCATATTCTTTAGAAAGCCGTCTTGTTACTGAGGACGTCTACAATTACTAAGAAAGATTATAATAGATGCTACAATTACTAAAAACAGATGTTGGAACGTGAAGCAAGATCCTTTCTTTACAAAAGAAAGCCACAGCAAGATCGTATGAAAATCTCGATATAATCGTATCATTCAAATGCATACTATTTATTATGTATAGATCACGTATAAAGAAGGGAAACAAGTTTTATGTATATGCGGATCTTACTCTAGAACTCCGAGGGCAAGAATCCTAAGGAACAATGGCCATGTCATCTTAGGCCTTATCTTCCTGAAAAGTGCAAATGAATTATAAATTAAAATAGAGAGAATTGCATTTTACAAAGCCACCATAGCTCTAGATAATATAACCAAACCATGCATGCATATTCACGATATAAACATACCTCTCTAGAATGAGAGCAAAAGGAGCGATGACAATGGTGGCGACGACATGTCGGTACGTAGCAAGGATCCAATGGTTCATGCCATGCTTGAAGGAGACCATAGTTATGATATACATGCCTGCATATCCGAATTGGAGTGATATGATCGCTATTATTGGCTTCAATTTATCCACCTTACCACCTTGCTTTTCGCCTCCCTTCATTTTTTTTTCTTGAGCCGAGAGTTATTCGTATACTTGTGTATTTATTATGTATGTTTGTATATGATATTATATATAGTATTTTGTTTCTCTCTCTCTAGATACGAGATGTTTCGTGAACGATGGAGAGTTGCTTGTTTGAGACAGGCAAAACCAAGTGGAAATGGCCCCTTCTTATATAGTCATCAAAAGTTGAGTTTTAAAGAGAAATAACATTATTTTTTTCGCTTAATAATACGTCTACGTATCTTTTCGAATAATGGAAATATGAGTAACTAACATGAGAACCTCTCCCAACAAAAAAAAAAATCAAATGAAACCGAGAAAAAAAACGATGAAAGCTATGAAACGTTTGGTAAATTTTCGTTGAAGGCTTATCAAGGCCCTCTATTGATTTATTATGTGCATCTCTACTGTCTTTTATAGGTATATGAGGCATTGTGATGAATCAAAATCTGAAGTATTTTCATATTCTGCGGAAGCCCAATCAAACCAAACTTTTTTTTAACAACTTTTAGATTAAAACTTAAATGTCACCGGTTACACTTGTACTGTAGGGTCGACTTTTCGCATTCTTTGCGAGTAAATCTGCCTTATCGTTCTCAGATCGCGAAATGAAACTGAAAGAGATAGAGGAGAACATTGAGGCGAGAGTTTTAACATCGAAGAGGATCCCATAGATCTCTGCGATTTGCTCTTGCATGTTGATAGCTCGGACGAGGTCTCGAGCGTCTGATTTGAGGTGGATGGTTGTGATTCCGATCTCTAGCGCGTGGTTGAGGGCGGATCGAAACGAGAGGGCTTCCACCATTAGCAATGATGTTACGAAGCTTCGGATGCTTGTCCGTGGTCCAGATTTATGCCGGAACTGTCCGTGAAGATCCATCCCGAAACCAAAAAAATGAACTAAACCAATCATAGTTGGATCCTGAGTGGATCTATATCTAGAACCCGGAAAAGCCCAAAACCATGATAATCTAAAGCAAACCGAAACCCGAACCTGACCCGAAAAACCCGAACCAATTTTTTTAGTCAAACCCGAAAACTTGGAAAAAACCCGAAAAAACCCGAAAACCCCGAAAAAAAATTGAACTGAACCCGAAGAGAAACTTTAAAAAGTCTGAATAGTTTCTATATCTCTAAACCCGAAACCCGGAAAACCCGACCCGAACCAAAGTCTCATGCCTAATCCATCCCTAGCTCAAATCTTGTCTTTTGAACTATTTTTTCTTCTTCTTTGACATCTTTTAAAGCATAAAATTTGATATTTATACTGTATACAAATAGGTAAAATAGGGAAATATCATCCACAGGTTTGACGAACTGCATTTATGGCTTTGATCATTCTGTTGATCGCATGTAGAATCTTCATGCCAAACTGACATGTATTCACAAAAACTGGCATAACTTTCCAACCGCTCATCCAAAATGCTTCAAACTAACGACAAATGAAAGCTTAAACTCAACCAATCCCTGTGTAGTTCTTCATTGAGTTCTTTGTTCATAAGTTCCTTTAAAACAAATTTTCTTATTTTGCATGCAAATACTCGTACGTCTATCACACACTCATTCTCACTTGCCTTTTTGTGTACATTAATTGTTCTTCACAATTAATGAAAAAACGATTCCCTTATTTCTTTTCTTTTTATAACATTAGTTCCCTTATTATTTTAACTTCAACCATGAGATTCCCTTATCCATTAGTGACTCAGTACCAGACCAAATATATGTTTCAGATTCGAATCCTCAATATGCTGCTAGAATCAAGTGATATGATTGGAGTATAAAAATGATACAACTTTTAGAATAACAAAAAGAATGAAAAGAAAGGAGTGGATAACTCAAAGTGGACCTCTTGGTAATCAATAATGCATTATGCCTAAATCTAAACTTATTTATTCTAGGGGTGTGTTTTGTTGGTTTCCTACACATCGTTTCATAAAAGAAGTGGAATTTTTACTCATTGACCATCCAATGCTGTATTGTGTTTGTGCTCGCAGGTGACGTAACAATTTCCACATAATCTCGCACTAAACTTGAATGTATAACAACTATGGACTATAATCGAGTACTTCATTGGTTGGCATGGTGTAAAACTTGTCTGCCACAATTCGTCGGATGAATTGATTTTAGACTCTTTAAGGAATATAATCTTGGTCCCCTAAACGTAGCAAAGTTTTTCTGGTTCAATATTAATCGAAAGCTTGATTCTTTTCTCGGCAAGTATCATATATTTACGACACAACAGTTCTCTACATGTACTGATCTCTCAAAGATATATTAAATCTTGCAATTTGTAAATGCAACGACTAAAAGTTTCTGCAAACCTAAAAGATCAAAGATAGACAACCCCGCAACGAAAAGAGGCTCGTACCGTGTTGATAGTCCTTGGAACTTTAGGAGTTTATATATTTATTTCTACAAATCATAGACAGTTGCCCCTTAACCGAAATGTTTCTACAACTTGTATTTCTCTTTATCTTATTTCTTAATAGGGACTAGTCGAGTCGTCGACTAGAGAGTCCAACTTTTCTGCATGTTGTATAGCGTTCGGTACCAAAGGATTATCAAGTCATTTGCCTAAGTCTCTCAGATTGTATGTCTAGATTGTAAACTTTGCATGTTCATATTCCTTAAAGTCTATTTATCGTTATCAATTATTTATTTATTAGATTTAGCTCAGCATAAAAGGCTGACTAATCCAAGGTTCGAAGGGAATCGATCTTTGGCATATACCAATATGGCAACTCCTTCTCAAATGAAAACCACTAAACCACCACCAGTAAATTAATTAACACTCTAAATACAATAATTTAATAACACCATGATTACATAATCAATTGATATTAGAAATGTTCGATTAGACACTCCTAATCCTCCTTATCCTCAAACCTTGTGTTTGTGTGATTTGCACCTGATTAACTATATCATTTTTTATTTTCCTTTATTTTTCCAGCGATAAAACTACAACTAGTGGGATTATCTTATTTTTTTAGAAAAGAAGAATAAAAACTATAACTATCGGGACTGTCAAAACATAAAAGTAATGTAAAGTTATGTCATACCAAATACAAACAAAACATATGTATTTTTGATCGAATACAAATATGTATTTGATATGCATACTTTTGTGGATAACTCGAGAAATGTTATTTTTACTTATATTCAAGATATCTGACGATGCCCACCAGCGGGAATGGTTATATTGCTGCCATCAGCTACAAAAGAATCCAATTTGTAGTCATCGTCAGCTTTATTTCTGATGGGCAATTCTTGAAGGCTATTCTTCTCAGGGATAGCTAATCCTGACACTTCATAGTCTTTTCCTTTTCCCCAAACAACCAAATACAAACCCATTGCGATCACTGTCCCTCCTATTACACTGCAGCATAAATAAATAAACGGAATTAAAACACATTGTTTAAGTTCATAACTAATTGCAATATATATGTGTGCACTTGTCTAACATACCATCCGTAATGTATTTGTTCATGAAGAATAAAAGAAGCAAGGAGAGCTACAAGAATCATGCATAGAGGATTAAAGGCAGTGACGAAAACTGGCCCTCTCGTCCTCATAACCATCCCTTGCACGTAGTATGTTAAACCCGAGCTTACTATTCCCTTCATTAAACAAAACTTGATTAATTTTTTTTTCGAAAATGATTAATTATGCGTAAATTTGAAATTTTACCGTATAAAGAGGTGCGAAAAGCCTAGCATCCCATCCAACAGCCCATCCACTGGAGTGGTGCTCTACTATGAGTGCTACTACAGTGCTTTGGACTGCCCCAGATAAGCATATCAAGGCTGCTAGTGAAAGATCCGCAGGATACGTCTTTATTGTTATGGACTGTGTATGATCAAATTGTTTCTTAGTCAACAACTTGCAATATACAGATTTTAATATAATGACACTCTAACGACACTAGCACAATCCATTAGATTATATGTTGTGGTTATAAAACATCATTTTTATTGAGAGGTTTTATTAAAAAGTATATATATTTGAAGCATAAGTGATGTTGTAAATGTATATAGTAGAAGATTCACTTATGCTTTAAATGATCACAGCATAGGCTCCTAGTTATATACAATTTCTACTTCTATAATTTCTTTATTTTTTTAAGTAGAAGATTCTACACAAATGCACCAGCTTGGCGGCTCAAAGTTTATAAAAAACACTTCCTACTTTTTTATATATTTTTATTTGGTTTAGGATTGGTACGTTCACTATCAAATAAATAAATAAAAAGGTGAGGAGCTTACCTGCAAAACATAGAAACAAGACCAAGCAACACAAGCGAGGAGTATCAACAAGGTTCCAGCAACCCAATGGTTATGGTCTTGTGAACTGTTGGTATGTCCGTTTTGTTGATCCAAAGTTGGGCTAGACCATGGTAAAGGAATAAGAGGACCTTTGTACAATGTCATTACCAATGCCCCTCCAAGAGCTACCAATGTCCCTATGACCTTTGCTTGGCTTCGTACCTCTACTATTTTCACTTTCTCCATTCTGTCCATATATCAAAATTTATTAAACTCAGTTAGGTTTTAATTACTGGAGGATCTCAAAATGAAATCCACACTAAACGTTTAAATGCTGATTATTCTTGCCATTTAAGGCGTCCAAAGTAGCCAGCCATGATTAAAATTACAATGGAACCATGTCCTCTAAACAATAGAGTGCATCCTTCAACCACTTGACGAAAATAGATTACCTTAAAATCCAAGCGATTACGAATGTAACAGAAGGAAGAACGTTCATGATGGCAGATGTATATGTTGCTGATGTCATGTTCATCCCTAAGTAGCCAAAACCCTGGTCCAAGATTGGCCTACACACAGGCCGGTACAAAGTATGTATTAAGGGTACTTGTCACTTTATAAAATGTATCAAGCCTCTGTTTTTGTAATTTAAGAGTCTGAAAAAGAGAAGCTTAATTCTTACTCTAAGAAACCGAGTAGCACTATTTTCCAGAAAACCGATAGTGTCATCTTTGGCCTCACTTTCCTACAAAATCAAAATCAATCCCAAGACAAAAAAAACGAAGAATAAATATTTACCCTTATTGGTTTATTTTAATCCGTAAACACTAAATATACTATTTTAGTTGCGCAAAAAAAAAAAAAAAAAAAAAAAAAAAAAAAAGATAAAACATAGACTTACCTTTCAAAAAATAGTGCAAAAGGTGCAAGAACGAGAGCAGCCACAGCATTACGATACACAATCAGAACGTAGCGATTCTGGCCTTGATTGAGAGTGGCCATAATGACAATATATGTTCCTGCTGCTCCAAATTGCAAAAATATCATTAATAAATATGGCCTAAAGTTTCGAATCATCGCACCAACACCCTCCATGCCTATTGGATTTTTGTTCTTTTTCTTTTTGGTTAAGGTTATTGAAAGTTAAATTTCCTGCAATTTTAGAAGAGGTAGAGCTGATAGGAGGAGTATGATGAACAACTCATCTTATATATTACATCAAAAAAGGTGATATAGTGTTTTAGATAAACATGGAACTTGTTTTTCCTCCGATCGAGAGTCATGTAGATTAACAAAAGAAACAAAGTAAAGTGCACGTATAAATAAATATGAATATGAATATCTTTTAGGCCACACGACCAATAGAATACGTTATTCAATAAAAATATAATTGCTTTTTTAGATGGGTATGGGTTTATTCAGGTAATTGTAAAGCAAACAATACCATATAGTCTCTGATGATTCTTTTGCTAACACCGTTATCTTCTTGCTCACGTCATAGCTTTTTTTTTTTTTAATTATTTGTCTGTGCTTTGCCCAACTTGATAAACACATACACCGAAAAATTACATGTTTAGTGTAAGCTACGTGTACGTTTTGCTTAAGTGTCCCGAACAATTGACGTGAGTCCGAATGTTCGAGCAAAGCTTCATCATCATGAAGCACGTGGGAACTGGGAACGTAACGTCTTCGTATTTTAAGCAAACGGTGGTAATTAGTTGATCATGTTTGTCGTTTTCTTTATCAGAAAATCACGAGAATATGTGTGTGAGATTAGGGATGTTTATACTTTAGTTCGTTCCATTTAGTCTGCTGGATTTGCGGGCAAGTTTATAAGTATGCTATGTTCTAACTCTCCTTCTATTACTTATCAAAGCAATAGATTCGTTCTTAACTATGTTATAAATTTGTCGATTAAGATCAGCATGATTGGTTGAGCATTATGCTTTTGGTCATCTAATCAACTTTTATTAGTAAAGCATGTAGAAGAGAATTTGGAAGCTGGAAAAATGTAAAATGCAAATGCTCTAGAAAGTTCATTGCCTCTATGTTTTCAGATGGAGCATTTCCAAAACATTAATTAAGCTCTACAGAGGTATAAAACAAAATCATATTTATTTAAATAAATAGCATCAAACTTATATTTATATTAAATTTCCTATTTATATTTCAAATTTTTATGGAACTTTACAACTATTCAATCTCTGCCAATCACTTCAAAATATCTATTAATCAAAACATACAACTATTCATTCGCATATTGCTTATGCTGCAAACTGCTAATGATTTATTATTATGAGTCATATCAATCAAGCTCTAAATACATTAATATAATCTTAAAAGCAGAACGCATAGATGTCATATATGATCAGTGAGATTGTGTAGGGGTGTTTCTTACGTATTTTTAGGTTCTACTTCTTTTTTCTAGTTAAACGTAACTTTGTAGCCTATCTAATTCCCGGTCTGGGTGGTTTCTTAACATGAATGAAAGTTTGTAAAGCATCATCAATCACATATATAAAGAAATAATAAAATAAATATGTGATTTGGTGGATACTCAATATGGTCGGTAAGTAATATCTGATTGAATATCGATAATTGTGGAATCATGGTGAACCATGAATATGATAATTAGAAATGATTCGAATACTGCTAATAACAATAAAAAAATTACCTAAAGCTAAAATGTAAAGACTTATGCTGATAATGTGTTGTGAGAGAAGAAAGAAAAGAAATGAGTAGTCTTATTTTATGAGTGGTGAGTTTTTTATATGGGAATACAAAGTAGGGTTTCAGAAGAAGAACAAACAGAAGAAATTAACCTTATAATGGACATCCACTTAATAGCCTATAACAAAAAGGGGTAGTTTGTCGATAAATTCTTATATGTTAGTGAAAATGGAAAGTGAATGATGACGACGCAGTATTCAATTATGAGCTAAGGAGTGGGTGCCTACACTTGCATAAAATTTAATCTTTGAAAGCTCAGCACAAATATTGAAAGAGTGGAGCTCCATGTGTTTGTTCCCATCTCTTCAGTCTTCTTCTCTTTCGTAAACTACTTCATACTCACCAGTCACCACCATAAACCAATTTTCAGATATATCTTTTTAAACTATTGCAACTTTGAATTAAGTTTTTGAGTTTTAAAAATCTTCCCTTGGTGTTGTTGATAATTATGAGATGGGCTTCGCTGAAAACACTTTATCAGTACTACGACTTTCTTTTGTGAAAAGCAACACTCACAATTACATTAATCAATAATTTCTGAAAGATATATATTATGTATGTTTTCTGTAATAGGATAGAATACGGATCAAAATCAAGACTAATCTACAAAACTTGTTAAAAGAGTACTCTTGGCATTTGAAACGTTTATAAATGGCCAACAGTTATTCAAAACAGTGAAATTACTCAAAATATGATTTCTCAATCCCATGACTTGGTAACGCCGACAAAAACATATATAGACAATATAAATTTATAATATATATTTTTCTTAACATTAATATATCTATTACCACGTAAGATGTTAGAAATTAAATTTTTATTATTTCACACATATGTAGACTTGTATACTTGATATAGACTGGCGAAACTTCAAGACTTATATACACCATGAAATGGAAGAAAAGAAAGTAATACTAGTCGCATATATCAAATAGATAGATCTAAAAATTTGAAGTTATTGAGAGTATTCATATGTGGAGAGAGTGTCACACGCAAGACATAAAGAAATGGGCACTTCAAAGTGTCGTTTGTGGTTGCTGCATATTAAGCATGCATTATATGGTCTTTCCATGTAGACCTTATCTATATACGTCATTTAATATTACGTTCGATTTTCTTGCAATCAATATATCATCATCGATAAAGTCCCGAAAAAGAATGATATACTGTATACAGTATTATCAATTACACAAATTGAATTATCTACAAATATTGAATTCAAACTAAATTACTTAAGATCATCACATACAATCCCAAAAGAAGAAAAAAATATTTATGGCGTAGCTAGGGAGAACTTTTTAGAAAGACGTTTTTACAACTTTTTAGAGCAATTTGAACAATCATATTGGGATTTTTGATACGTTAGAGCTCAGAATGACTTAAATATAAGCACTTAAAAAAAATATGGGCCAAACGAATAATGACAAGCACACGCACACTCCACTTTGATGCTTGGGGAGAAGCGAGTCCACAAATTAGAACTTGATATACCAAAACCAAAGTAGAGAGAAACAGTAAAAGCGTAATTTAGAATTCCCACCAAAATAAATTAAATGATTAGTGGTTAATGATTAGGAAACAATATCAAATAAAGGGTGACTAAAGAATTCTAAATCAGTAACAAAAGATAGGGAACTTTCTCCTCGTCGATAGGAGGAGATAAAGATGATTTTGGGTTCTTGGTCAAAGGTAAAAATAAAAATAAAATCACATAAAATAATTATTTTACTTATTGCGAAGAACATCATTTGCTTTCTCTTCTCACCAAGCCATTGCTTACTTCACAGTGGAGTATAGTGTAAAAATAGGCAAGAAGTAGTCTTCAATGTTCAAAACTGATTCGTGTTAGACATCTACATCGGTCATAATTTGGACAAGGGTACCACCGTACCAATAATTTTACATTTGAAAATAAGATTATCATCTACCAAATTTTCTTCTTGCACATATGAAGCTAATCTATCAATGCCCATTTGACCAAAAATGGAAACGTATGGCATAATAATTAGAGGCCCATGCAATCAAATTTTTGCGGAAAGGCAAATAATTTCTGCCAAGTACACGAGGATATGCACAAATTTGCTTTTATCACCCACCCTATAAAGATTATAATCCATACTTTAAAGAAAGAATGATAACAGAAAAAAAAAAATGAAATAATTCAGGATAGGACACTATCATCATCAAACTTTCCGTTCAACTAAGCAAAAAGATGTTTTGTTTCAAGCGAGTATTAGATTTTGCACTAACTACGTGATGAGTGTTTTGATCAAGACTGATTCTTTCCACTAAACCATAATCCTTTGGCTCTCTCAACTCAATAATACAGCCAAAAGATGCAACTACTGATTGATAAAGAAATTTTTTTATGATATGTAAAAGACTTATCAGGTAGTATACATTTACAAGGATGGTGACAAGTGAAGAAAAAAACATGTCGCATGGACCATATTAAGGATTTAAGGTGAGTCTAGTTTGTTTACTTTTCGGGTTTACGCAGACCTTTCTTGATTTCTACAAGATCCAAGTTAACAAAGTTTTTTTTTTTTTTTTTGGTTAAATTACATGTACTAAAAAGAATTATGGTGAAATAAGTGGAGATACGGGGTAGGCCTTGATCGGTAAAGGAGTTAGAAGAGCATTAGGTTTAAAGAGCATAAGCAGGGTGAGTATTTAGAAGAGCATTAAGCTCTTGAAGCTGTATGTTTTTAACTTATATGATTGGTAGAGCTCTGAGTCTTTTTATTATATTTTATTGTGTGAAAATATTTAATATGTATATTGATATTTATTTTAATGCATCATATATATTTTCATTAATAACATAAGATTGTTTTTTATTTTTTTTAAATATTTAGTAATTATTTCATATTTAAATTATATTTATTTATTTTTTTTGTCATTAAATATTTATTTTATGAATAATACATTAATGTTAAACATAATTTACGAAATTTATAAAATTGTAAATTTAATATAAATATAGTTTCATTTTTTACCAAAATAAATAAACTAAATACTAATTTTTTTTTCCAAATGTATCTAAATATTAATGGATGTATTAAGACTCAAAATACATTCAGATACATCATTAAATAGTCCAGATTTATTTTGTCAAAAAAACACTTATTATGAAACGGAGGGAGTATAATTTATTATAATTTATTTAAGATTTTTTAAATATTTTTGAGCTATGCTTTGGAAATGCTCCATTTGGAGAGAAGGAGAAGTTTGAGAGCATTTCTAAATGCTCTCCTAAATGCTTTTTAAAAAAAAGTTAATTGAATTAGAAAGAGCTTAATGCTCTTCTAAATAATCTACCAATCAAAGTCATAGTATCAAAGTCATAGTAATGTGTTTGTTGGGCATATCAACATGATTTGATCATAAAAGGAGGCCGAAATGATTGCGCAACTAGCAAATACTTAAATCCAAGATAATGAATGCTTACATGAGCAAATTTGCTTTCAGTTTTTTTGACAAAAAATTAGAATTCTTAGTCCCAAGGTGTTACCGACAAGTTACATCGCATTACCTATATCGGGAATGCACAAAAGTATCATGTTCAGTAATGAAAGTTTAGGACTAAAAGTAACTGTATTGCGGAAAGATATTCAAATTCAATTTTGAGTTCTTCACGAAAATGGCAATTCCGTGAAAGTAATAGAGATGTCCAACTTCAAGAGAATACCATAATAATGGTTAAGACTTCTTCTAAATTGCTAGAACAATTCCTTTATCTTTTCAACAGCAGAAGAGAAAAAAATCAAAAAAATCAAAATGGTGATAAAGAAACTTAACAAGTTACGTGCCTAGCTAACAATCAAGCCCAAAAGCTAACAATAACAATAACAATACAAAGAAAGGCAAAAAGAAGACTATCGCGACAGTTCTAGCAAATCACTTTCTTGGAGGAGCGATCAAGAATTAATGGATTGGTCAAAGAACACATAATCCACCATTTGCATCGATATGAGCCATACATAAAGCCAATAATTTCTCCACTTAGAAGAGCAAAAAAAAAAAAAAGCAAAGATTCAAATCTCTTTCTCGCAGATGAGAGTAGTACACAAAACAGTACACACGATTTCTTTTCTTTTTTTTTTTCTTTTTTTTCTCCATAGTCGTGCACGTAATCGATCAACTAAAGGCAGCAAGTAGCTTCTTCTGTATGAGTTCCACACTTAAACGTGGAGACAGTCTTGGCAAAATCTCCTGCCAACATAAAGAAAGAAGTAATTTTGATATGAATGAAAAAGAATCTTGCAAAATTCTACATTACAAAGAAAATCTTGAAATAAGCCTTTTCTCAAAAAAAAAAAAAAAAATCTTGAAATATAAAACAATAATTTTACCTCTTTGCCATCAGAATTCTCTTTAGCTAAGACTGGAATCTCATACTGATAAGCCTTTTCCCACTCTGGATTCGTAGTTATATCCCTAACCTAGCAATGCCCCAAATCAATTTTGTAATTAGTGATTAGTATCGCGATAATCATCCTAAGGAATTGAAAAAACTTTGAATGAATTTTGTAATTAGGGTTTTAGGATTAGTGTGAGAGACCTGAAGAGTGACGTCGTTGAGTGAATCAGGACCAGACAGAGAGAAAGCAGCTTGGAGCTTCTCTTTGAGACCATCGCAGAGGCAACAACCTGGTTTCGAGTATAGAATGAGCCTTCTTGTGTTTGGTGTCGAAGAAGACAAATTACAGGACAAAGGCCATTGTCGTCGTCCACGTCTTGCAGCAACAAATGCCCAATTCGCTGATGATATCGCTGCCGCCATTTGCGTCTTCTGCGTTTTCCACCATTCTCTCCATGTTCCAATTTTTCTCAGTTTTCTAATGGACTTTTAGGCCCATTAAATGATCCGGCCCATACTCACAAGATCCATCACAAGTTTTATTCTTCACATGAATGATATAGCTTACAGCCTTACACACGGTTACATCAATTCCGATTAACTCCGGCAATTTTCAATAAATTTCCGAGTTCGAATTTTGAATTGGTAGTTGGTACAATCGCCAAAATGTGTGGGAAATTGCTAAAGCCAAAGTTTGCCGGAAATTTTCTTATGGTTTTTATGTTTGCAAATTTTAAATTTAGAACTGAAAATCCGGAGGATATTGTTACAAATTTGACGGAGTCCGTTTCCACGTTAACAGTTTACTAATTAAAATCCGATTTGAAAAAATCAACAACACTTTGGGAATTATTTGTACAATCAACATTTACCGAATAAAACGTGCAATCTTATACATAATATGAGAGTTTTCTCTTCATTTAGGCTATCCACATCACCATATAATGGACCTCACTATCATTATTATTTATAAATTAAATTGTACTTAAAATATTTATTACATACATATTTATTCATATTTTTTACATTTATTTCACCTATAAATACCATATACCATTCACATCAAATCATTCACAAAAATAAACAAAAATAAATAAATTAAGAGTTTTAAAATACTTTAAGGACGAAAAGAACTCCTTCACGCTAGCTTACATCAATAAATCTCTCTGATTCATCAAACACTGGTATTATGCTAACTAGAGATTGAAACCCTGCGCAAGCGTGGGGTTGTTTACGATGATTTTTCAATTTAGTTTTATTTATTTTGTTAACTAAATTATGAAGCCGTTATGTTAACTTTCATGTTTTAATTATGTTTTGAGTTAATCCAACCACTCACACTAAATATATCAAATTTGGTTTTTATTTGATTTTATTAAAATGTTAACTTTACACTTCATGTGGATCTTTCTATTTCTAATATTTAAATATTATGTTTGTTTATATATATTTGACTATAAACATGCATTTGACTCAACGTTAGAATTTGTATACATGGTGTAAAATCGCATTTCCACTCGAAATATGGTGTAAAATAATAGATATAATTTTTACATATATGTTTTGTTGTGGTAACGTCTGAGCATAATAACCATTGATTATTTTATGTTATAATACTTATGTAAATATAAATTGTATTTTTGAAGCAAGCATGTCACAATCCTTAGATTTTTCATGCTTTTCATTGCAATGAAATTTACATATAATAAATTACATTCTATGTTTTAAAAAACAAACTCTAAATCTAATTTCTCATTAGATTTCTACTATAGTATGAAATTATATTATACATTCTTTAACTTATAAACAAATTATAGCATTTTTAGTTAGGATAAATCCTTTGAATAAAATGTGCAATATATACTATTTCTAAGTTATATATTTATAAGAGGCATCTCCATTTTATATTACAACTTTCTTTTATCTTTTATTATCAAGTTATCATACTTTATATTAATTATTTTTTTGTTTGTGTATTTTTTTTACTTTCTTTATGGTATAAAATAGAAATATATTTAAAGAAATATGAATAGACATATATTTAATAAATATTTTAAATATAATTTAATGTTTTTGTGCTGATGTGGATAGCCTAAATGGAGAGAGAACTCTCTAATTATATACTCCCTCTGTTCCACAATATAAGGGGTTTTGGAGTTTTTCTTTTATTTCATAATATAAGGGGTTTTCAAATTTTTGTGCAAAATTAAATGTACTTTTGTTACTTTTGATTATTTATATTGTGCAGAATACTTTTTCATTGGTTGGAATGTTTTGAAATTGAAGAGCAAATATATTTTATTGTAAAAAGTACAAAAATTAAATGGACTCTTAATATTTGTGCAAAAACTAAAACCCCTTATATAATGAAACAGAGGGAGTATAAGATAATTAGCTTTTACAATCAATAGTCACGATTCCTTATTACCTTCGAGTTCATAAAATCTAGATTTAAATTAATTTATGGGTGATTTGCTATAATAACCCACAAAATATTGTAAATAGCCAAAATAGCCTATCAAGAATTTTGAAGATTTTATAAAAAAAATTTTACACAATTATCCTTTTAAAGTCTTCCAAACTTACTCGCAGACTCGGATTTTCTTTTGCTAGTCTGCTATTTTTTTGGCAGACTCAACGTATTTTTGGTAGACTCTATATATTTTTTCGTAGACTCTGTCAAGCTTTAGCTTTGACGAACTATACCAAAATCTTCCAAATTTACTAGCTGACTCGGATTTTATTCTGCTGATCTTCCATTTTTTTGTGGATTCTGCATATTTTTAGTAGATTTAAATTTCAGTCTGCTAATCTGTTATTTTGTTAGCAGACACTACATATTTTTGGTAGATTCTGCGTCTTTTTTGTAGACTCTGTCAAGGTTTGGTAGAGTATACCAAAGTCTTCCAAAATTTACTATCAGACTCGGATTTTAAATTGCTAGTCTTCCATTTTTTTGGTGGATTCTGCGTATTTTTGGTAGATTTAAATTTTACTTTGCTAGTCTACTATTTTATTGGCAGACTCTACATATTCTTTGTAGACTTTGTTGAGGTTTTGGCAGATTACGTCAAAATCTTCCAAATTTACTGGCAGACTTGAATTTTAAACTGCTAGTCTTCCATTTTTTTGGTGGATTCTGCATATTTTTGGTAGATTTAAATTTTACTTTGCTAGTCTACTATTTTATTGGCAGACTCTACGTATTCTTTGTAGACTTTGTTGAGGTTTTGGCAGACTACGTCAAAGTCTTCCAAATTTACTCGCAGACTTGAATTTTAAACTGCTAGTCTTCCATTTTTTTGGTGGATTAA